AGCGACCACTTGGGCACTCCGATCGTGATACCTCCAGGAATATGTTCGCCAGCGATCCTGATGCCACCCGAAAGTACAGTGCGTTCAAGCTCGCTAGGGCCAGCTGGCGAGAGGCGCAAGGTCTCATACACCGCTGCTCTGAGGTACTCGCATTTTGCCATCAGATCCGGACCTGAGCCGATATCTTCAGCACTGCCGAAGTTGTTCCTAATCTCATGGACCAGCTTTGTGTACACTTTCGGGTTGCGAGTGAGGAAGAAGAAGAGCGCGGTTACTGTCGCACTCGTGGTGTCTGAGCCGGCAACAGTGAGCAGATTTGCATCGGCTATCAAGTTTTCGGTACTCAGCGCAAAATCACCCGTCTCTGGGTCCTTGGCTGTGCACAAGAAGTGGAACATGTCTTCACGCTCAGCTGGACGTTTTTCGGTTTCGTTCTTCCTTTCAGACTCGACGCGGCTCATGGCCAGATTTTCAGTAAAGGCAAAGTACTCTTTGATCTCCTTCGGAGTGATGAGCTTCATCAAGTTATCCAAACCACGAGGCTTGAGCCAAAGCAACAAGCTTCGAAATGGTGACTTGGCGAGCTACGACCGTCAGACTGAATACAAGGGTTATCATAGGGGCTAACAGCAACTCACAGGATTATAAAAGCGCAGGTATCTAGTGATGTTGTACGGAATACGCTTCAGATTGTTCGGCCCAGGCTCTTTGGTATTGTTGGAACTGCCGAAACAGATGTCACCGAACATGTCGAAGAGCAAGAAGTCAGTCCACTCCGTAAGGTTCTGCGGTCCAGACCATCCCTCGACACCGAAAATCTCACCGGGCAGTAACTCGTTCCAGCGATCGACATGCCGAGCTACAAAAGGTACGGTAGCCTTGACTGACTGATCGGTAAAAGCTAGTGAGAGGGCTTTTCTCCTCCTGGCGTGCGTTTCAACATCGGTACAGCCTAATGTGTTGAGGTCGTGTTTGTTACGCCTCCATACTTCATAGAACGGGGACTTCTTGACGTTCGCTTTGTGACCGAACATGGCATTGTAAGCTTCAGGTGTCTGGAAGAGAAGAAGATTTGGAGTCGCTCGGAATTTGTCGCCTAGGGAAGGGGGTCAGTGGGATGTATGAAGGAAGTCTGGAGTCGAATGTACCATAAATCTGGAACTGCCTCCAAGACCAAATGTGACGGTCTCCTATGCAGGCGTGGTAGAATGAGGGAATGCCTGAGATACGAGCAAAGAACGGCCCTGGCTGTTTCGCAAGAGGATGGAACCATAGGTTGTATACGGCGCAGCACACAAACTGTCTTCATGTAAGTCGAGACTGTATCATACGTTGAAGAGTCACTGACATAGGTTACGGCCACACCGATGGTGATTGGAATGGAGATGATCATTCTGAGCTAGAGTAGAAAGAGGTTCAGGTATGGGTGATTTGGAGAAACTTATGATCGAGACTGCTAGAGTTGAGCCTCCATGGCGCTTGACTTTATATCTTGCGACACCGTAGGGCTTTCCTCATATTGTCACCAACTCTATCAGACGCATCAAAGCTCCTTCCGTGCAGTCTTTCCGCCCTGGACCCTCTAGCTAGACAATCAGCCACCACCATACCAACATGTGGGCATCTCATCCTCGTTCGCAGCTTACGATGGTCTTCAGTGGCAGTAGGAGCTTCCTCCCGCGTCTGCTATCTTTTTCCACCATTCAGCCTTCTGGTTTTCTATCTCTCTCTCCGAGACAACGCTAATTGACTGCCGTCGATTTATCCGCTATGCTAGGCGATCCTCACTGAGAAAAGAAGTCTCTATTAACAGCATATCGAGCATATCAGGCATACCAGCACGATTGCAGTGGCGCTTGGAGTTGACAGCAGAGAAACTCGTCACTCGATAGTCTACTAAAATCGTATGTATGTGCCCCAGTTCGAGGTTGGTTCACGGCTCTTCTTCGTGTTAGTTCTACTGAGGGTGTAAGCGCGATGGCTGTTCGAGCATAGTGGCGACCCACAAGTAAGCGGCTGTGGTGGCAGTTATCAATCTAGAAAACCGAGGCTAACCACGATCTGTGAAGCTATCGCATCTGCAGTCATCCATCTTTGAGTCGCCGACCGCGACGATGGCCATCTCAACATCAATTCTGCCAGTCTAAGCGCCATCCCATGGGGCCAGATTGGCGACGGGAGTGGAAAACGGATTCCGACATTCGCGGCGACGGCAGTCGTGTCAAAACTTGTGTTAGGAGTATGAGGGATAACACGAAGAAGGCTTGACTTTACTATCATGTTGATATGGCCTACTCTAAAGACCGAGGCTGCCTTCTTTCTTGTTTCATCGATTAACTAAGAGACAGTGAAAACATCAGGCTAAATTGTCGCAAAGATCCCAAGATAAGCGAGCGCCTTCGTAAGATTGACCGTGTCTCGCGAAAACAATCCATCATAGATACGTTCGCAAAGTATTCGCGTCGGGCCACTTTCATCGGTTACACCTCACCACGTCAGGGCGTACGAGAGGCGCAGCTTCCTTGCACAATTCGTTAACCCACAGGTCTTTGCATATTGGCCTCGCTAATTGGGTCTTGGACGGGCATTTAACCAGTCTCTCGGTACAAGACTACTGTTGACTTTTAGTTCTCCCGGTTCAACAAGCAACGCCCGGGCGGGAGGCGGGCGGCAATAGTGGCCCCAATCGCATAGCCCCGCCCCCACAACCATCCTTCGGGGCGTATCCTTCACCACCCACATGAATTCGGGCACACCGAGAACAGCCACACATATAGACATCTTACTCCGGCTCGTATATGGGGGCCAAGGAACATCTTTATTGCGGCGTCCTTGTGATACCATCGTCTGGGGACCGTCAGCTTACTATCGGTTCGCAACATCATGCGGCAGTTGAAAGGCTTGATTTGTGATACCGTCGGGCGGCCAGGACTTGAACGGTATCCTTCGCCGTGCGTTGTTAGATACATGCGTTCTGATAGCCAGTGATGCATGGCACGGTCTTATCGTAAGTGCATGGAGAATGAGGTGTTCACTTTCGCTAGGAGGCACAGTTGTTACACCCCTGATAGTCACCCTTTTATAATATATTGTCCCTTTGTGTTCGGCTTTTTTCACAGGTTTTTCAGATCAGAACACAAAGATGTCTTCTACTTCGAGAGACGATATCGTGATGGACACTTCAAGTGTCGAGAAGGCGTTTACAGACACCTCATCCCCCAATGAAGCCGAGACCGTGGCTACGGCTGATGAATCGAAGTATATCACAGGTATCAAGCTCTACCTGATCAATACTTGTCTTACGGTCTCTATTTTCCTTGTGACTCTCGAGTCTACAATCATCAGTACCGCTATTGTGGACATTACCGATGAATTAGGCGGCTACGAGAAGAGCTCATGGCTCTTCACAGCGTACATGTTGACGTACTGCAGTAAGTATTGCATTATAATATCGGATTAGTTGCTTGTCTAACCTCACTCAAGGTCTCCAGATGATCTGGGCGAAACTGTCGGACATCGCAGGACGCAAGTACACACTCATCGCTGCACTACTCATCTTCACCTTGTTCTCGGCACTCTGTGGGGCTAGCCAGACACTCATACAGCTTATCATGTTTAGATGGTGCCAGGGTATCGGAGGCTGTGGTGTATATGCCCTCACTCAACTCCTGTTCATGGAGATTGTTCCAAAGAGGAAGTTTCCACAGTACATGGCGGGTGTTAGTATGGTGCTTGCGCTCAGTTTGATCACAGGGCCGCTTCTTGGTGGTGGTATCACACTGCACGGAAGCTGGCGGTGGATCTTCCTTTTGAAGTATGTGTCTTTCCTGAAGGAACTCATAGAGCCTACTGACATTATGATCAGCGTTCCTGTAGGAGTTCTTACTGCCATTTCACTGTGCTTCACACTCCCGAGAACACTCTTCAACGAACCTGCTGCGCAGCAGAAACACCCCATTTTCTCAAAACACACTCTCCGTCGGCTCGACTTTCTAGGCGCGACGTTGATGCTGGGAACTCTTGTGTTGCTTGCTACAGGTCTGCAACAAGCATCGCTAGACTATGCCTGGTCTTCCAACAAAGTTCTTCCCCTACTCGTTGCTTCTGCACCTTTTGCGATCGCCTTCTTCACATGGCAATGGTACGCAACGCAGCATCGCACCAACCCAGAGCCTGTCTTCCCTTGGCGCTTCTGCCAAAGTCGCATACAGCTGGGCATGATCATGTATGTCTGCCAAATTCTACCATCTCCTCAAACCATTCTAACGTATACTCCAGAAATACCTATCTCTCCGGCACAGTCATGTTCGTATGCATCGCACAGATTCCCCAACGCTACATCACTGTGAACGGCCTTTCCCCTCTCGCAGCTGCCGTCCGCCTCCTCACATACGGCGCTTTCGTACCTTTTGGCAGTGGAGTTGCCGGCGCTTTGATGGGAAAACCCAGGATACCGCCATGCTGGATCATCCTCGCAGGCTCTCTAATGGAGGTTCTTGGTATCACATTGCTCGCATGGATTGACACTTCGTCGCACATTGATGCTAGTCAGTATGCATACCAGATCATTGCGGGTACTGGAACCGGTCTTGTCAACTCCGGACTTATCATGCTTGTGCCGTATGCGATGGAGAAGAGGGATTTGGGTAAGTCGCACATTATATCCTGACGCGCGTAACTTCAAGTGTCATGTTACTGACAATTACTAGCCGTTGGGTCAGCAGCTACGTCGCAGTTCCGCACCTTGGGCGGTCTGGTCGGTATCGCTATTGTGACATCTATTTCCACACCTTACATTCGTTCCCACCTGACCGATATCCTTCCCTTGGAACTCGCAGAAAGCTTGTTAGAAAGGACAGAGTTAGTGCAACATCTTTCACCCGAAACTCTGGAGCGGGTGAGGATGTTGTTTGGGGAGGCGTATAACCTGCAAGTCAAGGTGCTGATTGGATTTGCGGTGGCCAAGGTGCCGGTTACGGGTTTGATGTGGACAAACCTAAGAGTTGAGAGTAAGTGATTAGATGAAAATGATGATAGAGGAGCCTAGATTTCCTTGCGCCGATAGCTCGAAATGCAGGTCATATTCCAGAGTCCGATAGCAAAACGGGTTTGGACACTATAAGTAAGCGGCCGCCCGTCCATCAAAAACCTGCCATAATCTGCTATAAGTCCCACAAACTACAGCAACCCAATAAAGTCTAGTTTTGATCCTCGTCTTGTTCTTCTTCCTCGAAGTCACCATCCTCATCTTCTCCTAGCTCAATCTCCTTGTCGTCGTCAGCCTCGTCAAAATCTATCTCATCACCACTATCCAAGAAGTCCTCGTCAGAAAGCGAAAATTTATCGTAGTTTTCCTGCGTCTCCTCCGCCTTAATCTTCTCCATTTCGATCTCATGCGCCTGTCTCATTCGCGCACGCTCCTGTTCCTGACGGGCCATAAGTCGTGCAACAACCACCATGATCGCATCCTCACCAAAACTCGGACCCAGTGTACGGAGGATGCGGTTGATATCTCTCTGTGTGATAGGATCACCAGTGGCTTCGAAGAGTAGGCGTTTGCATGTTGGACAGGTATGACCGACGTCAAGCCAGGCGTCTAGACAGTCTTTGCCGACAATGTGGCCGCAGGCGGCGACGCGAATGGCGGCATGGCATTTTGGGTCGGGGATACCGTCTTTGGTGGGGTGAACGGCAAGAGGCTGGAGACATATGGAGCAGTCCTGCGAGGCATGTGTGTGCGACTGTCGAAATTGCTCAAGACCTAGGTTGTTGAAATCTTGCTTGTTTGCAAAGACTGTCATTGTAATTTTGGTAGAGTTGAATTATTCGTGACCGTAGTATAGTTTGTAAAGGGCTGAAATCAGTGGAAAGGCGAGTATTCAATATGTTATCTATAGTGAGAGTGAGGCGAGGGTCGTAGTGGGTCGCTCCTTCTCGAGGCAGCTCGACCAAGGTGAAGTAGTGCACGGTCATTCTACTGCTTGCTGTAATTGTTGGAGGAATCCAGATATCCTCAGTGGCTTCTGCTTGAGACTGTTCGTCACTACCGACATGGAAGTTGTAGACCTATTGCAGTGATCAGATCAACCAGTTTCGCCTCTCTACCATGGTTCGCGTTGACTCTCCGCAGATTGGTTGGTACTCGCAACCAAATCAGAACCGCTCGTTTGCCAAAACATGAGAACATGCGCTTCCGTCAACATGTTAATCGCATATTGCAAAGTACAAGGGAGCCTGTTTGTTCGTGACCGACTCTAGGTGAAATCGCAGTCATCTGATCTGTTTCTGTGTCAATATAGAACACAGTAGGAAGATGCCTGCGATATCTTAATAGGAGGATGTAGCCAGTATAACAAAATTCCTTCGTATGGGCATGATGTTTCATGCGCTAGCTGAGGCCCCAGCGTAATAATCTTGCAGCATGATCAACAGGCGTGATGCGTGCAATCATAGCGATACTCGCTACTGGTGAAGACAAAGTGAAGACAAGCAGCGTCGACGTTGTGCCGTTGGAAGTTTAGGGTTTGTCTAGAAGATAATGACCAGGCTAGGGTCTGCTAGTATGTTAGCCACATTCTGGATAGAGTCAAGGTAGCCGTATAGACGGCAGAACAATAGTAAGATAGATCGACTTCGAAACGGGTCAATGCATATGAAACAATAGTCCCTTTGCGCTCGAGCATGTATTTCCTGCTATTGTTCGTTTTCTCTAACCAATTTCACGCTCATTACCGTGCTGCCGTGTCTTGTCCTCCAGTATCAATAATTCGTCAGTCATCAGCAAATCTGCCCCCGGCTACTTGAAGCGCGTGATCCCATCACCAACAAGACACACCGTATTTCCGGCATGAATGCTACTTGGAATTTAGGCTTGCATCATAACCAGACCTCAGTGGACCACGTTGGTATTGCAGCTGTCGGTGCACGCTTGGAAGAAGGTAATCTTACAACAACGCGCGGCAACAGCACTCGTCGATCAACAGATCCGTCAGTCTGGACAGCAGCTTCCTGACCCCCTGGTATAGCTATAAACATAGACTTGATACGTGTGTAGAGTGACGGCTGCGGAGGCGCTAGCAATGTTTCTATGTTTGGCTTCGGAACAGGCGATGGCGGCACGCTTATCGGGATATGAAGTGGCGAGGAAGGGAGAGACGTAGTTGTATGTTGTACTAACGTAGGTACTGGGTCTCGAGAGGGTGTTGACTCAAGTAAAGGCGGTACTGGCTGTGCTGGGGTAGGCGAGGGCGTTTTTATCGGCGCTGTTGTGGTTGGCAAGGGCTCTGGTGGCGTAGGCGGCACGGACATCGCCAGTGCCAGAGGTGCGACAACATCTGGCTCAGGAGGAGGAGGCGTGGGCGCTGCAATGGTCTCTGTAGGCCATCTGCTTGGTGCACGTGTTAACAGCCCTGCATCCTGCAGTAAGGGGGTCGATCGCTGGACGGGTGAAACGAAAGGGTCCTCTTCCATATCTGGCATAGATACTGGCTGGCCTGACGCGATGGCTGTTCTATCTCTCAAATCGTCGCTGGGTCTTGGGCTTGCCTCTGGTATTGGATCCAGACGTGCTATTGGCCGACCAGAGTACGTTGGCGCTGGTCTGTCATCGATCATCTGCTTGACAACTATTGGGCCTCTTTCGCCGTCGTCCGGAAAGGGCCCTTTGTAGACCTCTCGGCGTCTGAAGCATCGGCAGCAACACAGCATGGAAAGTAGACCTCTATACCGCATCTTTCAGTAAATCAATCTCTGAGGAACAAGAACGTGTGTGACAGCCACAATGTGACGAATGGTTTGCGAAGTGTTGAAGGAAGAGAGTGGACTTCAATGAGCGTGCAAGTTGGTCTATATGACAAATATGAGAAGAGTGCAATGCACTCACAACAGCAGAGCGATAGCCGCAGCAAGACCTCCAATGAGACCATTCCTTACGTTGCGTCCACGGCTGTAAGCTTCATCTTCCGCCAACAACAGGTCCGCATGGATGTCGCGGCGCGAAAGGCGAAATGGAAGGTTCAGCCTAAGCGACGATGCTCCGGAGGTCTGCTTGACCGTCGGGGTGCTGGTAGCACTATACACACCTGTCAGAGCCGCAGAGGTTGTCGAAGTGGGCCGCGACTTGGGTACACCCTGCGACGCGCTAGTTGGTATGTCTTCCTCCGATGGATACCATATTCCGGCCTTCACTGTGCCATTTCCTGTAGTAATACCAGCATTTTCCTCCTCAGTGCAGCTGAGATATGCCTCCCGAATCCAACAAATCGGTGCGGGAGAGGTTCCCGCGTCGTTTTTGTGATCAGAAGTGCTAGGGCCTTCGGTACCAAAGCTGGACAGATCGACATTGCGACCCATACTGATGTCATCGCCTTGAATGACGCGAGTGAAGACAGTGAAGGCGGTCTCTGGCTGGTAATACGGTACTTGGTGGCCGGCATCATAAATCCGAGAGAACGAGAGGTTGCCATATTGACGGACTGCTCCGCCAATGTAGGAATCGTTCACAACAATGTCCGCATACCCAGCCTCCGGGAAAGCCGTCTTGTATTCTGGAACGAGACCAGCAATCTCAAGAGAGTAGTTTTGTCCTCCATACCAATTGCATATGACATCAGCGTCACCGTAGATGAGAGCGACTTTGATACCACGAGCAAGCAGATCCGCTAAAGCGGCGATTTGCCCTCCGCGGGCTGCATCTCCATCTAGGCAGGACATTAGTAAGATTGTTCCGCAGACAACCGGGAATAACATATAGTGACTTACTGTATTGGAAAACATTCGCAACGGTATAGCTAGTGGAGGTGAAGTTGACCGGTGCGCCAATGGATTGTAGGAAACCCTCTTCGTTCAAATACTCTGCGAGTGGAACAGCAGGCCCGACCGTTGGACCAGCTCGGAAGTCGTAGATACTCCTACCAGTGGTGTAGGCAACACTAGAAACCGCTGTGCAGTTATAGATGGCACTGTAGCATAGATCGTTAACGTCTTGGTCGGTACTAAGACCTTCGGGGTCGTTGAGGGCTGCTAACGCGCCGCACTGTGTCACCAGATCTTGGCAGCCCATGTCTACGTGGAGTTCCGACACCAAGTTTTGATAGGTAGTGAGGTCAATGCCTTCGATGCCATAGGTGTTGTTGTACATGAACTCCAGGCCAAAAAGTGCCGACCCGTAAACATCCATTGCGCCGTTGACGATGCCGAGTGACCCAAGCCGAATGTCGAGCGCTTCGGATGAAATCTCACCCTTTTCCCGACGATCATTCTGGCTCTCGTAATAGTCGGCGAAAAGTGGACCGTAAGTACCACCGTAGCTCTCGCTGAACAGGTTGACATGACAAGGCTCGATAGTATCGCTGTGGGGTCGAGCGCCAGGGTTGTACTGAGGGAACGCCGATAGGAACCCTTGGAGGAAGTGCCACGATGCTTGTGCGGCAACAGTAGTCAGGTTTTCTGTATTGGCTCGAATAGCAGAAGGGAAAGTGCCGTTCTTAAAGCGCCATTCGGGAACGTCAGCAGGAAGTGGGGAAGGTTCCATGAGCTCGTCCCGACCGGTATAATCAGGTATACTAAAGTCCACCGAAGCGTTGCGGAGCTCATCGTATGAGAAGCCGACTTGGGTAGGTTGGTCGATGAAGATTACGTTGGAACTGCGATCCCATCCCCAAACCCTGGTCTGCGTGGTGTAGCTGCCGTCTGGACCTTCTACAATCTCACAAGGTCCCATCTCTCCGAAAAGCCCGAACATGCTTGAACCGCCAGGTCCTCCATTCAACCAGATCGTCAATGGTGCAGTTTCGGGGTTCTCACGTGCCTCGAAGAACCAGAAGAAGGTATTGATTGAGTAATCCTGCTGGAACGGCTCAAGCGTAAACGGAGGAAGATTGACATATCCAGTATACTGCTTCTGCGCCTCGAAAGCCGTTGCACACGAATGGGCGTCGGGCGTTTTATAGGATATGGTGATGCTAGGGTCGACGGGCGATTTGATGACGGTATCATAGGTTACAGGTAACGGATATTGCTGGGCGACTGACAATCCAGCGTGGAGAGCAGACATGAGAACGATGGCGGGTGATTGGATCTAATACCCGTCAGTGATTGGCCAGCGTGCGCAGGCGGTTAGTGTGCTTACCATGTTGACGAGAACCTGGGTAGCGGAAAGCTATCGCATGGGAATGAGGATAAGAGACCTATGAGGTGCCGCAGCGACCAAATTATTACAACCAAGCAATGCGCGGTTCTGCGTCTCTGATCCCGCAAGTCGAAGAAGTGAAGAGAAGTCGCCGACGACAGATAATTGGTGTGCCATGACGAACGTATTTGTACCGCAACTTCCCTTCACCTCCCAAGAGCGACGGAGCGCGACTTTGCTAATTAGGAAAGCTCCTCGCTCACTGCAAGGCAGCGGCGAGGCAAGTGGTGTGCGGCTGTGTGACGGTACCTGTTTAAATTGACGCGCCTCGAGCGCTAGTGGGTGTTTGCATCATTCCACGTACGCTCTCGCGATCCTACGAGATGATTTGGACTACCCATTTCGGGGTCATAATAGACATAGTCTTTCGACCACAATAATGCAACTATATCCTTCCAATACCACAAAGTTCATCCTGATGTATCCCAAACACACTTCTTCAGTGTCTTCGCAGCGCGCCGTGTAGAGGCAATTCGACCGACTTGTAAGGACCACGCCACATCGCATCCCGGGAATCCGTGTACGGCATGAAACTGGTCGCACCCCAGTGTCGGGTACAGATAGGCTAAATGCTTACAAGGATCTACAAAGCCACCATGGGGCCGCTAATTTTACCACCCTCAGGTGTGAGTTGGCGTGGTTGACATCCAAGGCGCGTAGACAGGCTGCGTTGTGAATCGATGTAGTCAGCTGTGTAAGGCAGCGTTTGCGAGTTGCATCCTCCTCCCGTGGCCCCCATATATCCAACCAACTGCATCGGCCATGTCATTGTGGTACGGTATCCATCCTGCGTTGTGTAAGCTAGCTGTAGTCGCATTACTCGCTTCGGAATACTGCTCACCTTCAGGAGCAAAGCCGCCTGCTTCTTTTCCTTTCAACTCTTCCCAGGTCCTCTTTCCGGCAAGCCCAAGCTGTACAGCTCTCGACCTCTTGCCTCTCTTTGCGATAATCCTCACCTCGCCCTTCATGTCCTGCTCCGGTCCCGCGATGCGCCAATTCTCGTTGACTTCGTGGCCTGGCTTTGCTGCCCATGGCTGCATTATGCGCCCGTCTTCTGTCTTCTCGTCCCCAGTCGCCGTGTGCTGCGCATAAGGAACGATATACATCTTGACCTCTGCGCCATACTTCTCTCCATCGCGTTCTTTGATAAGCGCATCCCAGTTCTCGGGTTGCGCCAACCGTTTGCGCCGATGGTCGTAGCCCGAGGCAATGAAATCGGTACATGGTGTGATGTACGTCAGTTCCTTCCAAGCGTCGCTGTTCAGAAGAGTCTCGATGTCGAAGTAAGTTGTGACATCTCGCCAAGCATCACCCAGACCGAAACCATGCCAGCAATCCTCTACAACCAACGTATCCAGACAAAGACCAGGGAGCAGTGTAAAGGCATTCGCTGCATAGTATGTAGGGTAGTATTGCGAGCTCCCTGAGGAGTACAACGGGAAAGGATACGCACGAACTCGAACGTGGCGGAGTCGCGTCACTACGCTCTGATCAACGGAGAGGAGTGTTTCGAGTAGATTCTCTGTGCCGCGGAAATCTAGAGTGCAGTTGAGTGGAAGATGGCGATGCGCCTCGGCGAAGACCTGGCGACAGCTGAGCAGGAGCGCTATGCGATTAGAAGGCTCTGCGTCGTCGCTAGGGGCACCGGCATGTTTAAAGCCATGTCGGATGGTGTAACTGCTGAAGAGGAAGCCGTATATGAGTTCGCGCAACTCAATGGGTATCGTCAGAAGGTTTGGGGCGTTCATGGTGTTGTCGCTACTGCTGTTGCACCAGCAATTGGCACTGGTTACTAGAGGCGAGGGTGCCTTGCTTATAAGGAAATCAAGGATTTTCCAAACAAGTTGCTGATAAGAAGTAGTCTATCTCAGAAGTCGGTAGCCGGGCCCAAACAAGTGGTACCTGTGCGTAAGCTGTGTCACTGGGCGATAAGCACGATCAGGTTACATGCTCTGGATCTGACGACAGCTGCCATGGCCGCCCGGTGCTGCGGAACGCGCGGATTATAAGTCATGTTCAGCTCACATCCCGGCTGGAGCTCCCTAGCAGCGGTTGTTATTCCGGGGGTGAGATGACGTTTGAAGCTCTTCGGTGCGCTAAGAACGAGCTAGTGCATGTCCGCGGTGTCGCATGTTCGGTCGCAAACCACAAACGGTCAAGACATGGGCGGGCCATTAGCTGCGCATATGCACACGTGCCACGATAGTGCGAGATCGACATGTATTACAAGATATGGTTTGCTGTGGAAAGAATAGTGGTTGACGAATAGAATGCTTTGTCTTGGGTATCTTTGATGCTCGCTCAAGTTCAGATCTGCCTCGTTGTATGGCTTGCGAGGGCTTTGCGCCATATGCTGCACTGGATGCGCTCAGTCTGACTTGGGTCGCCCACGAGTCCGCTGCTGCTCCTCCTGCAGCTTCTTCTGCTGCCACTGCCATTCTACAAGCACAGGCAAAAACTGCCACAGATCGAACTCGGGCCACAGACACTTGAGAAACACGATAGAAGTGTTCTCGTGTGCTTGCCAGAGCATGAAGTCGCTCAGCCGCTCAACACCAGAGGTACGAACGAGCAGGTCGAGGGGCGGGGCGTCAGCCGTCATCATGTTGTCGTTCAAAGTTTGAGCACTAATTGACTCTGGATCCAGGAATGTCGGCCCATTATGCAAGTCATCCTTCTCAGGCGAGTTGATGGCGGTCGAAGTTGACGAGGAACGCCCATCGTCAGCCGCAGTCGCTTCCTTGGACGAGGGCGACGCCGGCCGCGAATCAGACTGTTCCGCTACACCTTCCGTATCCTCCTCCAGCATTTGCTTGCGAATAGTCTGGGTTATGTGCGATTCGGAAAAGGTTCGCTTAGAGGGGGTAGGCAGGTTGTGTATCGGCGTGCTGTACGTCTCGACAGTCTTCATGACCGCGGTTGTGATTTCGTGCCGTGACGTGTAGGGGAAACAGACGTTGAGCACAGCTCTGGTCATGGTCAGCAATACTCTTCATGGATCGAAAGTTAACGCACTTCTTATTGTGTGCTGTCATGGCAACAGCCTTGTCCACAGCCACCAGTACGTCTGGGCTGATGAGCTCGCGCTGCCCCAGCACTCGGACGGATGCACCATAGCGATCCAGCAGAGCTCCGTGCTCAGCCAGTTGTTGCAGCTTCACCTTTGCCATGGACATGAGCGCATCAACTTCATGCTTCGAGCGCTTGAAGTTCTCTATGCTGAATGCATAGATGGTGACAACCTTGACGCCAGTTTTGTAGCAGACTTCGAGGATCTGGTAGCGATGTTAGCATAATATTGCGACACCTGAATGCCAGTCACCCATACCCTTGCTAACGACTCAAACCCGAGATTGTGTCCTTCGACTGTCTCAATATGGTGGTTTCGCGCAAATCGCCTGTTACCGTCCATGACAAACGCAACATGTTGCGGAATGGGGCCTTGCTTCAGCGACCCAATAAGAAGCTCTCGTAGCTGCCTGACTGTCCATGCGACGGGCGGCGACGTCGCAAACCACTTGTGTATACGGGAATCGTGGAGGGAGCCCATGGTGAATATTGTTGAGGTGCTTGGCTTGGGTCTGTAGGGTAGGAGCTTCGAAATATCGAGAGGAGTGCAACGTGCTTTTCTACGTTAACGAGGGGAGCGATTCGATGCAATTGTGGAACAACAGTCAGGGTATCATGGTGTATAAGAATCGATGCCAGTGGTAAGATGCTACGTAACGTATTCAAGGCGCAGCGAGCCCTGACGCGACTCCCAAGCAATGGAGCATCGGGTGGCTCCTGCAGCGGTGAGTGGCTGGTGAGGTGTGACTAAGCGTGGCGCGGACTAACCGTCGCTTCCGAAGCTATAGTCTTTGCCGAGCTTCCGTTCTTCTTTCTTCTTTCCCGACTGCGAGCCTCACTTGCCGCGTCATCATTGCTGCGCTCTTCTGCCCTGCAGTAGCATTACACGCATCACTTTACTAACCTTGCCATGGCTGAAGAGGCTCAGAACACTGTGACAGAGCTCGCTGAGCAGCTCGTTGAAGGCTTTGCCGCGCTTAGTGGAGAATACCAGGTTTTATTCGACCAGCAAAAACAGCTGGAAAGCAAGCTCTCGTGGGCAAAGCAACAGGTACGTGGCGACTTTTCGCAAACCTCCCTATCCTATGATGATACATTTTAGCTCTAGACCTGCAGCTGCACAGCGGCATTGACAGACAACCTTTTATTATCATGTACTGAACCGGACAACGCCTTACATCTCAGCACACAATTACCTCTATGGACACAGCTGACGATAAACAGTATCTTGATCTTTTGAAACGCTTCACTCCCAACACGTTGTCGCAAGACCACCTTACTTTCCTGCAAGACCTTGAGCGCGTTGGAGACGAACAACCTCGGATACATTTGAATTTGGTGGAGCAGTTGGCAAATAGCGATGATGTAGAGCGCAAGAGCCGAGCACTGGTCATCCAGAAGGCCGAGGAGGCTGCTGTCAAGCTGCATGCGTCTGAGAATAATAGCAGTGTAAAAATATGGAGTGGTCCGTCCGCAGACAAACCCGCCCCGTTACCTGAGATACAGACCAATAGAGCCACGTCACCAATAGAGAAAGACTTCACTGTTGCTGGAACACCTAGTAAACTCGCCTGTCCCTTCGCATCCGGTAGTGGCAGAGGCAGCCCGCTTGCCACTCCACGTAGCTCGACGTCCCGATTAAGCGTACGCGGTCGAAGATCAAAACGTCCCTCGTTCACCGACCCTATCCGTGCTGAAATATGCAGCAACAATCCTGCGTCGGTCACCGCGTCAGTAGCGGCGTCAGGCTCTGCTGCCGTGTGCCCCATCCGATTCCTCGACCAACATAACCCTGAGGAGGTGGCTAAATACTTTGAGAAACACAAGCATGAGCTGCCGAGAAGCCATGAGGTCTGCATCACGCGCTTCCAGAGTAACCAAGAGAGCATAGAGCAGCTTGATCGCAAGTATGGCAATCTGGTCAACATGATCCAGGGCTTAGGGCAGAAGCACCAAGTGTGGCTTCCTGAAGATCCTGATGATGCTATCGAAGAAGAGCCGGAGGCAGAGCTTCACCTAGAGACCAACGCAAAGGCTGATACCAAGGTGCAAAACTGGGCTTCAGCTGTTTCGGCAAGTCTCAACGATGGCACTCCACCACCTGAGGAAGAGTCAGAGGAGCATGCATTGGATGAGACAAGGACCGCACACTTTGATCGGGACCGGCCGCTAAAAGAAGTCAGGGTTGGCGAATCACCAAGTCGGCCATGGGGCATCTCGATACCTGCAAAGTACACCAACGCTGAGAGTTCATCCTCGGTGGGCTCTGTACCAACAGCATCGCCACAACTGCCACTCGACACTGGTCGTCCGATTGGCGAGACACCTCAAAAGACTGGCAAATGCCCTATCGATCACCGTGCGATGATGGGACAAACACCGCATCAGCCTGAAGTATCACACTTTGGTTTACCGCCACAGTCGCAGCCTCGGGCTCCAACAACACATGTACCACCTACAGAACGTCCGCCACAACCCCCCGCCCCAGAACCGCAACAGCCCAGAGAGCCCGAAGGTCCGAAGTTGGTACCGCAGATGGTGTTCAATGGGCCTGTCTTTTTGGGCTACCCGCCCGAGCAGTTGGCTATACTATTGCAAAACAGTAATCTCGGTGCGGCAATGCGGTAAACATGGAACACCGTACAAATCTTCAATTCGCTGGCTAGTTGCTTTGAGGTATTGTATCGTACTCGAAGGTAGGCTCGAACAGCTGCTTGCCTCACAACTACGCGTCACAATCGTCCTTTGATGTTGTTGTGCTTCTTCTCATGCGCTTTTGTCAACCATCATTACGTCGTGCAGTCATCGATTCTGATTTTCCAAAGGTCCTGCGAGTCGATGCTTCCACCTCTCCTGCCCAGCCATCTGGCAGCTCTTATTTGTGCAATCCTGCGACTATCTTCATTTCTTCTTCAGATCTGCCATCCACGTCCGTACGCCCTTTGCGCTATCGTGTGCTGCACGAAACACTTGACGGTCGTTAGCAGTCGTATGGCGAAACTAGCCCAGCACTTACATTGCCGCTCGTTCTCATCCAGGCCTCGCATGAAGTCGGCGCCTTCGCCTAATGCACCTCGTGGATTATGGGCTTGATCGGCTATGAGAGCCGCCCTGGCCTTGAATGTCTATGCGGGTTAGCATGACGCCGTTGCATTAATCTAGAGCAGAACTTACATCGCTTAGCACTTCGATCATCTCTTCCTCCTCAAACAGTTCCAGGATTCGTGCGCCAAGATTGTAGAAGTGTGGGGCGAGAGCTCGTAAATCGACGGTTCTTGGGTCAGCTTTGAGGGCATTCAGAACGCGCGGAGATAGGGCGGATGGAGGGTCGATGGTTACAAGAGAAGATGTATTCAGACTTTGACTGTAGATATTGTAAACATGGAATGTGCATATTATGAACATGGTTATTTACCTCAATGCAAGCATCTCGCCCAGCCATAGTGGAAGCTCGACTTTTGAACCCTGCTTCATGTCGCCGCTCATGTTACCCTCGAGATAGCCGAGGCCAGGAACGGTAAGCTCGAAAGTACATGGTACCTTTTGAGCGTCGGTAAGGATTGCGTCTACGTCGTAGTAGGAACCCATCCTTCGCTGGAGGAGTTCAGTTAGTCAAAAACAGCATACAGATGTGAAAACATTTAATTCTTTCAGCCGACATGCTGTGTTGCAGGATCAAAGGACACAAGAGGCGATCCCTGTACGAGGCAACAGACGTGTCGCGTGTCGTGCAACCAGCCTTGCATCGGGACGAATATGCAAGGAGATGAAAGCGTGGGTAGAGGAATGGAGGACGAATGTAGCCCTGCAACTAGGGACAGGGCAGAAAAGAGGCAAAATAAGCAGGTCAGAAGATGATGGAAACGTGTAGCTTACTGCGTAGTCGCCTTCTGTGTATTGCGCGTCTTCGAGTGCCTGGCGGAAGTCCGACGGTATAATAGCGCGTTTCGTCCGAATGTGATGAATCACCTCGCACCTTGCCCTCCCAGCAGCGCGTACGGGTCTCTGGAGCTTAATTAGGCGAATTATCCGTTCCGTGCAAGTTGGACTGCGACTGCGATACTCGACCCCACGATCCACGATCTTGAGGTTGCTGCCGCCGCTCATTCGCCTAAGGCTGCAGGGTTAGAGCTCCCAGCTAGATGTCATCAGGACGAGGCGCCGGATACCCACATGAACCACGCTCTCCGACAACCATTGCACCCGACTACATCTCCACCTGCATTCACGCCCAACAACTGGAAGCTTTATACACTGCGCATTTGTAGAGTAAGTAGCGCGCACACGAGTCCACTCCTACCCACGTGCGGTGATTACTCTATAGTGCACAGCCTGTAGCTGCCACTGTTCACTCAACCACATGCTGACTGTTTGTCTCGCAGTCCACCCGCATTGTCTGCCCGCGACTGTGAATTGGTAGCTGTACATTAATGACTGCGCATTTACAACTATCCTCCCCCACTGCGCCCTAGGCACACGCCTCACAACCCCCACCCACTACGTCAACCACCACCACCAACAACCACCACCATGGCGGTCAGCGAACGAATATCACAGCTCATGAGCGCCCTCGACACTGGTTCCGGCCCCGATACCTCTCGTGCCACCTCACCGGGTAGTGACTGGCGGCAGCCGAACGGCGGCGTCAATGGTGAAGATGAGAGGCGCCGTCCGCGAACATTTCCCTACTTCGAATACCTCCCATACCAGACAGAAGACCAGAGCGATCGCGAAGAGAGCCTGAACACATGTCTGAAGCACCTCTACATTGCCGTCTCAGCTGGAGACTTTGCGCCGGGCGCTGTACACTGGACACGCGAGATTCGAGGCTGGCTGTCGCTCAAGTTCGATCTTCCCCGGAGCACGCGTGTGAAGCTGGTGAAGCTCTACTACGAGCTGGCGTTGGCTCCGGGGCTGGATTACCTCGTGGCGGAGCGATTTGCGAGCATGTTCATGGTCTTGACCAAGTAAGTGGCACCAGCATTAGACTTTGGATGACAGGTGGGGACTGACACATGGACAGGCGTAAACATTACCTGCGACCCGGCAAAGACCTCATACTCGACTGGCGACCGTTGTATAGAGAGCTGAAGATGTTCGTCCTGCCTTCAGAATCCGGAGGCTCACACCCGCCCAACGTGAAGCGCAACATCCGTACCTTGACCAAGATGTGCACCTTTGCGCAGTCGTACTTTGACCCCAAGGAGATACCGGCCATAATGGAAGAGCTTCTGCCCTTCTTCAGCACGTCCTTCAGCGAGAACGCGTTCGTGGTTGTGGGCCTGCTGAACTTGCTTTTCCCAACCCATCCCGCGCCCGAGGACATGAAGCAACTGCTGCCTCAAGAATACCTCCCGACCTTCTTCCATCTATGGTCGCTCGTCAACCGGTCGCGACTCTTCGACGCACACTACATCGATACACTGTCGAGATTATCTAGAGACAACCTGAGTGCGGCGCATGTGCCCTTCTCACAGTATGGAGTATTTACCGGCGAGCAATCGTCTCAAATCTTCACGGCCATCCTGCGGCTGCTAGAAATTCCAGTTGGGCAGGCGACGTCGCCGTATAGCAGTACGGTCGATCTTGGTGCAGGCCTAGCTGTGATGCTTGACCGTGACCCACGGAAGCATCCATCGACTCACCACATCGCCCGCATCATTGCCATGTCGCTATCTCCCGCTTGCGCAGAGCAACCTGACTCCATTCTTACCAAGCTTGAAGGGCTGATCCAGGCTGTGGAGACTTTCTTCCATCCATCCAATTCGGGTAGTTGGACTAGACCTCTGGCACAGTTCGTATACTACCTGGCCGATATCTTTGTGCTGCGGTGGAATCGAGAGCACAGTGGTGAGATGGACGTGCCGGAGGAGAGGAAGCTGAACGATGCAGTCAAGAGGCGCTTCGTACTCTGCTTACGGGAAGTCACATTCATGGGCATCTTCTCCAAGAGCGACAAAGCCGTGCAATACGCCTTGTCTACTCTACAGAGCTTGGCACACCTTGAGCCCAACTTGATTCTCCCAGGGGCATTACAGCGCATCTACCCCGCAATGCAAGGACTCGTTGAGGTGCATCGCACCATTTCGTCTATACGGGCGTTGCACATGCTCTCCAAGGTTATGGCCAAGACAAAGGGCTTCCGGTGCCACGTTACCTCTGTGCTCGGGCTTGCGCTCCCTGGCATTGATGCCAACGACCTAGAAAAGACGGTACATACTTTGCAGTACGTCCAGGGTGTGTGCTACCTTATCCCATTCCAGGATCTCACAAAGGCCAAGAAGGCATCGGGTGACGAGGCCTCTCGAGACGGAGCGACCTCACCTATGGACGACGCTGGTGGTAACACGGGGCTTGCTTTGGAGTGGATCACCTCACAAGTCGAACGATTAGAGAGCGCCAACGGAAACATTGAGATCAATTACGACGAGGAGCTTAGTGACGAGGATGAGGCGATGATCCTGCGGTCGTCAACGACTGGGCTCAACGAATTCCTAATTACGTTCCTTGGTCGCGTCTTTACGCTTTTGGAGAATTTGCCAGATGCATCTAGGGTCCGAAGCGGTTCCCCTGAAGAGTATGTGGTCAACCAACTACCTGCTGCTTTTACGCCACTGCTTGCTGCCCTCTCTCCTGAGCTCTACGACATTGCGCTCGACAAGATTGCGAACTTCATCACGAACCATGTTGTTCACCAAGCCAAAGACGCAATTGCATTCATCTGTAACAGCCTTGTCAAGATCAACCCTGAGAAAGCTCTGAAGCGTCTGTTGCCCCATCTCTTGGCAGGTATCCGGACTGAAATCGATGAGATTGGCGCGGGATCGACGCGAACAACAGGCGCCGAGGTGCTCCCACGCGATCGTGCGCTTGTCTGGAACCTCTGCATTCTTAGCATGTGTGTTGTCCATGTTGGTGACGCAGTTCTTGAATGGAAGGACGAGCTCTTTGAAATTGCAGAATACATGCAGCAGAAGTGCCGCGGTACGCCCACTGTACATGTTTCCAACTTCATTCATCACTTGTTACTTAACCTTACATGCACCTACACCATCGATTACTCCATCTACGAGGAAAACGAACTTGAACAGGGCTTGTCAACAGAGTCGTGGGGTAGGCAGGTTGATATTAAGAAGCTGAACATCAAGTGGCACAAACCGAGCTCCGAGGAGATTGACTTCGCTGTCAAGCTTTTCGAGACTCACGCCAACAACTCCATGAAGGCACTCAAAGCCCTTACGCAACCAGACTCACCGATTAAACGCGAAGGCACCGGCAAAGATTGGTCTGATGAAGTCTCTCGTAACCTTGTTCTCTTACGTCTGATCATTTCCGGTATCTCAGTCTTATTTGATGTCCGACATGACCAAGTCACCGATGGCGCCGAGTCGGATGACGACTCTGATGCAGATGCAATGGATACAGAAGGCATCGACGACGACGCTGGCCTTGGAGAAGCCGAAGATGAAGAGGTCAAGCCTACGTTCCAGTACGAAGCTGGCTACCCGCTGCGCCGTGGCGATGACAACTACAATCTCATCCACGACCTTCGCGGACAGGTTGGCCATATGCTGCACAACGTGCATCAATTCTTGATTGAGAAGCAGCCCGATGACGTGCCCTGCTTCAATTCTCTGTACAATGCTTACAGGTCGTGGTTCATCGATGTTGGCATTGAGCGGTCTGCTCATGTGCTTGACAGAATATCCCGATTGTTGGAGAATGACGAGCGACCTTTCAGGTTCAGCGGACTGCGAAAGCAGTATCCACGACCTTTACTGGTTCGACGCGCAAACGTCTATCATCTTCAGCGACTACGCCACAACGCTAATCCGCGACCCAAGACAGATCTCGACATGATCTTGCTGCTTGATCTCGCTGAATCTAGTATCTCAGTCTACACAGAGATCCGACGCACGGCGCAGACAGCCAACGAATCAGCCGTTAAGTGCGTGCTGGGCGCTAGGCCCCTTGTCATCCCACCTCTACTAGATGCCTTTGTCAAGGCTGTGGCCGAAAGCGACTACCCTCGTATCAAGGGTGCCATGTTTACACTTCTCTTTGGCAGCCTAGCGAAGACTATCAGCCGCGACTGGCGCTTCACACCCAAGCTCATCAAAGCTTTCATTGAGGTCACCGGTGCCGATAAGCCTTCAGTGCAGAAGCTTGCGACCAACGCCACGTTCCAGATTATGGACATGGGTAAAGCAATGGAGCGCATGGTTATCCTGCCGAAGGAGGTTGTAGAGGCCATCGCATACGCCATCGACTCTAGCGAGGGCGACAGTGTACACACCAAGGTCACCAAGCGTCGGGACTACATCAAGAAGAAGCGCGCTCGCATCGAGGGCAAGAAGTCTGAGCTGTCCAAGGAGCTTGTACATATCGCCAATACTGAGCACTGGAAGAAGGTCAGTAGGACCGCCGCCATCATTGTCAACTTGGGAATGCGCTACGACAGCATTGCTTCCGACGAGATGATCGACCTCGTCGCGAAGGGATCCATCGATCAACATCCCAGCCTCAGAGGCCTCTATGCTGGTGCGCTTATCGGCTTGTACTCGGTCATTCAGACCCGTGCGATCACGGGACACGACTACGAGAAGTACTTGCTCAGCGAAGAAGAGCTCCCAGATAAGATCTCGGTGCCGACTAGGCCAGAGGATCCAAATTGGACTGAGGAGTACCTTGCATCATTTGCGCAGCCAGAAGCCAAGTACTATGTCGACTTTGATTATCCTGGCTGGCTTGTATGGAACAAGAGTATGACCGCATTCAAGCCCAACGCACCGCAGCTATCATACGATGAGGTCGAATCTGGCGTCCGTCAGAAGATCGCGAAGCACCTGACTCGATCTTGGTTCTCCAACTACTTCGCCTTCATGAAGCAAGAGCCACGCGATAACAGCGCTGATAGGTTCCGTATGTCAAGCGCGATGGTTTTGACTCACTCCTTTGACCTCGTCTTCTGCGGCCTAACAGAGGCGACGTTCGAAGACATCAAGGACCTCACTCAATCCGTATACGCTGACGGCAGCGACAAGCATCAGCACCGCGCCACCGCCGAGATTATGGCCGCACTACTATCATGCGCACCAGATCTCAAGGCAGATCAGCGTGAAGCGGTGTGGGAGTACGTTTTCCCCATTGTGCGTGGAATCTTCCAGGACGGTCTGACGCCAGAAAACTCTGGGTACTGGACCACTTTCCTTCATGTTGTGTTGCAATCGAAGGATCCACGCCGAGGATGGCCGTTGGTCGACTGGCTAGCGAGCTTCCGCCTTGATATGGAGTCCAACGCCGCCTTCAAAGAGAGCTCCAAGGTACATCTGCTTACGCAATGTATTTGTGACGCGGGTTGGCACTTCCGTCTCGAGAAGCCGATCTTGGAGGATTTCATGAAGCACCTCGACCATCCATACAAGGGTGTGCGAGAGGCCATGGGCCAGACCATCGCGAGCATCTTCAGGACGCGTTACCACGAATCATACAAGGATGTCGACACGCTTATCAAGGCTCAGAAAGACGCTTCTTCGATTGGTGTCCGCCCGTATCAACCTACAGATGAGTTCTCCAAGACCATCACTGAAGTCTTCGATCGCCTCGAGGTTTGGCGCCAGGAGCGTCCTGCAGGCCAGCAGACACCTTCGTCATACACGTCAGGTGGTAAGACGGTTCTACTCTGGCTTGACTCTACGCTATCATCGTACGAGTGTACGTCGCTTGTCAAGTTCTTCCCCGACGTTTTCATGGAGCAGCTGCTACACATGATGGACATCAAGGAAGACCCCGAACTCCAGTCGCTAGCGTATCACGTCTTCCGCCATCTACCGAATATCCCACATCGCCAAGGTGAGGATGCAGACTTCATCGCTGCTCTCATTCGCATTGGACGCAATGCAACAAGTTGGCATCAGCGTCTTAGGATCTTGATCAACATTCAGGTCATCTACTTCCGCCGACTCTTCCTCATGAGCGAGGAGCAGCAGCAGAGCATGTTCGACTGCGTCTCTGCCATGCTCTCAGATACTCAGCTCGAGGTACGCATGGGTGCTGCCACCACTCTATCGGGCATGATTCGTTGCTCGCCCATAGCATTCCGCGACCGCCAAGTCTCCACGCTCAAGGAGAAGTTCACCAAGCAACTCAACAAGAATCCATTGCCAAAGAAGCGCAATCCAGGAACGCCGACAACAGAGCAAGGCAAGCTTGTCCTGACGCGCCACGCAGCTGTGCTAGGTCTCGGTGCGCTTATTCAAGCCTTCCCATATCAGAGCCCTCCGCCAGCTTGGTTGCCTGATGTACTGGCTACCCTGGCTAGGAAGGCTGCAGCCGACCCAGGCATGGTTGGCAAGAGTGTCAAGACTGTTCTCGCAGACTTCAAGAAGACCCGCCAGGATACTTGGCACGTTGATGTCAAGGTAAGTTTTCATCCTCAACCGAACTACGATCCGTACTAACTGTGACCTCAGGCTTTTGAACAAGAGCAACTGGAGGACCTTGAGGGTGTGTTATGGAAGAGCTACTTTGCATAGATGACGGCTAGGCAGATTGCCATCCAAAATTGGACGCTATTAACGACGCTCGGTGATACCATAAACAGCATGCATGTATTATAAGATAGATCGGACAGGTTATGACAACGAGCGATATGAAGAGGCTCTGCATCCATGGCGTCTAGCGGAATTAGCATCTTCTAGATAGTCTTGCTTACTCAACGAACTTTGTTTCTTAACGTGCTTACTCAGTCGCGACCCGAACTTCGCCCCTGATGTTTAAAGCTGCACTGCCCCTCCCCCACTTGGGAAGCTTAAGCGTACCTGCGCTGACATCACATCTCGACGACTCTACCAACAGCGAATATACTGCTGCACTACACGGATAAATTACACTCTTTTCCCAGCAATCTCTATATTAACCGCTCTACAATGCCATTGACCGTGCTTTCCGATTCGGACGTGCGTACCCTTTTACTGCAACTCACGAAGCAAGACATTCTCGATCTGCAGCAGAATCTTGCGGATGCGCTGCACCACTACTCTACCAGTACCGAAGAAGACGATAACAATGGGTGTTGTGAAAGTTTCCAGTCTGCAGGGACAAGCCTAAAGAGCAAAGATGGTGGATTAATGACTGTCACGCCGGCAAGCAGGTATGTCGCTTCTAGCAGCTATGAACGCAGAATGATTGTATTGACTGACCCTTGCAGCAACGATGGTCTTGGTGTCAGGATAACAACGCGACTGGAGTCGAGTTCTTCAGATACGGCCTCTGTTACTTCGTCGATGGACTCCCTCGCACTCTCCCATTCGTCAACACCAGCAAGCAAGAGTTCGGCAACCACCGCATCGAGATCAACCTCTCTTTCTGCATTCCAGACTTCTCCATCAAATGCCAGTCTAACTCTCTTTGACCGTTCTGGTAACCCTCGGGCTTTGTTGAACTCGTCAGAGATGACAGCTTTCCGCACCGCCCTCGCAAGCACAATGCTCTTTAAGAAGCGAGCAAACGTGCATGATGTGGTAGTGTTTGGAGCAGGAAAGCAAGCCTACTGGCACATACGGCTCGCGCTCCTTCTCCGAGGCGACGACGTCCACCACCTCAATATCATAAACCGAGACTTCGAGCGCGTGCACCAGCTACTGGAGAGACTATATAACCCACATGAAGCGCCGCCATCGAACTTCAATCCAGATCCATCCTACGTTCCAACATATCGGAAGGCAGCAGGAGAAGGGGCGAACGAAGGACAACAAGACCTACATCAATATCTACCTCGCCCCAAGATACAGATACTCACCCCAGGACACGGCGAGTATCCACGTCTCCTCCATGCCACTCTACGGTCCTCAAGCTGCATTTTCCTATGCACACAATCTCCAACACCTCTGTTCCCCGCAGCCATCCTCACAAATCCCGAAGGCAGAAAGAAAGGTCGCTACATAGCAGCCATTGGTTCCCTCTCCCCTCACAGCACAGAACTCCACTCAGATATAATCAAACAAAACGTAGCACCTGAGCACGGCCACCGACATTTCCACAAACATGCGCAACAAGGAGGCGCGATAGTGGTGGACAGCGTGGACAGATGCCTAAAGGAAGCTGGAGAGATTGTGCAAGCAGGTTTGGGTCCGGAACAAGTCGTCGAGATAGGCGAGCTGGTCATGTTGAAGCGGGATGCGGAGAGGAGAAGGAGAGAATGTATGGCTGGCAAGGGTATAGAGGCTGAGGGGCTGGATGTGGGTGGTGTGGAATTGGGTGAATGCGAGATGAACAAAAACGAAAAGAAGAAGGCGAGCAAAGGCGGTAGTAAAGAGAAGGAGAAGCATCGTGAGAGCGAGGACAAGGCGCACAAGAGTCTGATTGAGTGGTTGGTCAAGGGTAATGTGATATACAAGAGCGTTGGACTGGGCCTCACGGATGTTGTAGTGGGTGGAGATCTTGTCCGAATAGCGGATGAGCGCAATATCGGCACGAGGATCGAGAACTTTTAGAAAGGGTCGTCGCATCCATCACTGGAGTTGGTACCAGGCCTCGAATACCTGGACTCATGCGAATGCATCTAGAGGCGGTGCCGAGAGAATCGACCATATTCTACAAAAACGAAAGATGTATCATAAGAATTCGAGCATCACAAGCAAACAAAATATGCGAATGGCGTGCGTTATCGTGATTGATTCCAGTCAATGCAGTCGTTTGCCGACCGCTTTTAACCCTCCTAAACTCCGTTGGTATTGTGAACCGACTATATGCAGAGGTAAGAGACACGCCGTAAAGTCATCATGAAATATTCAAAGCACCTCAGGACCTGCTTAGATCTTGATAGCGCTCTCAACAGCCTTCCTGCGCTTCTCCATGCGGGCGTTGGCCTTGGCACCCATGATACCACCTCCCCAGTGACGGGCAGCGTCCTTGTGGTGTGACTCGAGGTAGCCGTCGTTGACAGCGGTGACGAGCTTCTGGAGCTCGTTCTTGTCCTCGGAGCGGACCTCGGTGAGGGCGAGAACAGCGGCGGTCTTCTGGTGGACGACCGTACCGAGACGGGCCTTGCCCTTGACAATGACGTAAGGGACACCTAATGAATGTCAGTTGATGTGCCATATGAAGTTTGCGCATTCCTAGCACTTACCCATCTTCCTGCAGAGAGCAGGGAGGTAGACAACGAGCTCGATGGGGTCGACGTCGTTGGCGATCAGGACGAGGGAAGCCTTCTTGTTCTCGATGAGGCCAACAACGTGGTTGAGACCGTACTTGGCGACGTAGGGCTTCTTGCTGACATCCTCCTTCTTCTTGCCCTCAGAGACGGCGGTAGCCTCCTTGGTGAGACGCTCCTTCTTCTCGGCCTTGGTCTCGGGACGGTACTTGTTGAGGATCTTGAAAGCCTGGGTGGCAAGGTTACGGTCGGCAACGTGCTGGAACTGGGCAATCGCCGGTGGGACCTTCAAGCGCATGTTGAGGATCTTCTTCTGGCGCTGAAGGCGGACGTAAGCGCTACGCGTTGTCAGTATCTGCAGAGTACGGTTGGGTTGGGGGTTGCTTACGGCCATCGGACCATGCGGCCGACGTTGCGCTGGGGCTGGATGTCCTGACCGATGCCATAGTTGCGAGGACGCTTCTCGATGAGAGGGTTCTGTTGCTTGTTAGCGCTTGCATGCAAAATCGTGTAGAATGGGCAGACCTTTTGCTTCTTGGCGGCAGAGGCCTTAGAGGTGGCCTGGGGGAAAGCCGCAGGCTTCTTTCCGGATCCTTTGGGAGGCATTGTCGAGGCTGTCATAGAGAACAGAAACCATTAGCGAATGTTCATTCACTATAGGTCTGAATCTCGTAAGAGCGAGAGGGCTTTTCAGCCGCTCTGCACTCTAGCCATCATTTGTATGCAACATGCTCGTAAAGAGACATGCGATTGATATGCTACCGAGCATTCATGGCGAAGATATGCGCTTACCTGGTGTGTTGGCGGCGGTCGACGAAGGGTGAGATTGGCGACGATGGACTTGACGAAACGTTCGAAAGCGGGCGCAAAAGTTGTCGCGACCGAAATCCAGATAGGCGAGTGCGTGCGGGTGTGGAACAAGGTTTCGCCGGCGCTAGTGCTGGCCCAATCGGAGCGTGGCACTTGGTTTTCGACCATCAACCACGACAACCTCAATTCCATGACAATGAACACGTTTGGCCTTAGTGGCAAGGGACGGATCACGCAACTGATCACCATCTTCTGTCTGTGGAAAGCATTGCTTCTCTTGCTTGCAGCGTTCTGTCCAGGTCCTGGCTATGACACCTCCGCGCTCATATTGTTCGACACGTACTATCGACGGCACCATGAATTCACCCTTTTCGCTCGACATGAGCGTCTCGCTCTCAACCTACTTCGTTGGGATGCACTGTACTTTGTGAAAGCAGCTGAGCGGGGTCTGTTCCACGAGCAAGCGTGGGCCTTCAGCGGGGCGTATTCGTATCTTCTGAGACTAACCGGTCAATGTGAGCAACGGTGGCCCAGTTCTTTGGCTCGGCACTGATATCTCCTAGTCATGGCTGGTAATACACAGGCCTCCCTGCACTACTATGTCCTGGCCGGAATCATCCTTTCTAGCGTCTGCCACCTTCTCTCTGTGCTAGTGCTGTATCGCCTTTTGACCTTGGTTCTGGAACCACAACGGCGACAGATCATCCCATTCATCGCCGCTGTCTTGCATATTCTGACACCAGCATCTCTGTTCATGTGTGCACCTTATGCGGAAGCCATGTTTTCACTGCTGAATTTTGTGGGGATGCTCTTCTACGCTCAATCTCGAGCTTCAGTTGGAACAGGAATGTCTTCAATCCAAGAGGATCTCCAGAAACTTGGCTCTGGCCTTTGTTTTGCTGCAGCAACACTCATGCGGAGTAATGGCCTACTGAGTGGCGTCATTCTCTTATACGATGTTGCAAGGTACATGCCTTTGGTTCTTTCTGCGCAGTTAAGTATGCGTGATTTGCGAAGGATTACCGTCACATGTGTGGCTGGCAGTCTTATAGCGTTGGCATTCGTTGGGCCGCAGGTTCTGGCATATGCGGAATTCTGTGACCGAGAGCAAGGCTCTGGAACCAGGCCGTGGTGTGACAAGAGCTTCCCAAGCATTTACTCGTGGGTACAGAGCTACTATTGGTGAGTAATCCCCACACAGCATGTTCCTAGTCTGACCTCTTCCAGGAACGTAGGACTCTTCCGCTACTGGACTCTATCAAACCTGCCCTTGTTTTTACTAGCGGCCCCTGTTTTATGGCTGCTTCTTACATCGAGTGTTACCATTCTCCGCAGCGGCGTCCAGCACCCGTTACATGGGCGCCCCGTACCCCGGACTAGTGGAACAACCAAACCCAGGGATGGAACCTCCGCGATATGCAAGCTACCGGAATTAGCCCTACCACAGCTAATACTGGCTGTAACGGCCGTTACCAGTTTCCATGTCCAGATTGTAAACCGAATCGCTTCCGGTTATCCGATGTGGTATCTTGTTGTGGCTACGTGGTTGGCAGACTCGCAAAGCACAATTCGTACAGAAAAAGAATCGCAGAAGACAAGATGGTATATTCAAGGTGGTATCATATATTGCTTGGTTCAGGGGATGCTATATGCCAACTTTCTCCCGCCAGCCTGAAGCTCAACTCAAGGACTTTCTCTTGAGACAAACCGGCAATGTGTTAGATGGCCGACGTAATCGACCTGTAGTTATTCTCCTGCCACATTTGACATGTGTGCATCGGGAACCATTTCTTGAGCAAGAAAAGCGAATCATGCTAAGGAAAGAAGAGGTCAAGAATGTGGAACACCAGCGATACGCAATCAAAAAGACGAATACCAACTTCACATTCTTGTTACCCCTCACATCACCAACGGTCTCATTCTGTCTCGGTAAACGGGCATGTTCCACAACTGCGTAAGCTTGTCGCACCTACAAGTTGGTGGCGTAAAGCCTACGGTCTAAGTGTTGAATGCAGACGCCTAGACAGCTAGTACGACACGGTCCATCCTAGTGAAAACGCCCGTCATCAGACATCGACTCTCCACTACGCGCATTTCGCAGATTCTACAAGACTTGAGGATATGTGAGGACGATAACTGGGGAAAATCAATGCCGATCAATGCCAAATACTGGTGACTACTTACAAGGCCCATTTTGAGGAAATGCGCTCCTTCAGACTAAGGCCCGTAGCGTTTACATGAAGCTTCGTATTACGAAAAAGGACAAAGGTTTAGTTGAGAAGCTACGGTCATGTAAGGTACTCCACAGTCTCACTGCTCGTGTCGCTGCTTAGGAGTTTCGGCCATCACAAGTGTTGAGACATACACTCTAGAACGGGCTTTTAGGGCGAGGTTTGAGGATCGCTTGGAGTGGCTGAGCTCTCTCTAGCCTGTCATGGAACGGCTCCTTGACAGTATCGTACCTGCGTAAGCTATGGACGCTGATCGTCGAGTAAAGGACCGGATCGCTGTCTAGCCACTGGAAATGCGAATCAATGGCGATCTGCTGTGCCAGCACACTACTTCATTTCCAACAAGTTTATACACAACCAAGGTCAGGAGGGTTAAACCTTACTGCATGATGGGACATATTGGGCGAGGCAGAACATTGCAGTACCCATCGCTTGTCCCCACATGACCTACTACTACTGACATATCGCTGATGTCGCAACGACGACTACGACCTCATGGACACTAAAACGCCTTTTTGAGACACTGACAGTACCCTAGTTTCTAAGCCAGGGACCTTCGCTTGAGCATGATGTTCACTGTCATGTTTTACACAGGCGCCACCGATACTACTCACTTTGCCGTAGCGAGGGCAAGAAGCGACATGAAAATGGATAGCGGAGCCTTGGGCTCAGTATGTTTGTAACTAGTCCCTTCGATGACGACAGCGACTTATAAAAGCTGCTCTAGCCCCTTGAATGATAGGTGTGCTCATCAACCCAGAACGACCTACACTTGTTGCAAAGTCAAAATGAAGTTCTCTACTTTCGCTACGTTGATCAGCCTTTCTGTAGTTTTGGCAGCAGTTCTCGATACTAGGCAAGAATGCTCCCAGAATGACTGTTATCGCGCAGTCTGGCGTGACGGCGGATTACCTCGTATGATTCAAGCTGGACAGGACTGTCAAGACTTCCTCACTACAAGCGTCATCTGGAACCCGATGTTTGTAGCCCACAAAAGCTACATGAATTCTCTGACAATTAGATAAAGCACCACCCTTACGGTCATTACTCGAACAACCTCTACCACGACGACACCGTGCTCTCCGACATTGACACCCACCGCTACGAGTCTCATAGCGCTCCCAACATCATCGGAAGATAACAAACTATGGATTCGACAAGTTCAGCCCACTGATTGGTCTACAACGACGGTCTTTGGTTCTCAGCCTTCCTACGCCACACAAGACTGTAACTCACAAGCATACTCATCCGCATGTAGGTGTGCGAACATCACTACAGCTATAGTCACCTATCTCGGAACTGTAAGTCGTTTGCTGAATGAGACAGTGTGCAGGCTGATCATATATCACAGACTGTGACCAATACCGCGACCACAACCATTACCAGTATCTCGACGACTAGCACGTCGTGCCCAGTGTTTACTCCTTCATCTTCAGCCAACTCTCCGACCTCATCAAGCACACATACATCTTCTTCATTATCTAGCAGTGTCACTAGTAGCGTGATCTCGAGCACATTGTCATCCACAAGTACAGGTAGTTCTTCTTCAAGCTCGGCTACATCATCGGTTAGCACGGGTAGCTCTTCTTCGAGCCCAACCACTTCATCGTCTAGTACGGGAGGCTTTTCATCCTCGCCGACTGAATCTAGCAGCTCATCGAGCACACCAACTACTTTTAGCTCTTCCAGCTCTTCAACCTCTGCCTCGACAGCGCCAACTACAGCGTCTTCCAGCTCTGGTAGCTCGTCGATTATCGAACTGCCTACTACTTCGGGTACCTCATCCACAGCATCAAGCAGCTCGTCGACTACTTTAGACGAAAACCCTATCACAAGCAACACGCTGAGCTCTTCCAGTTCTTCATCAAGTGCCACACCAACGAGCTCATTGTCCTCCGTTACTTCTTCCGAGAGTCTTTCCAGCAGCTCTTCTTCGAGCTCATCCGACACTTCAAGCTCTATGAGCAGCCGTACTTCTTCCGAAAGCTCTAGTAGTAGCACATCGTCTGCCTCGCTTAGCAGTTCAAGTGTCTCATCCACAAGCACTTCATTGGGCTCATCCAGAAGCATCCCGACAACTTCCACTAGTAGCACTGGATCCGAATCGTCAAGCAGTATAATTCCGACGTCAAGCGATTCGAGTTCGTCGTTTAGTAGTATCTCGTCGTCCACAGCAAGTAGTACAGACTCATCGTCATCGCTGTCATCATCTACTAGCATGACATCGACTTCCAGTGGTTCGAGCACGTCGGCTAGCAGCAGTGCTTCATCCTCGACCAGCAGCACAGAGTCATCAACCTCCTTACCCTCATTTTCTTCTTCATCATTTGGCACTACAACGGTCTCTTCATCCACTGGTACATCATCGACTACGTCCACGACGAGCGCAACACCCAGCCCACCCACCTGCGGAGGTGATGGCGTTGCACTTTGTGACGGCGGCTGCCACGACCTCAAAACCGACGTTCTTCACTGTGGTCGCTGCAACAATGCCTGCGCTGCGAATAAAGGATGTTTCAACGGAGTCTGCGCGTCCTTCCCTTGTGATTCCACTTGCGCGTTCGACCGTCTGTGCGGTTCCGGCAACGGGACCACGATATGTCGCTGTGCAACAACCACGGAAGGCGCTGGTGTCTGCTACAACAAGGACGGAACTGACTGTACGGACCCTGCTATTACCCAATGCAGGCTCTCAAGTGAATGCCCCGTTGGTATGGCTTGCATGCCCAACATCTGTGACTGTGGAGATCAAAGCAAGGGAATCTGTGTTGGCACGGCTGGATGCGGAGACCAGGGAACGAGCATCATGAGAGGACTAGTTAGGATTGGGGAGATGGAGAGGCGAAGGAGGACCGTGAGGGGCTTGGCGAACTCTCTTTGAGGGGAGATACGGAGCGAATAGGCCATGGGAGTGGCCCGGGTGTGTGGTAGCATACGCAGGGAGATGGGTGGCATCGTGTCTTGTTATTTGGGGAAAGTTTGGCTGCTCGATACATACTACCTAGGTAGTGAGCGTTGTATAATGGTTTTCACAACACAATATACATCCTTCGCTTCTATACTTCGGCATCGCTTGCCGTATTGTGAAAAACACTCGACGTCAGTGCGCGATAGGCTTCCTCTGCATAACAACACGGATGGCTCTCGCTTTGTTATGTCGCGTTGTTGTGGGCGGTCAATCCTCCCGAGGCCAGATGCTAGCTTCTTCCATCATGTGAGCAACACAGACACCAAAACACAATAAAATGATGTGCCAGAGACTTGGGCCAGAGGTTTGCGACCGCGAACATGCAGGATGCGGTGTGATTGGGGAGATGAAGTTCGTGTGTGGAGAGACGTTTTGTCGGCACCCTAGCAGCAGAACAGCCATGGGCAAACGGTTCCTCCAGGTTTCCATGCCTGACGACGATTATGACGGATGCAAACTATAAGCGCATGAATATGGCCGTCGATAGAAGTTAGCGCGTCACGGTGGCATGCATTGGCGTGCACCCCACATGCTAGCACGCGTGGTTGCTGGGACGATCGCCCGCATGTTTATGGGTATCCGCAAACGGACGGTCGACCTGCCTCATCATCGCCTTCCTCTAATATGTCCGCCATCCTTCTGCTATAGACAATTCACGTTTCAAGCCTTCTCTTCCCGGCCCCGGCCTCAGTACACGCTTCCACAATTATCTTTTTTTCTGGAGCAGCATCATGTCGACGCCGGACATGGCCGCACCACCCGCTGCAGGGCACCGACGCAACAAATCCTCTGCAGTGCTCAAGTCTATTATTGTAAATAAAGGCCACAGGCGTTCGCCGACCGAGGGCGCTGCGCTGCACACCGCTCAGATATCCAACCCGCCATACATGCCTGTCTCCAACTTCCAGGCGCCCTTGCTACCGCCAGACCACCCCCATAGCCAATTGCGCGCGGCCAACCAGACAGAGAACGACCCCCTCAACCCGCCGTCGCCTCGCAAGTCGCAGGACGCCAAATCGAGCCCCAAGAAGAGCCTGCACAAGAAGACGCTCAGCTCCGTATCGCTGCGGTCACTGGCGAAGAAGGAGGACAAGTCCGCTCACAAGAAATCGTTCGACGCGCGGCGAGCGCAGGAGGAGATTGAGGCAGGCGAGAAGCCCAAGAAGACGAAGTCGTCGACCAATCTGGCTGCCATGTTCGGCAAGGGCAGGAGAGACAAGTCACCCGTCAAGGAGAGCAGAGACAAGGAAAACACCACACCACCCCGCACCTCCTATGCACAGGCCCCACCGCGCACTCCCATTTGGGCCGAGTTCAGCTCCCAGCAGGAAGTCACCACCACGAGCAAAGTCCCTCTGAACGACCAGCGCCGGAGCGTCGAGGACGAGATCGCCCTCTACACACCGCAAGACTACTCGCCCACCAAACAGCGCAACTTCTTCGAGACTGGCCAGCCCTCGCTCCGACCTACCCAGAAGGAGCGACCCAAGTCCATGTTTGTTCCCAAGTCGACTTCCACGGCATCGTTACTCGAGACCTTCTCGCGCAAGCGGAGCAACGAGCGTGTTCCTCTGTCCGACACCAAGGGCAACGAGGGACGCACCAGAGAGAGCTCTCCTACCAAGCCGCCGAGACCCATACTCAGTAGAGCGAGTACCGACACTGGCAGCAAGGACTACAGCCTCAAGGATATGGCACCTCCGCCAAGTCCTACAAAGAAGCAGAACCGAGTCATGGCCGCCGTCGCTGCCTTTAACGGAAAGTCCAAGCAAGCTGAGAGTGCCCCGGCTTCTGCCAAACCTGATCCTAAGGTGGTAGACGCCGAGTTCGAGGAGGTTCTGGTAAGTGCTCTCTCGATATCTAGCTGATCCCTCTACTAACAACATCAGGAATCCCGAAATATCCCCGCCCACCAGCGTGCGCAGATGCGGACACTGAAGCTAGAGGTCAAGGCCGACTTTGTTCGAATGCACAAGCTTGACATTCCACAAACCTCGAAGACAAACTCTGCACATTCTTCCATTGGAGAGAACACCAAGCAGGTACCACAGAAGTCATCCAAGTCTCGACACGGATCTGCTGTTGAAGATGCAGAGGATGAGGCGCAAGACAAGTCAGCAAACTCAACTAAGCGTGAGCGTCCAAGGAGCCGAACCTTTACCTTCAACAGGAGTGACTCTCCTACAAAGAAGCAGAAGGGCGGCGAGTTGGGCGAACGAAAGACGTCGTCAAAGCCAGCTCCTATCCCCAAATCTCCCTCTATGAGATCTCTGAGGTCTAACGCTTCTGACCGATCTGTGTCCAACGGAGCCAAATCTGTCAAGGCCGACGAGTTCATCTCCTACATGAAGAAGACCCCCAAGCCACAGAACGTCGAGGTCGGCAAGCTGCACAAACTCCGCTTGTTGATCCGTAACGAAACTGTCGACTGGGTTGACAACTTCATCCAGGACGGTGGTATGACTGAGCTAGTCGCACTCCTCCACCGGATCATGGAGGTTGAGTGGCGCGAAGACCACGAAGACACTCTTCTTCACGAACTCCTCCGCTGTCTCAAGGGACTCTGCACGACTGCTACCGCTCTCAAGCAGCTTAACGAGATCTCATCGACACTGTACCCAGCCTTGCTGGCTATGCTTTTCGACGAAGAGCACAAAGGTCCGAGCGAGTTTACTACGCGTGAACTCATTATCGAGATCATCTTCGCTCACATCTCCATGGCACCAGAGGCTGAACTGGAGACTCGCGCTACCGAGTTGATGAAGTATCTCAAGGATCCAGTCAAGGAGAAGCAGGCATCCACTGTTCCGTTCATTCTACAGATGCACCAACCACGACCCTACCAAGTATGGTGCAAAGAGATGTCCAACGTCACCAAGGAGGTTTTCTGGATCTTCATCCATCACCTCAACGTCATCCCTGTTCCACCCAAGCCGACAGGAGACAGGTCTTACGCTAAGACTCACTTCCCCGGTCAACGCGCCATTGTGCCCGCAGCTCCCTACGTTGGTGGTGTAGAATGGGATGCGACCAACTACCTCGCCACACACATTGATCTCCTCAACGGCATCATAGCTTCACTCCCCACCCGCTCAGCACGTAACGAATTCCGCCAGGAACTCAAAGTCTCCGGCTTCGAGAAGCTGATGGGTCACCTCCGCGCCTGCAACCCCAAGTACTATGGCGCTGTTCACGACAGCGTCAAGGTCTGGATCGGCGCTGCACTTGAAGACGATTGGGACGTCAAGACTGTGCGTATGGGCTCTGACGGCAACGTGAGCCCAGCCAAGCAAAGCCCCAAGAAGAAGACCGAGCCTCCGCCACAACTCCAGGCACCACCTAAGATGGATGTCGGCCTTGGTCTCGGATTGGGCTTTGAGAGGGAGATTGCGATCGGCAGCAAGAGTATCGTGGATGACGATTGGATCTAAACTGTCGGATCACTATTCGACATGGCTACCCATCATCTGTTACCGCTTTGAATGCTCTCGACTATCTACCCACTTGGATACCACCTCACCCACTACGCATCTACAAACAACCACTGCATTGATTTTTCCAACGGCGCAAAACGGATACATATCGGCGTTCATCACCTCTCCATCTCACGTCCATGCATTCACACCGGTCAATCCTTCGTTTTCCACCACGCTCTCTTTGGATCTACCTATGGTCGAGTCCAAAATCCCTACCTTATTCACGACTTTAGCATGACATGACTTGACGACCGACACGGCTGGTTCCCTGGGACGACGTTGTGTTTTTACTCTCTCTCCCTTTCGGACACAGATACATGAAACTTGTGTATATACTAGTTTTGGAGCCCTGTTTTGTTTTTTTGTTTTCTTGGATGCATCTTTATGGGGCGTATAATGTTGGACTGTGGTGTTTGGGTAGTCCTTGCGCATTGCGAATCTAGTGGTCTATCTTCACTATTATCTTCTCGTGATGACGTGTGGTGATGATTGTTTATCATATATTGGTAAATGTGATACAAAAGCCCTACGCAGGACTATGAATATTCTATGTGGGGTATCTGACAAGTTTCACAACCAACTCCGTCAATCCAGTGCATGCCGCTAAATCATAACTCCATCTACATCGTGTGCTTGACAAACTTCAAGCCTTCTTCTTGCCTTTTCTTCGGCCCTTCTTCTCGGCGACTTCCACCGTTCCGCCCTCGACTTCACCCTCTTGCAGCCCCATGACTTCATTCGCCTGCATCTCCTTCAACTTCTCCTGGCCTGAGATGAAGAAGCTCAAATCGCGGTTCTGCTCCTCAAGGTCCGCTTTCTGCGCATCAAGCTCCTTGACTCTGTTCTCCGCTTCTTCGGCCTTCTTTTCCAAGTGTTTGATGCGTTCCATAAGAGACTCGTTCACAATCTGCTCTTCCTTGTACTGCTTGGTGAGTTTGCGAGCGAGGTCGGATGCTGACGCTGCTTTCTGAGCGTTGCGAGCGGATTCCTTTGTGAGAGAGGCGATGGTGGCTGTTGCTTCTTCGTGCTCAGTGGATAGCTTGTCGAGTTTCTGAGACAATGAAGCAACAGAACGGCTTGCTTCGTCAGCGGTGGAAGCTGCTTTTGCCGCTTTGTCGACTGCACGCTCAAGCTGTTCTTCAAAATATGCGCGTTGAGATTCGAGTTGCGAGGTAAGTAGGTACGCGTACTCCATACCCATGTTATCCAGCTTCTCGCGTGGTACGGTGTCGTTGGAGTAGCCTGTCATGCCGGGTGCACTGAAGGACTGGTTAGAGGCTGGCATGTCGACGAGCTTGCCGTCTGCTTTGTTCTGTATGAGTCGATGGACGTAGCCATCACCTGCATAATCCCAGACGTGTTGCGTTACCACATCCATGGCATAGGTATGACTCGTTGCCTCATAGTGTGCGAATGCGTGCGCCGAGTCGTAGCGACCACACCCTATGTTGCCGCAGATCAGACAGATCCAAAGATTTTGTGTGGATCCGCAGACGCTACACTCATTATCCGGGCTCTCGCCATCAGCGCCACGGTTCAAGGCAAAGGCATCATTTTGTGTGTAGCGGCAGACTGGACAGCCTGAGCCTCGCCACTTCTCAAGGCAAGCGCAGTGAAAGACATGCTGGCAGAGAATCGTCAAAAGCCCTGTTGTTTCGTCCATGCGTTCGAGGCAGACTGGGCAGGTGGGTAACTCTACCAAAGCAGGCGTAGGTGGAGCGTGCGGTTTTGCGGTGAGGGAAGTAGCGATTGGTGGGCCCTCAACTGGCGAAGAGACGTTGCCAGCTGGCGGGAGAGGTGCAGTAGGTTGTTCGGTCGGTGCGGGCGCAAACGGATCGTTCGTAATATCGGGATATGAGGTAGGATCGCGGTTCGAGTCGCCGCTCTGAAAATTGATCGACTTGACGAACACGACGTGACAATACTCAGGCTATCGATGTTAGCTATCGCTCCTTGACTGCAGCGATACGTTCTCTTACCTCCATACTGTTGAAGGCCTTGCCGTCCCATTCTTTTCTCCACGCTCTAGCTCTCTCGGCTTCCCGAAACTTCATCAACACCATGTACTTGTTCGCTCTGCTTGTCCGGATAAGTCTGAAGTGGGAAACCTCCTCTCTGGTCTGCTCGCCCATGAAGCCCAAGAAGTCGGATGGTGTCATATATGAGGGGACTGCTAGTATGCACAGGGTGGTGCAGTCTTCCTCATTGAATTCCTTGCTCGCTCCATCCACCTCGTCGTACAGCCCTGGTGTTTCCTGTCCATCGCGGTAGAGATGTACCACACCCCAGCCAACCTCTGTGTTCTTCGGTTCCGAGGGTATGAACTTGCCCTTTGTCGCGAGACCGCCGGTGTTTGGCGCGTGTGAGGGGTGCTTGAGGTGGTTGGCGCGAGTTCGATCAAGCTCAGTGCTGGTCGGGTTCATGTCGATGCTGAGTATAGATATGGTGTCGAAACGCCAGTCTCTGTGCGCAAAGCTCTGTGTTCGTCTGTGTCCCGGCCTCTTCGGAGGTTTGACGACCGGTACGGGACTATCGTGGTGGTCGGAGAACGATGGTCGCGTGCGCTGGCTGAATCGACGGGCAGTAGATTGGCGATCGCGAGAAGCAGTAGCTTGGCCGGTTTCACTACTAGAGGCTATGGGCTTTGTGAAGCTATTATAGGCGCGTGATGGCGGAGGGGGAGAGCCCCACGATGCTCGGCGATGGGCCGGAAGTCTCGAGAAGATGTCGGTTCGCGGCGGAGGGGTAAACGTTTTGTCCGGTGGTGAGCGCGAGGGATAAAGCTCCAAGGTAATGTGGAAGAAGTACGCCGGCATCAGGTGTTGTTTGAAGAAGTCCGCATTTCCAGCCAGTGTCGGACAATGTATGCGAACTTATGAATGTTAATGTGAACTGGACGTGTTTGCGACCTGAGCCGCGGCAGTGTGGGGCAAGCGCGTCACATCCCGCTTTCACTAGCGCTGGCTTAGTCTAGACGCGCACACCTTCGTAACAAGGGCACAAGTCAAACATTAAAAAGAATTTGTGAATAAAATTATGTATCTACTTCTTCATAGTAGTTGTGGTCCGTAGACGCTTACTGATGCAGCCCCGGATATTGTAAACGCCATAGCTATGCAAATGTAAGAAACATCGTATCCTAGCACACCTGCTGTTCCTACACCTAGGTGTACGGTAATGGACAGAGCCAGGCTAATAAGAGCAGTTCATAATGCCACCCGAACGAACAGGATTCGGGTGCCGTGTCGTGAAGTCATTCGCCAAAACGCGCGTGATGGGTATCGCTTTTGAACATGTGGGGAAACATTCGCGCCGGTTCCAAAGGTATGCTGGGTGTGTTTGTGTAGTCGTGTATTTCGCTGTGTTGAACGGAAGAGTGAGGAGGCCTAAGCCTCGACGTCGATTAATTCGCCTTCAGAGACGTCTTCGATCTCGTGGCCTCTAGCATTGACGACAATACGTCGTCCTCGTTGATCAGCGGGAACGCCGTCGCGCGAGGCACCGAAGTCAAGAACCTGATGTATTGTTAGCAAGAGCCCCGACGAAAGCCTTTACTGAAGGTGGGGCGCAGCTTAGAGGAGACGGGCTCCTTTTCGCTGTTAATTGCTTACCTCAATGTATGTCATGCTGTTTCGCTGAACAGCAGCAACGCAGCGACGCTCGTTGAACTTGACCTGCCAAACACCGCTCAGATCTGTGAGCAAGTCCTTAACGAACTCGCCCGTCTTCACGTTCCACATCTTGAGTGTTCGGTCAGAGCCAGAGATGACCTTCTGGCCATCATGCTGGAAGCAGGTAATGGCACCTGTGTGAGCACAGAGTCGGCTCTTGCATTGTCCGTTCTCCGGATCCCAGATTCGGAGGGTTGAATCAGCAGCAGCCGACACCAAACGCTCATGGCTCAAGTCGAGAAGACCAACAAGTGAGGTATGACCTTCAAGGGTGAAGATACAGGCACCTGTTTCCAGAGACCAGACCTTGACCATGTTATCCATCGAACCACTGATGCAACGGTTGCGCGCGTGGTCAAGGACGACGCTATACACCTTCTGCGAGTGGCCTTGGAGACGTTGCAGAACTTCTCCAGTCGAGATTTTCCACACTCGAACTGTACAGTCGTAACTACCACTGACGAGCGTGTCGCCGTGTGCAGCGATTGCACGTACTGAATGATGGTGCCCAGTTAGAGCGCGGATAAAGTACGGGTTGTCGTGATCGTTGGATGCCGCTGCAGTCTGCATGATGCCCCGGTCGCCTGGCTTGGGAAGCTTCCAAACACGGAGGGTGGAGTCTCGTGAGCCAGTGATGATGAGCTCCTCCTTCGGCATCATGATCGGCTGCCCGTCAAGGGTCTCACCAATCTGAGTTGGCTTGAGGATCACTAAGCACCGGACGGTGGATGTATGGCCCTGGAACACGTGTGTGCACTTTCCGTTTTCGATGTCCCATACTCGCACTGAGCGATCAGTCGAGCCGGATACAAGTGTGTTTCCCTCATACTGAAGAGCCCACACGCCACCCTCATGGCCCTCGAGGCGGCTTCGTAGCGCTCCTGTCTTGGTGTCGTAAACATTGATGTTAGTATCGTCACTACCAGTCAGGATCTTGTCTGTGTCGAATTGCAGACATGTCACTACGTGGCGCTGATGTGCGCGGAAAGCAATGTGCTTTGGTTTTGTGTCTACCGCCATCCAGCTTTTGCGGATGAGGTGATGTCTTTGGTACAGAGATTTGAAAAGATGCATAGCACGAAGGCCGGGCAAGCCAACGTTGGGATCAGAGATGGCGGCTTCTGCTCTCTTAGCAAAAGCATGCGGGCCCTCTTGATAATCTGCAGGTTGCGAGTAGAGGGCAACCTGTGTCCTTGTGGAGGTACGACTCTTGCGAGCCTTTTTGCCACTGCTGCTGCTATGCTTACTTGTAGCCTTCCTCTTCTGACGTGTGGACGAGGATCGTGTCACTGCACCCTCCTGATCTTGGAGGCCGCTAGACAGGCTAGAAGTGGAGAAGCCTGAGATGGTTTCGCTGTCTGACCTCGAGGTTACTGATTGAGCTCGCAGGTCGCGCTCGTAGCTGTCAGTGGAATGGGGATATTGCCAGCCCCAGCCTTCTTGCACAGCACGCTCCAGCTCGCCATGCGGCAGCTTGTATCCATCTTTGTCTAAGAGATCTTTCCACGCGGACTCATGGGTATCGGTGAGTTTCCGCCAGTACTTGGACACTTGTGCTGCGCTGCACATGCTCTTGACATCCAGATAACTGATGATCTCAAGGCTAAGTTCGGTAGGAAGCGAGGCGATGAAGTCCCTCTTAAGGGCAGGGTTGACGACATCCGCAACGAAGTGTAGGGTCGGCTTTTTGCATCTCCGCAGCATCTGGTACAAGACGTACGACTTCATCTGCTCTGGCAGAGCATCGAATGAGTTGAGCATATTCGGTATATCCATGACAGAAGGAGTAGGCAGTTGCGTATTGGAACCGTCACCATTGTCGCGGTGTTGGGAACCAGGGAAAAGTGAAAAGTCTCCCATGTGCGAGCTGCTTGAAGTGCCCTGTGACAGGTCAAATCCTGACACATCATTCACATCCGAGTCCATTTCTGTGCTTGAGAAGGACGCTCCACCATTCGTTTGTTGCGCGAGGTTTGCGGCAGCCGTGATGGGCGACAGGCTGGGACTGGGCAAGCTTACATCTTGCGCCGAAGTTGTATCAAGGGGAGTGAGTCGTGAGGGCGTAAAAGATGCGTCTTCGGCGAAAGGTCCACCTGGCTCCAAATCGGACTCAGCAATTGGGGGTGTAGCAGCTACGCCTGGGCCGTCGAATACACCCGTGGGGAAAGAGGGCTCGGGGGTCGGCTCTCGGTCGTCAGAGAGGCTGCCTCTAGAGTGTGATGAGCGAGCACTGGATTCCTGGAGCCGCCATCGAGGCGGCGTTTGGTTCGGTCCGATCTGCTGTGACGTAGCTCTGGGCTTGGAGCTGTGTAGATGGTTATTGCGGAGTTTTGGGAGTTTGGACGAGCCGAGGCCGGCCATGTCTGTGTCGGGCGTAGCGAGGTGTGGATCCTCCATCTCATTCGATGTGGGACGGGAGGCCATGCGAGCGTCCTTGTCGTGCTCTAACCTAGGCTTCTTGCTCTGGCGATGTGTACCGAGCAGCTCAACGGCTTTTGTGATTGACGGTGGCGGCGAATCGTCTGCATTATCCCGTTTCCGACGACCAGAGACTGAACGGAGGCCTTGGTGAGGAGCGCGTGGCTTTGGACGCGTCGAGCGGCTGGGTGTCGCGAAGACTGGCGGGCCGTCGTAGGACTCGACCTTCTTGAGGGTGCCGTTTGCGGATCGTAGGTTCTGGCGGAGTGTTTTCTGCTGCAATCAAAGTGTTAGCTGGGGGGCATGGCGGCTGCAACGTGAAAGGCCTCAGCTGCAGGCATATCCCTGGCGTGAGGGAAAAGCGTACCTCTCGCACCTTCTCAGAGGCAGCGTCTGCTTCCTCAAAGCAAGCCAGTTCGCCTCCGGATTCAAAGTAGAACTTGCGTATTGACTCGGGAGCCTGGACGTGGGCCAGCGGGTAGTCCTTGGGGTCTCGCTCGCTGAGGCTGCCGGGGGCGTTTACACACAAGGGCGGGAACGTGGTCGTGGTCGTGTATGTGGTAGTGACTACGGTCGTCTTGGTTGCTGGCGCGAAGGAGAACTGTCCCATGGTGGCATACGGGTCTGTGGCTTCGGTGTGCACTGTCGTGGCCACGCCGTCAGCGCTGGGGCCTGCAGCGTTGGAGGCCATGTTGCGCGGGCGTGACGGAGGGCGTGGATGTTCTTTCGAGTGTCGGTGATGCGTGCGAGGATGGGTCTCAAAAAGCTTGTTCGGTTCACTTGCCGAGTGAAGTGGCTCGCGGAAACGTTAGTGGTGGTGATCCGGGACCTGAGACCTCGGGACCAAAGCGCGAGCTCGGCGGAGCAGGAATGACGCGGGAGAAGACGATAGGCCTAGTTATTGTGCATGTCGCCAGTCGGTACACACGTCGTCTGCTGGCTCGCGGAGGCCGTCACGGGGATCGTCGTGGTCGCTATCGGACGTGTCGCCGCCGACGGAGAGATAGGAGCGTATGGAGACGTGATGGCGTGGTTGAAACGCGGGAGACTGGAGTGCCGCCAAGGATGTCGCCGTGTCTGCTGAGGAGGCGAGGGAAGCGAAGGACGGTCGTGTATATGGCTCTGTCGGGTATTGCGTGTGGATTGGCAGTGGTGGTGGGGTTTAGGTAGACGAAGGCACGACAGAGCATCTCGCAGTGGGCCACTGACTAGCGCTAATGGGTTGACATGGGTGCTTGACAGCTTGCCGTCTGTATTGCGCAATGGGAAGCTCTAGAGCTTCGTTATATTAGGATTTATTGTTGCTTCTGCAGGTATCCATGTTATCTATATCTCACATAAAGACCTCTCAACGCTCATGTCGTGTTGGAGCTATAGTTGAGCTATTGCTGCAGCTTTGCGGGCGCTGCGGGCGGTATATTGATACCGCCAGTCACGAGGCTTGTGCCGAGTGACGCCGCATTCGGTCAGCCATCCCATCAACTTTTCTGGCGTGGCAAAACACGACAACAAGCGCCGTCTTTGTTGTTCTCTATCCATTGCTCTGTAGACACACGTACACACACACACCGCTACAAGCAGCATATTGGAAGCCATCCTTTTTCGATACTGCTTGGGTTGCGTATGCAATAGCTGCAGGTGCAGCAGTGTTGGAAGCGGCACGGCTGTACGACGCCACAAGCGCTACATTGCATGACATCCCGATAAACACAAATACACAAAGCCTGCGATGCAATTTCTACACAGAAGCAGCTGTTGCAACGAAGATGCAATTGCGAAGCTAGGCGCGGCCTCGAAAATGGCGACGGCAACTCATTGCTACACCGCCGTCTTGAGTTGAACCAGGAATCCTTGCTACGTGTAGATGACCCTTCGACATCACGAAAGCACCCTGATAGGAAGGAACTCGATTTTTCCACCATATATCCTATACACTAGACCCTACTCGAAGTCATACACACGCTTTTGTGTTACAACTTCAACAACCACATAGCGGCACATACCCTTAGAGTACCTAGGTATCTTTGGCTACACGACCTTAGGAAGACACAACTTTGTAAACACGAGCTCTTTCTTATATGGGCTTGCTCACCGAACCTGAGCAGCAGCAGAAGCTCAATGATGTCTCTCCAAGCAAAAGGTGACATTGCGATAGACTCCTTCCACCGCACCCTATTCGAGACACGGCGACGACAATATCCGTCAAGGCACTACATTATGTGATTGTCTCCATCACGTATTTTCCCCACTCGTGTCCGCACTCGCATCGTTGTCGCTTTCCTTGTTAAAAAACCTCCTTCTTGCCTGCCTTAGCGGCATCACGGTTCCTGCTGCACCACCAATGCGGAAGCGATGACGAGGAAACGCGATAACTGTCCTCTCTCGTTCTCTTCATATGGTAGCTGATGAAAAAGACGACACCTAAACACTTTGAGTAGCTAGCGAATATTGTCCCAGCCATCGGTCTTTCAGTCTCAGACTGGCCGGACGGTACACAGGAGGACTACAAATTCATCCCTTCAGGCGAAACAGTAATTAATAGGAAGCAATGACAGCACAACAGTCAATTACAATACCATACTGCCAGGAGATAACATCGCCCAGGTACTCGAAAGTCTTTGGGCTATTTCAGTGTGTTGGAACTTACGCAGGATACTGGACAATCACATGGCTGAGGCCATCTTCCGATGCTCGGTTTCACATGAAGGCGTTATACTCTACACCTGGGATTACTCACTATATATGCGTCTGGTTCATAGCCTTCAAAGCATACAAGCGAGAAGCTAACAGTACGACCACTAGGACCTGCTCCGAAATCCAACCATAGTTACCAACGAGATGGATGCACCATAAAAGCTGAAACGACCTTCTCAAGCCTCAGAACTTGTGGTGCCAGTAGAGAGCCTGTCAAGTGCCCGCGGTGCAATCTATGTTCAAAACAACGCGGTGAGAACTCCGAAGCGCCCCAATGCCACTAAATGTGTTCGGCTGAGTTCGGTCAACCTCGCTGATAGCCTCATTTGCGTGCCCAAAGTGTATCGCAGTCGCGTGTTTGGATTATTGACTCAGGCAGTAAGACGGTCTTTCATGTGCGGGCCTTCTCTTATACCCAAACGAACTATAACATTTCATAACCAAGCATTTATGACAGCGTCGAGCTCCCGCGTCAGCGCTAGACAAACCATACTGATAATTCGACGCGTACATGACATGGGTCAGCTTACAATAACCTGAGAAGATAGCCGTGGTGGAGCGCGTGGAAAGGGACCGCGCTTCTTCGCTAGGAGATGCCGGATCTACGAAGAGCCGGCTTGGCTACGTGCATCCCCACGAGGATGTTCGTGATCATCAGAAGATAGCCGCACCATCACTATGGAAGAACAGGAAGGGAAAGACGAAGGTCAATCGCGCAATTCGTTTCTCACCCCTGACGATGCTCACAGACCCAGATGTGCACTATGTGGACACTGCAGAGCTGCTGCTACCCGTTTTGTATTGCAACGTGATGAATGGATACGAGGCGATGTGCAACATGTGCGACGTGGGCTGGTGGTGGTGAATCGGAAAGAAAGCCGGTGGGGAAGGCAGCACGACATGATGCAGGTACAGGTGGTGGAAATTGGCGACGGAGTGGTGAGGTTATCGTTCTGCCTCAGGGCTCTGTCGGAGACTATGGTTCATGTTCGGCGTCCAGCGGGGAATCATATCGCCGCTGCCCTAGGACTAGGGCGCTGGGCGGGTGCTAGTGTCGTCTACTGACGCATGGACAATCCTACAAAGTTCGGTACGGCGAGCTCTAGTCCTTCTCAACCACAAGTAGGTTTTTCGCTCCTGACGATTCCAGCCCTGTCTTTTGCGGCGATGGCGACGGGCGACAGACGAAAATGCTCGTGGCCGCGCACTGCCGCAGCGCTGCAAATTCCGACTAGAGAACGGCGAGCTGTCATATGACAGATACTCAGGGTATGCATGTCTGAAGACTGCAGGTGTGGCTTTGAGACCGTGCATGGCTCGACGCTTGTGCACACAAGCGGTCCGCACGTCTGCAATGACATGAGCGACCCCTGAAGCCGACTGCCATGCGGATCCTACCATCACCAGCTCCTCACAAGCGGTAAATTCAATGGATCCTTGGGCGATAACTCGCGGGTTATACCCGCCCTCTCCCATCTTCTTGGGATTTCTGGAGGGTTGCCACTTTAATCCGCTGTCCCCCTCGCCCCCAGAGGGCCGACACTCAGCAAACTTGATAGTCCCGTCCCATCGCTGCATGACATCGTACTACTCGCGCCGCGCTGCCGTTCCTGCAGATAGCACTCAACCAGTCCACGCCGGATTAGCGCTCTGTGCAGCATCGCCGTAGGGGCCCGCAATTGAACCCTTGGATTCCTCCATCGAAGCTGCCGGACTTCTTCCACTGCATATCGGATCGCCTCCCTGCACCCAAAAGCAAACATCACTTCATGTCCTGTCAGCGCCGGCCGGTGGCAGCACAAGACGTGCCATTCGACAACACTCTACCCCATGTGGCCATTGCCATTGTAGCGCCAACGAATACCGCGATTCAGTCTCCACCATCGTATCTCTAACTTTACTGAGTCGCACCCACGCCCGCACCACAGCCACCAATCTCTCTCTGCCCACTCGCGGCTGTCCCAGGCATCATGGCTCGCGGCGACCGCGGACCCAAGAAGTTTTCCTTCCCACTGCCTCGCCGCTCGCGATCCAAACTTGACGTCCACGACGTCCACCCTGCCCCATCGATACCCTCTGGCCCCGAGAGGCCCTCCCGTCACGAAGATACGTCCAGCAAAGCACATCGAGTACTGGGCACGTCCGATGCCCTGCATCGCTCGACATCAAGACAGTCGACAATCCCACCAAGTCCTGGTTACATGTCCATTACCGTATCCGAGGCTAGTTTCGGCTCTCACATCGACGAGAGAAACTCGCAAACAGCCACGGAGAACAGTGGACACCCGAAACGACCCAGCATGTCAAAACGACCATCGTCCAACGTCCTAGGACGCACCTATACTGGAGAAAGTAGGCAGGGCTCTGACAACGGTTCCGTCACTCACCGGCTACACCCACAAACGTCCAACTCGACCCTGAGATCGCACTACGACGCGAAGAGTTCACCCCTGTACATCTCACAGCAAACCTCCGATTCGGCAGTCCGAGATAGAGCGTTACGAAGAGGACAGCCTCCGGTATTGACGGACCATGGTTACGACAACTATGATGCCAGTCCAATGTCGCCTGCCATCCTGGATGAAACGAGGAAGAAGGAATACCGAAAAAGCAAACCTGCCCGCCTGGATCTGTCCAAACTGTTCCCCAAGCCCAAGGACAACAGTGATGGACCCAACTATGGTACATTGCTTTCGCCCACCAAGATGGTGAACTCACCGGCTGCCATGTCCATGAACTCGGAGTACTTCCCTCACCCAATGACGAGGCACCCGACACCACAAGCAGGACCTGCCAAGCTGCAGAAGCCTAACGTGAAGTATCAGAATCCTCCAACAAGGACTCCCCCAAGTCCAGTACGCAAAGTCAAGCGGGATCAATATGACAATGCGAAAATACATGTACGACGACCACCAAAAGGCGTGCAGCATTGGTTTGATGCGCTCGACGAGGAGAGCGAAGACAGCCAGGCGGAAGAAACACAGCAGCCACATGACGATGCTATATATTCAGATCTCAAACCTGTTGTGCCAGACCATAGCTATACCGCTGGTGAGCCCTCGCGAGGCAGAAGTGCATCAAACTACAGTCGTCGATCGCAGGATCCCACACCAGCGTACAAACGGGACAGCTTCGCGCTCGAGGACATTGTTGACATTACTCATCTAACCTCACCTAGCCAGTACTCAGTAGACACGTATCGAACGTATTCTACGTCAAAGACTAAAGAGTCTGCCCTTTCCAAGACCAACCTTAAAGACTCTAGCGTCTTGTCTTTTTCGTCATCTGAAGACGAGAGCGACAACCGGTCACGATCTCGCAAGGGCAGCGTTCGCAAGAGCTTGGACAGTGGCGACTACACAGGGGAGATTGTCATTGGACGAGCACAGGCATATGAAGTTCGCCCACACCGTCGTGGGCAATCATCTGGAAAGATGAGCACACTCTCGACATCTACAACGGCCACCATGGAAGTGATGTACATGCCGGAGCCGCCACCTCTCCCATCGTATCATTATCCTCGAAACAGTACTCACAGTGGTGGTAGACGGATAAGCCACGTGAGGCAGCCTTCGGTCATTCATGAACACGAAGATTCCCGCCCACAGACTGCTGTTACCACACCAGTGTCACCTACGGCACATAGCGTTGTGAGTGCGCGCACGTCAGCAAGTGCGCCGCAGCCCCAATCGGAAGGGTCGCGCAAATATATGCAAGTGACGGCAGAAGAGGAGGCTTTGCTGGAGCTGATGAGAAAGAAACGCGCAGCTATGAACAAACAGAGCGCATCGCAGGCGCCCACACGGGAACAAGAGAAGCAGCTCAAGCCGGCAGCGGAAAGGTCTCCACCACACCGCACGTCCGCCTTTCTTTCAACAGATTCTCGGGAGTCAAGTCATGTAAGATCCACTGAGACCAGGTCCAAGCACCGGGCATCTGCAGGTACATCTTCGTCGCTTGCGCCATCACGTGGCAGATCCTCGACGACTGAAAGCCAGGCAACTACCAGCCAACTCCGCGATAGTTCCGTAAGCGACACATGGTCAGACCGCAACTACTCTCCTGCTAGTCGAGGAAGGCTGCCGCACCACTTCCCAATGCCCTCCGGGTTTTCACAAGTGGATCCGTTCCCGCCTACGTCCCCAACACTTGCTGCTAGCATAGCATCACCCACGACTACTGACCACCCATCACCTCTACCCTCGCCAATGACGCCCGCACTTTACACTGACGACCAGGACGTAGTCAAGGTGGCGAGCAGTGATACCAGTAACGAGCTTGAGGAATTCCCTATGCTCGATCAAGGTGTCATTAGTTCACCGCCAGAGAGAATGAAAGATGAACCATTCCATCGCCGCAGTAGGACTGCATCCAGTCCCACGGCAATCTCATTCCCGGTACCTCCCACGTCTACTGGTTTTAGAGATTTGGCCCCAGTCTCTGAAGCCTCGTCTCGTGCTCCTAGCATCGTCGAGCCACCAGTCCCGAAACCCTCAAAGAAGGTCGCCCGACACATAAGTGAACTGGCGCTCGCGGGCGCCGAAACGCGAAATCGACAGAGCAGCATTCACTCTACCGGATCACGTACGTCTGTCTACTCACAAACGTCAAGCTACTACAAGAGCGCTAGCACAAGAAGATCACGCCACCTGAGTCCAGATGACAACATCACGAGTAGCCCAAGGATGACGAGTAACGATCGCGACAGCGTCAGTGACGATGTTCTGGCTGCCTGGAACAGTTTAGGAGGGACCTACTAAACCTCCGCATCGCTTTCTTCCTTTTGTCTCGTCACACTGCATTACCACACTATGATACGATTCCTTTCTAGCATTTACATTATTCCACTTTCTGCGGTATGATACCCCCGCATCACACGTTTCCGCCGCTTTCTAGCTCGGCCTACTTAACTTGTAAACCTAAAGTCGCCATTTGCTACACGATTTTCTATGTCGCTTTTTTCACTGCATTGCGTTATCTGGTATTCCGGCACTAAATGCCTAGATTATTATTGTTATCATACGAGGATGGGCCAGGTGACGAGGATAGATAGGCGGCTCACAGTCGGATCTTTAGCATAGAAGTTGTGCATGCAGTAAGCACGACAATGTAATTCACATGACAATCCAACGCAGACGAGCTGAATCATGGCGGTGGTGTGTTGGCAAAGTCGATCGTCATTGTTCCACATCCATGCATTCATGCAATTTCCCCTTTTCCGTTTACTTTTTTTGGTAGCACAGCACCTGGCTCGTGCACGTTGACCCTATCTCGCTTCTGCATGCAGGCGCCAAACGAGAATGAAGTGGCTTTGTTCATGCAAGGAGAACGCAGCCAGCCGCCTGCCTCCGGTACCGTTATACTGGGAAAAGGGAAGTGGTGTTGAGGCATGGTTGAGCAGCCTTGCTTTTTGGAGAATTGCGGTGTGGGTGGGCCGACGTGGGTTTGTGTGGCTGCAAGGGCGATAAGTAGTTCTTTCTTTTTGCATTTATTCGCCGGGTTGCGGAGATAGGGCTGGCTCAACTTGCTTTGGAATGAGGGGTGGGTGAGGGGTAGGTGGAGAGGATGATGTTGACGATGATCGTTTAGATCGTGTTGAGGTGGGTGTTTGTACAGCTTCATTGCTTTTAGATTGATGACAGGTGATAACCGTCTCCTCTTTGACAAACTGGTGAGCGTGGGGAACATAACCGACCCGATTGGACCATGGTGTATCTGTCTGGTACTGCTATCTCAGTGGTCTTTTCCGAGAAAGAACTGCACATGCTGATTGTCCGTCAAAGAGCTACACATTTACCCGTTGGCCGCAAGACCTGAGCCGCAGCATCTCAAATCCTGTAGTATGAAACGTCATCCTAGTGACACAAGGGTTATACTGGTCCTGATGTATAAGTCTTCTTGCTACTATTGCATTATCAGTACGAATGAGGGCTCTACAAAAACATTGTAGAGGCATGTTGCGAGGAGAAATCTTCACTACAGCAGGTTCCAATCACTAAAAAGACTCAGTATTCGATAACAGTAGTACTACTGCGTTCAACCTAGCGTTTTCATAACGTCATATAGTCCATAATAGGCAGGTACTACCCTGCTTCCTGCCGTCTGTTCGATATCCTCACTTTGAAACCCCACGACCCAAAACACCTCCAAGTTCTCCTCTAAGAATGCTGGATATGTACAGCAACACCGCCCTGGGGAATATACGCAGTTCCAGAAACAGTGTTGTCACCGCGTGTGCAGCGGTCCATGATAATACCGCCTGAACGCGCAATATCGTTGCTAAACCCCAAGTCAGCACACTCCATCTAATGCAATATCCAGTTAGGGAACTTACCAGTTCACGCTTGTAGGAGCATTAGTACCTCCCCTTACGGTAACGATATGGGCACTTCCAATGCTACACTGTACAGCACCTCCTATGCTGCTAACATCGCAGTTCTGACCCGCCTTGCCGCGTCCAGCCAAATCGTTGATACAAGACACTGCGTCGCCAACGGATGGAGGGGACGAAGTAAGCTGTTGGCAGTTTGCAAATTCCTGACGCTTGGTAAGGTCCTCGGGGTCCTCGGCACCAGCCTCGAAGGCTGCAAGAGCTTCTTCGGCAGAAAGGGCTGTGGATGGATCGGCAATCAGGCTGTCGACCCAGTCTACCCAGGAGAAGGAAGACTTGATGTATGGGGATGTGTCGGTAGGAGGGGAGTCGGGGGATGGCATAGCGGCGCCCAAAGCGGCGAGGGAGAGGGTAGCGAGGATGGTAGTGGCCTTCATGGTGTGCGATTGGGTATTACAAGAGGACGGGTATTATAGGACGTGACGATGGTTGTAGTAGTCTGAGTAGTGTGGTGCCAGATGGAGGTGGCTTTCATCTGGTATTTATATCGTTCCAACTTCCATGTCCCCACAGAATACTACATAGCACCATCAGGCATCCAAGGCTAACCTTCACTCAGTTGCAAATACCTCACCGCTCTGGCACAATCGTAAGATCGGGACAATACGAAGGAATACGGCGAGCAGCTACAAGAGTAACGGCATGTAGTTCTTCTCGCGAAAGGCACCACGCGGCCAATGAAAACAGATGTCTTTTCACTGGAGAGGAACCACAGCCACGGGTAATACCACATTAGGCTTCCCACTCAGGTACCGCGGACAATTGTACGCTGGCAGCTCACATTACTCCCCCCACAGTACCTATAAGGCCACCCGTATGCAGGGGAGGAAAGACTGCAAGTGGAGACGACGGAAGCCACCCGCCCGCCTTCTAGCTTTTTCAAGACGACCACCTCGGAAGACACGGATGCTGCCTTGAAATATGGGGCCAGAAGAAAAGATGTGTGAGCCTTGATATATGTGCCAAGATCAGTCTGCGAAGAGGCATGTTTGATCAACTGGCAGCCTGATTGAGGCTGTACACGGCAGCTCGTGGGGATAGTAGAGGATAGGCCTTGACACGATGGGGTCCGCACAAAAGCCTTGGGAAAAGTGGAGACGCTAGCACCAATTATATCTGAGGCGTCCTACATGTTTTAAAGAAGACCAGCGTCACGTATTTAGGTGCGAGTACCATCACTAGCGCTACGACGTTGGTCAGTAGTATGTTTCGTAAGAGCAGGAGCTGTCAACACGCATCACCAATGTAGAGCCATCTCAACAAACGTAATTCTTTGGCTGCAGGCAGCGACAAGTCTATTAACCTAAAGAGATGAAGCCAAGGCCATATATGCTCGTGTGCTGATGCCAAACAACAAGCAAAGCACATCGTATACATTACTTCTATATGCATATATGCTTTCCATAGTGGTAGAAACGCCAGTATAGATTGTGGTCGATGCCCAAACTCCGCGTATAATGCGTCGATGATACGGATCCAGAAGGTGAAAAAGTGGGTATATAGAAATACAACGGTGTTGAAGTGAAGCGCAAAAACAGTGGTGCGATCAAACAAATTCGTGCTATTGTGGTGTCGTCATGGTCCTTGAGAGATTAGAGCGTTGTGGCATCGCATCTTTCCGTAGCTGACGAACGACTGCTTCGAGCTTCCGTCGTTCTTCTTGTTCCGCCTGTATATCGTTAGTATACCGTAGTACAATGATATGGCGTTACTCACTCTCAATGCCTTTAGGCCCTCCGCTGTTCGATCCCGCATCATCTTCCTGAAGTCTTCTCTCAACATGCGAATGCTAGTCGCACCCATGTCAAGCTGAGCAGCAGCGCCATTCGGCATGCCTGGGCTCCTGACTCCAAGCCACTTGACCTTCTCGTCACTGAGCTCGCGCTCCAGGGCTTCCTTGTCGTCGCGGAGCTTGTCGATCTGCCCTTCGAGGACTTCACGGTCCTTCTCGTTCTGAATAGCATCACGAGTGAGGGCTTCGTACTCAGCAGCCATGCCTTTGAGCTCGGCCTTGAGATTGCGCTCAGATTGGCGGGCCTCAGCTTCGGACTGAGAGGCAACGTCTTGGACCTTGCGAAGCGCTTCCAGTTCACCGAGGAGCGCCTGGTTCTGCTCGGCGAGCTCATCCAACTCCCTCTTAATGGCGGGATTTGCAGCCGAATCAGCAGCACGTTGTGCGCGAGTACCGTAAGCGCCGTCAAGCTCTGCTTTGGCGAAGGTAAGCTCAGTGGTGAGACGAACGATCTCGCCTTCGAGGCTGCGGAACTCTTCTTCCTTTGCGTTCAGAGTGTTGGTGGCGTCCAAGGAGCGCGCCTCTGCCTCCTCCTTCTCAGCCGTCACCGCCTGTAGAGCTGCTGTAACCTCTTGGATCTTCTGCGCAGAGGTAGTTAGTTCGGCTTGGATTGTTGCCGCTTCACTACGGGCACTGTCTTGAGCGTCCCTGAGTTCTCTCTCTAGCTTGAGAGCTCGTTCCTGTGCATCCCGAACCTGAGCTTCGTAGCCAGCGGTGCGATCCTCTGCCTCTCTTGACGAGACGTTGTACGCGGTGTTACGCTCTTGGTGGTCCTTCAGTTCTTCTTCGAATGTAGCAGCGCGTTTCTCAGCCTCTTGCATCTTGCTTTGGAAGTTTACAGCCTGCTCTTGCACGTCCCTTAGTTGATTTTCGTACGCGACAGCACGTTGTTTGGCCTCCTTCAACTCAGACTCGAAAGCCATCACTCGCTCTTGAACGTTGATGAGCTGAGCCTCCAGACCTGCGTTTCGCTCCTGCGTCTCGCGCAAAATCTGCGAGTCATTCTGAATCTTGTGCTCATCGAACTGCTGTAGCTGCTCCATTGCACGCTCGAGCTCACCCTCCATCGACTTCTTCTCGGACCTTGCACTGAGGACTTGCGTGTTGAGTCGCTCAAATTCTGCCTCTTTCTGCGCATCGGACTTGCTGTTTAGCTCACGTTGCTGCTTGATTTGGCGCATTAGGACGGACTGCTTGTCTTTGAGACTGGCTGCCCGACTGGATAGCCATTGGACCTTGGAAGAGAATGCAGTAAGTGAGTATGTCTCGTTGGCGTTGTAGTCCTCATCCGGCGAGAGTTGCTCATTGGCATCAGGGTCTTCAGAGAGTAGTCGGCGTCGTTCACGTTTCCGTTCACGTGCCTCTTCTTCTCCAGCCAGGATCATTTGCCAAAGGCCCATGATGGTAGTCTCGTACTTCTCTGCCTTTTCCGCAGCTTCTGAACCATCACTGACGGTGACAGGAGCCCTGGAGCGGAGCTCGTTGATTTGCTCGTTCATCGCATACTGAATCTGCTCAAGGTTGTAGAAAGAGTCTTCCATATAGTTAAGCTGTTCGGTGGAGCCACCACCCGTGATAGCGGGTGGGGGTGGGAGTTTGTCGGCCTGTTCACTATCGGATCGAGATATAACCGCGTACAGCTGATTGTTGATGCCCTCAAGACGGCCCTCGACTTCGTTGAGGGTGTGTCTTGAGTTGTTGCGGATGTTCATCTGTTCAGCGCTGATGCTGCGAAGACCTTGGTCAAGGAAATCGAGCTGGCGGTCCAGGGTTGTAGCGTCGGGCGTTCCTTCGAGAGCCAATGGCGGTAGTGAAAAGTCGTTATCGCGCTCGGGATTGGCCTCGATGATGAGTGATCTTATACGCTCGTTTATCTCTTGGAGTCGTGCGGCAGTCGCGTTCAACGCTTGGTCTTGACGCTCCGATGCAGCTGTCAGGTGTTTACCGCTTTGCAGCACGTTCATAAGGTTGTCGAGATTCTCTGGGGACCTGTAGAAGCTCCGCTCATCGAACTCGCCTCCACGAATACCGCCCAGTCTGCCGTCTTCGTAAGTGTTTAGGCTCGCGGGGCTGTCTGGTCTCCGGAAGCGGTCCTCTGATAGCTCGGCATCGTCTTCACGGTGCTTGGGGCCCTTGTGCGTAAGCTGAAGTACAGCGGCAGTGTGCATCAGCAGCTGCATATCGATCATGCGCATGCGAGACTCAATCTCCAAGCACTCCCGTATAAACTCCTCAACCTTCCTGTTGCTTGATTCAAGGCCCTCCTGGTCCTTGGGGTCATATTCCTGCACGGCGTTACTGCCTTTGCTGCTTTTGTTGCTCTTGCTGCTCTGGCCGCGCTTGTGTCCGGCTTTCTTCTGGGCCAGTCGTCCCAGTGAGCGTGTCGCATCGCGAATCTTGGTCTCAGACTCTAGCTTCCGCCTGACAGTACCCAGCCGTGTGTCCAGACCCTTCTGCTCCTGCTTGAGCGCTTCTACCTCCTCCACGCTCAGGATATCAAAATACTGGCTATCTCCAATTGCCGTCTCAACGAGCAAATGCATGGCCACTGGGTCGGTGTTCAGGGCGTCGGAGCTTCGCTTGCCCGAGTTGCGAGGTGTGTACATGCCATTCTCGCGGATCGTCTCCCTGCGGCCGTCTACGAAGACTTCTGGGGGCGGGATGAAGGCACTGGCACCGAATCGTGGGGAGATCTGGTATGCCATGGGGAAGAAGCTCGGCGATGCAGTGCCATTGATGCCTGACTGGTAGTTTGAAGTCGGTGAGGGAAAGTCATAGAGGGCGCGCGGGCTGAGTGTGTCCCCGACGTAGGGGTACTGGGTGCGTAAGCCATTGCTGGTCATGGTGGCTCTGGGGCGACGCGGCGACAAGACAAAGGGCGAGTCGGCGCGGTGGTGAGCGGTTGAGGTTCGGATGGAAAGCGCGACGGGGGCGCAAAGCAATAGTACTCGCGCAGCCAGCGGGGATGGTTGGCGCTCACGGCGAGCAGCTCGACATGGTCAATGGGGAACTTGGAAACTTTGGGTCAGGAGAGGCGTGCGAGCGTGCAAGCAGCACCAATACAGGCGCTACTCTGGTAGGGGATCGAGGTCAAGGGGTGACCGCGATCCCTGCAATTCACTAGACCCGCCGGTCTGAGCTCAGGGTTCATGCGCGCTTGGAGGCATCTCTCCCCACCATCCCGCGCGACTCGCCCTCGTATTCGCTGAGATGCGCTGAGTAGTCCTGACGACACCATACTGGCGTCAGGTAGTGTGTGCCCCGCGCACGAATCTTTCTTCGCAATGCTTCAGGATCCTTCATCTGATTAGCCATCTTTTCAACGCATTCAACAAACATACGCCAATCGCCCCGTTCCAAATTCGGATCTGCACTACTCCGCTATCGATAACGTCCGTGTCAGTCAACAACATGAGCGCACGCGCAACATACACCAAAGACCAAATAACAAAATACTTTGCCCGCCTGGGGTTGTCGGAACAAAAGAGAAAATATGACGTGGCTGGTCTGGATCCCAACGACGCATTCGAGTACCTTGCACTACTCCAAAAGCTGCAGCTAGCAGCGGTACCTTTTGAGAATATAACCCTGCATTATTCGGCCCACCATTCGGTGTCTGTCCATCCTGAGGAATTATTTAGGAAGATCATTGGCGATGACAATGGACGTGGTGGGTATTGCATGGAGAACAACAGACTCTTCGGCACGCTGTTGAATTCGCTGGGATTCAATTTGTATTCTGGTGGCTGTAGAGTTTGGGCCGGTGACAGTTGGACCGGTTGGTCCCATATGGTAAACTTTGTCACTATCGGTGACACCAAGTACCACGTCGATGTTGGCTTCGGGGCTGACGGGCCTGTCGTCCCAATGCCTCTTGAGCGCTCGGGTACCATCCAAAAGCACATTCAACCTGCGTCGGCCCGTCTCCAATGGCGCAACATCCCTGGGAATACTGACCCAAACCAGCGCCTCTGGGTTTACGAATACCGAAGAAATGACGATAGTGACTGGGAGATCAAGTACTCGTATAGTGAGTTGGAATTTCAGCCACAGGACTACGCGATGATGAATTATTTCACTTCTACTAGCATGAAGACTTTCTTCACGCAGATGGTCGTAGCTGATAAGAAGATTATGGGCGATGACGGGGAGCTAGTAGGGAAGTTGAGCCTGGCGGCCAAGTCTTTGAAATGGAATGTAAAAGGGGAAAAGACCAAGGAAATCGAGTTCAAGAGCGAAGAGGAAAGGATAGATGCGCTTGAGGAGTACTTTGGTATGAAGTTTGGAGATGCGGAGCGCGAGGGCATCGCGGGACTGCCATCAGAAATCAAGTAGAGAAAGCACTGAACGTTGAGAATTGTTGATTGCTTGCATGTCCCTACAACTGCCGTATATGCTGTGATCCTTTCGCAGCACGATGTAGTCACTATTGGGTATGTAATATACTGTGTAGGTATGCCAGTTCCGCTTTCGACGCGGGAGAAGCTCGCATCGCTTAGATGAATCGTTGCTCGCACTGCCAGTGGTTAGCACCCGTCGTTCATCCAGCATCTCCGTACCCACCCTCCATGGGTTGTTGAGCTCGAAGCCTTCCGGAGCAACCGGCTTGTCTGTCTGTCCGCGCATGAATCCGGTCAGTCGGCGGTCGCGCTCCATCACTGGGGTCTCGTAAGTAAATCGCATGAGGTCATCGTGAAATGGTCGTACTTTGCTGTACTGAAGTTAGCATCTTTCCAATGCGCCTGGGCTTCCGGAAACTCACCCTGTCCCATGCATCGATACCCCTCCTTGTCTTCTTTCCTCCGTTCTGCATCTCCTTGAGCTTTCCGACAGACACGGCGCTGAATGCGAAGAACTAGACCCTCATTAGCACTCCCTCGCCCTCAGGCGCGCCAATTACTTACGCCCGTCATAATGGCGTAGGGCAGCAGAGCCTCGAATGGGACACCCATGATTGCGGTAGTGTACTTAGTCGCGGTGGTGTTGCGGGGTGGGTTATCAGTGACGGCTGGTTGGAGGTGCGTCGGCGTGAAGTGAGGTGCGGCCGTGCGTGCATCCTTGGCAGCGACCCCGACCTACGCAAAGGGTGTCATTTCGAAGGATGCCGTTACAGGCCCACGGTGTTTCCTGACGAGCGACAATTATTCTCGGTGTCGCACTGAGCCACACTTTCATACGAACCGCGAAACCTGATACTTTCAGTCCCCATTTCCCCGGAACAATTGCCTCCGCTGAGGTCGCGCACCTCCACCTTCCCCACAGCCACGGCCAACGCGACTACGAGCCCGAGACACCTCACTCTGGTCATTCACGGCCTGTAGAAGTCATTTCACGATACTACTTGGTGAAAACACGCGGTGGACGGATTCACGGGTCACAACAACGCGTTAGGACACAGGCACGACGCGCTTACCAACCACCGCATGAGAGAGCCTCCGCGGCTGCTACCGCTCGCGCGACCGATGTTCTAGGACTCAAACTATACTGGGACTGCGACAGTGGCTTATCTTGCCTCTAAGGTGGCCTCTGCCGTCAACTTCGCCATGGCAGAGCTCCTGGGCCAGCCTGCGAGCAACGCCGAACTTGAAGACATTGATGCCGATGGCGAGTATGAGATGGATGATGTAGAGTATGAACAAGCCCCGGCTACCGAGAACATGCCCGATGCCGAGGGTCATACGACCGATGCTGAAGGAACGGACATGGACGCCGAGGGCGAAGAGGATGATGCTGAGGGTGAGGACGATGACGCTGAAGGTGAAGAAGATGACGCCGAGGGTGAAGAGGACGATGCCGAGGGTGAAGATGTGGATGCTGAGGGTGAAGAGATAGACGACGACGAGGATGAAGCCGAGCCAGTTGGCGCTGTCAAGATCGCCCAACGTCGTCCTCAATCATCCGACGAGGAGGAAGATTACGAGGGCGATGATGTTGCAAGAGATTCATCCGACGCCAAGTCCAGCAACAGCGACGAGTCGAGCAACGCCGATTCTGAAGAGGAGAACCAATGGCAGGCGAGTGAAGATGGTGAAGAGGACGAGGTCATCAAGTCAGCCAACCCCAATATCTGCGTGTAAGTGTATCCTAAATATTGGAAAGTAAAACCGAAACTGACCAAGCAGATACTGCGGACTAGACGAGGATAACGATCCAAGCCCGGATTTCGAAGAGTCCCTCTCATGTACTTTGTGTGGAGACCATGGTGTGTGTTAGTAGTAAGAATGTTTGAATTTACTTGTTCGGTGGCTGACATGTTGTTCCTGCAGCACATCGGCAATGCGCCCGTAAGGCTGGCACGCTAAGTTCCGATGACGGTATGTTATCTTGTCAGCCCGGAACCGCGCCTTACTAACGATGAGTAGATGCAAAGCGTTGGCGCTGCCCTGACTGCACTCAAAATTTCGGAACTGAGGAAGAAGAAGAGGCTGAACGGCCCTCTACTTCTACACGCCGGAGACGTTCATCCCTGAACAAGTTGACCAAAGAGTTGCTGCCTTCACATCGTGGGGTTGACCCCGAAGGACATTCAATATTTAAAGAGCTAATTCTTCCCGATGAATCAGCAGATGGATTACGTTCACTGCGCAAACGCAAGACTTCACAAGAGGAGGAGGCACCGGTGCCTTCAAGGCAAACACGGAAAAAGCGGAGACCTTCTGAAGCGACCAACTCAGATGTCGAACCATCAGTCCCTGCAGTCTCACCCAGACCACCATCGAGGAGCATACGAAGTGCTCGTAGCGTCATGACGGATGGTCACGAAAGTGGAGGCGAAGCAGAGCAGAATGGGTCAGAAGCTGGTCGGCTACGTCCAGCAAGGGCGCGTCGCGGGCAACCTAAGAGAAACGACAAACGCCCACTTGCCTGGATCGAAGAGGCTCAGGGCCAGAGCTTGATCATCGCTTTCCATCTCAACAACGAGAAAGTCCAACAGATTGTCACGTCTAAGCCTAAGAAGAAGATTCAGACTCTCACGATTGAACAAGAGCGGCAAGAGAGACGGCGTGAGCGGGATAGAGAACGTCGCGAAAGGAACCGCCGGGCTGCACAGGCTGCGCGAGAGTCACCAGAGGTCCTGCACTACCCAACGATACATGTCCACCACGCCACACCGTTTCCAGGCTTCATGGACAAAGAGCTCGACGAAACCAAGAGCAAACCCTACGGCGGCGTGCTTTCCGAAGCTGATGCTGATACTTCCAAAACATACCCTTCGCCTGCTGACAGGAAGCGCTTTGACGACGCCCGTATCAAGGCCGAAGAAGAGTGGAAAGCGAAGCAGGCCGCACTCTATCCTCCCGAGCCAGCGCGCCCACACAAGCAAGCAGCCACTGCGAGCAAGATCAAATGCGTCAACTTTGGCGGATGGGAAATTGACACTTGGCACGCTGCACCATATCCAGAGGAGTACAGCAAAAATAGGGTGCTTTACATATGCGAGTTCTGTCTCAAATACATGAACTCGGACTACGTCGCATGGCGACATAAGGTAAGTATCCTGATTTTTTCTCTTGGTCGTATACTGACAGTCATAGCTCAAATGCCCAGCGAAGCACCCTCCAGGCGACGAGATCTACCGCGACGGGAAATACTCATTCTTCGAGGTCGACGGCCGGAAGAATCCCGTGTACTGCCAGAATCTCTGTCTACTTGCCAAGCTATTCCTCGGTTCCAAGACGCTCTACTACGATGTCGAGCCCTTCCTATTCTACGTCATGACTGAGAACGACAATTTCGGCTGTCATTTTGTCGGCTATTTCTCGAAAGAAAAGCGGCCCAGCTCGCTCAACAACGTCTCATGTATTCTGGTACTTCCGATTCACATGCGCAAAGGATACGGGCAGTATCTAATTGAGTTTTCCTACCTCCTCACCCGTGTGGAGAGAAAGACTGGAAGTCCAGAAAAACCGCTCAGTGACATGGGTTTGGTGAGTTATCGAAAATACTGGCGGCTCGTTCTATGTGAAGAACTACTCCAACAAAAGGCTGCGATCAGTATATCAGCCATTTCAGACCGCACGGGGATGACACCGGACGATATTGTGTCTGCTCTGGAAGGCTTACGAGCTCTTGTACGTGACCCTGTCACGAAGAAGTACGCGCTGCGCCTCGACTTGAACTACTTCAAGTCGTACATTGAGAAGTGCAACGCTGCAGGCAACCCAAAGATCAACCCCGACTGTCTGATATGGACACCGTACGTCATGGGTCGTTTGGGTCAGTACGAAGATGGACCTGCGTTGCAAACTGTGCAGCAGCGCGATGAAGTAGAAGAGGAGGAAAAGCCTGCGCCTGAGGAGGGTGTGCAGATGGAGATGGCGAAGACTAATGGCACTGGTAATGATGTTGAGGCAGCCATACCCACCATTACCGCTGAAGACTCCGTCAACGGTGGTTCACCGGCTCCTGGTACCCCACTCGCAAACGGCTCTACTGTTGCTCTTGCTGGCTCGCATATGGATGAGCCGGCAATCCCACCGTCACGATACGAGATCTTCCCTCCCATACCCGGGCAACCCTCGCAAAGACGTCGACCAGGACGGCCATTTGGATCACGGCGAAGAACAAGCACTCCAAACCGCGTACGAAACACTTCACTGTCCATTCACACCGCACCAGTATCGAAGATCCAACTGTCGCCTAGTAGAGGTGCCAAAAATCTCATGTCACCGTCCGCAAACGGCGCCCTCACACCAGGCACCATTTCCCTGCGTAGAACACGAAGCCGACTTGGTGAAAGCGTCACGAATGGCGAGGATGTCGAAGACGGAGGTGCCGTCAAAGCCGTTGCCGTCAACGGGCGGAGAAGCACACGCAGCTCCGCCAGTTCCAGAGGAAGCATCGATTTCAAAGGCAAGGGAAAAGCTTTGCCCATTGAAGAAGAACACGATGAAGACATTGATGCGGATGGCGATTACGACGAAGAAGAGGGTGATATGGACGTTGATGCTGAAGGCGAGGAAGACGATGACATTATCATGCAAGATGCGTAATTGGTGCTGACTGTTCAAGCTCTCCGCATTATTATTTTTTGTCGGTGTCGATTGACCCACTTACGGCAAGGGTCTGATATCTTTCTGTTCAGCACAAAACCCTGCGTTTTCAATTCGTGTATCATTATGTTCTTTTACTTTAATTTTTGGCATGCATAACGGAGATACCTTGGGACCGGATAGCGAGGGGCGTACATCATCAATTCAATACATAATCCAGAGGGACTATCTTCTATGCCTCATTTTACCATGATCCTATGCTAGGCCTTCACACCACATACATGTATCTATCGTCGTTCGTCAATCGTCGCTGGTGTTTATTGTTGTGATGGCCCAAGGATAGCCCAGGATGACGTCCCCTCGGTCCTCTTTCGTCCGAAATTCGTAACCCTCACCTCCGCTCCTCCTCTTCCACTCTTCCACCTCAATAGATCTTCACTTTACCCGGTGCCCCACACGCGACATCTCCATACATCCGCATTCGACGCGCTGTGTTTTAACTCCATATACGTCAATTGCAGGCTGGCTTGGCGGCGACAAGGGTCGCGGAATCTGCTATTACTCCATTTGGCCTGCGTTTACCCGGGTAAACAGCATGCAGGCTATGCGATCTTCACTAGCGCGTATAGAACAACGCGGGGGATGTGCAGATGCAGTGACGTTAGTGGAATCGTAACCCGATAATAGAGTAGGGTATAACTAACAGTGGGTGCAATGCTCTATCTGCAAAGTTGTACACGCCGGATCTCGATATTTGATACGGATTCTTTATTTCTAATTGATTGCCATGCTATTGGTCACCTATTCCGTGGTGGTGATTGCAACGGCCTTGGCTCGAGTAGCAACTGCACAAGCTTTCAATTCCAGGTGGTTTAATCCCATCTTACCTGGTGTAGGCTAAGCATTCAGATACACTTCCAAAAAGAAGCTTAATTGATATTATTCAGTTCCATCCTGATCCGAGCTGCATATTCCATCAGCTTGACGAGACATTCTACTGTGCTTCGAGTAGTTTCAATGTATTCCCTGGTATCCCGATTCATGCTAGCAAGGATTTGACAAATTGGAGACTTGTCGGTATGTTGCATTTCGCTTTTCCAATAATGATTTGAAACTCAAACCACAACAGGGCATGCTTTGAACCGGGAGAGTCAACTGCCTGTCCTTGCAGAATCTATTGGGTCTACGAGTGGCATCTGGGCGCCTGCATTGCGCTTCCACAATGACACATTCTATCTCTTGACTACTATGGTGCATGACAAGAGGGCTGACAACGACTCTTCGAGGTGGGATAACGTACGTTTACGTCACGGCTCGTTGAACGAGATGCTAATGTTTCCAGATCATCTTCTCGACGACAGACTTATGGGATGAGAGCAAGTGGACTGATGCTATACACCTTGACTTTGAGGGTTACGATATCAGCCCGCACTGGGATGACGAGGGCAACTCGTATGTTGTTGGAAGTCATGCATGGAAAGTAGCGTAAGTATCGTTCAGCGTTTGAGCATATGTAAATTATGCTGATAAACGCAGCTACGGTATTCACATCAATCGTGTCGATCTCACGACGGGAGAGGTACTCGGCGACTGGACTAATCTATGGAACGGTACAGGCGGTATTGTAAGTGTACCTCATCTGGTCATATAAGCCACCACTCATCGTCTCGTCTAGGCACCGGAAGGACCACATATCTTCAAGAAAGACGGCTGGTACTATTTGATGATAGCAGAAGGTGGAACCGGCCTACTTCACATGGAAACGATAGCGCGATCAAAAGATCTCTATGGACCATATGAACCGAATGCCGCAAATCCAATATTGACCAACGCAAACACCACTGAATACTGTAATGTCCCCTGATATCGCATATGTATCATCATCTGACAGATCACAGTTCAAGCTGTAGGCCATGCCGACCTCTTTCAGGACGCACAAGGTCAATGGTGGGGCGTAGCGTTAGCTGTCCGCTCTGGCCCGGAATGGGTAACCTTCCCCATGGGCCGAGAAACCGTCCTGTACAACGTTACATGGGAAGCCGGCTCATGGCCTGAACTGCAACATCCAGTCCAGGGCGAGATGCGAGGATGGTCACTTCCTGGCATCATCCAAAACCTACCAGGTGACGGGTAAGTCAGAGGACCTCCAGAAAGAACTACTTGCTAACACACAACAGCCCCTTTGTAGATGAAGGCGACAACAACATCAAGTTCCGCCCAAACACCTCGATTCCACCCCACTTCGTCTACTGGCGTCCACCTATCACAGAGAACTATGCTATTTCCCCACCCGGCCATATCAACAGCTTGCGTCTCAAGCCCTCAAGCCTGAATCTTACAGGCATCGATGGAAACTCACCCGGTCCAGGGAGTCAAACGTTCATATCCCGGCGTCAAGTCGACACACTGTTCAATTTCGCTTTCGACCTAGACTACACCCCTAGTGCCCATAACGAAGAAGCGGGAATAACACTTTTCTTGACGCAGAACCACCACGCACGAATGGGCGTCGCGATGCTCCCTCTAGCCAACGACAGCAGTAAACTAGCACCACACTTCCACTTCCATGCTATATCCTACATTCCCGTTCCTGACGACATAGTCGTCCCTGTGTACGCCTCCTGGCTTAACAAACCGCTCACGCTGAGTCTGAGAGCGGTGAACGTCACACACTATGCTTTTGGTGCCGGACCCGCTGACGGCAGTGTACCTATCCAGGACTTCGCATATGTGGGTGGTGATATCATCTCCTGGGGCTTCACGGGTGCGCTGGTAGGGACATATGCGACGAGCAATGGAGGAAATGGGACAACGGAGGCGTATGTTACGAATTGGAATTATCAAGGCTGGGGGCAGGTTAGGGAGAATTGGAATGGAACTGGAATCTACTGAAACACACGATTAATCGAACAGAAGCGACAGTAGCCATTTGTTCCAAAAGCGAGTATACGTTGCCAATTAACTCCACTGAGCTGTTCTCTTTCTTATGGGAATAGGTTGTCTGGCTCCTTTCATGAACATGAACTCCTGGGCTTTAGCCTCTTACGTCCAGGTTCGAGTCTCGCACAACATTCTGTAGTACAGAAAGTATCTACCAGGTACGTTGTGCCTCAGTGTACAACTCCTCACCCACCGGCCATCACCGAACCCCTGAGTGCCCATAAATATGGGTTTCTTCCACGCTGCTCTCGCCATTGCTAGTCGATGATATCACATCAGTTTCCGTCTTCTCATCCGAATACTGCACGCCCAGTCTGATCTTCTATGCACTCTACGTCGATCTCATACGGTCTGTGTAAGCATATTGCGTTTCTCCGTTTGCCGCTGTCAAAAACGAAGCCGAAAACCGCCGTTTATCAAGATTTAACTTCATCCTCAATGCGAATTGCCGCTTTGACTCCTACCTGCATCGCATCGCATCGCATCGCAGCGCGTTGCATTGCATATCTTGAGTGACCTGTACAACATGACATCGCCGTCGGGGTGCCGAAACCGCACGCCAAGCATGTAGGTCCATGATGATCGCAATTGGTGATGCTTTTCGTCATTGGTACTGTTGATAGATATTGATAAGTTATTTCAACGCAGATTTTGAGACTTCGTAGAGGCTGAAAATGCTGGTGGCTGGATGGCGACGGATAGGGCTGAGTCGCTAGTACATCTGCGGTTAGGTCGGGGATGACATAAGCCCGATAAGGGGATATGTTGCGGGGATGTCATGGTGGGATGTTCCGATCAGCGGGACACCGTCTAGCGCGCAAGTTGTCGTTCGCAAGGCGTCGTTGACGTGTGGCCTTTCTTTTGCGTTCCTGCATCTCGAAGACGCCTTCACACTTGTTTTTTTCGAAGAGTGTGGCACGTTACACCATGATGCTCGGTTTGTCGTTCTCCGCCTTGGGTATCCTTGTCCCAGTTCTCCTCATCGTTCAAGTGCTTATCAGCTATGTCCGCAACCCATTGCGCAAGGTTCCCGCTGCACACCCACTGGCGCGTTTTACCTCAATGTGGATGCATACAGTTCGCTGGCGGGGTATCGAGAACGCGACATTGAAAGCAGCTCACGATCGCTTGGGCCCGATTGTGTGTTTGGGTCCCAACGAGATCAGCGTGAACTGCGTCAAAGGCGGGATCAGAGATGTCTATGCCGGAAGTTTCGAGAAAAGCAGTGCCAAGGATGGGTATAATTGGTATGGTTTCTTTTCGAATTATGGAGGGTGAGCACAGTCACGAGATCGACCGTGCGTTTATTGACTCATCGCAGAGTTGACAACATGTTTTCCACTGGCCGCAACAAGCCGCATTCGCAGAGAAAGCGAATGCTGAGCAACATCTACAGCAAATCAAACGTCGCTGCAAGCGAAGCGCTGTTAGGTCAAACGTCTGAAATCCTCTATAGACGCTTCTTGCCCTATCTAGAGTCGACATTTGCCGAGTCTGAGAAGGGCGTTCTGAACATCTATGCATTGCTCAGCGCAACGACGATGGACATTGTGACGTGTTTCATTTTCGGGCTCAAGGCAGGCTCGAACCTAATCGATGACCGAAAGCAGCTCGCATGGTTTTTGGAATTGTACAATTCACGACGATCCTACAACTTCTGGCCACAGGAGTTCCCGCGATTTACTAGCTTCGTGGAGAAATGGCTAGGCTACCGACTGACGCCAAAGTGGGTCGATGAGGCAAACGGTGAGATCGAGAAGTGGACGGCGAGTATGTGCGATGATGCTGGTGCTGTCTCGACAGTAGGCGACGCACGGACTGAGGACCGGCCTGTGGTGTACCAACAGCTTCAAAACAGTATGGCAAAAGCGACGAAGGGGGTCGGGGACGACACACTACAGACTCAGATTGCGAGCGAGGTGTTGGACCATCTTGCGGCAGGGTTTGACACGTCTGGGATAACACTGGTCTATGTTGTTCATGAGCTCTCGCGACACTTGGAGGTTCAGGCCCGTCTCCGGGCTGAACTGCTCGGTCTATCACCGCAGCCTGTACCTTCGTCCGCACCAAAGCTGCCGGACGCGAAGACTGTAGACAACCTACCCTTCTTACATGCAGTCATCTGGGAGACGCTCCGTCTCCACTCAGCCATCCCCGGCCCACAACCACGGTTCACGCCACAGCAAGGCTGTCAACTCGGCCCTGAAGAGGCGTCGTACCATATTCCAGGTGGGGTAAGAGTGAGTGCAAGCGCAGGCCTATTGCACCTCAATGAGGAAGTGTTCGAGCGCGCAAACGAGTGGAGGCCAGAGCGGTGGCTGGACTTGGACAAGCTAGACGAGGAGAAACGGAAGGATATGGAGAGCCGATGGTTTTGGGCCTTTGGAAGGTCAGTACTGCTCGTCGAAGCATGTTGAACTCTGACACTTACTCTGCGCAGTGGCGGACGCATGTGCGTTGGAAGTCACTTGGCGATATATCGTAAGTGCTGATCCTTGATACTTCCTTTTTCTATGTGGACAGCCCTCATGCTAGCCCCACTTCCAAGAAAATGGTCGTAGATGTTGACTGAATTGCAGAGATGAAGTACATCATTGCTGTGCTGTATTCAAATTACAGCACCACGATCGTTGATGACGCAGGTATCGAGCAGATAGATTCGTATACTGCACCGCCCAAGAGCGACAAGCTCCTGGTAAGACTTGAGAAGATGGTGTAGTAACGAAGCTTGCGTGGCTGGAGGCTGTTACCTCAATTGTTAGACATGTTTGGACCCTGATCTCCAAGGCCGAAGAAGGAAGGAAGCAACTGCCCCGCCGCACGTGCGGCCATATCTTAGCGGAAGTCGCAATGGGAAAAGCATGTACATTGCCGGTAACCGTACGGCGAATTTTGAGTGTGGCCGGTTCACGCCGCTGAAGACGCGAACCATGGTAGAGCTGTGGGAGCTACACACTATCAAGCCAATCAACAACCATAGATGTATGCGCTACGTGGAGAACGCTGCATGAAAATTCTGAGGAGGCGGTGAACTCATGTTCATCGTGCTGTGAAGACACAAGCACTTGAAGAGGCGTCTGTCAGTGCTCCGGTATGCTTCTTGTTTCATCAGGACGAGATGGGAGTCTGCTTGTTGATCTGCTTCTTCAGTCAACATGTCTGCATCAGCCTCTGCATCAGCTGCATTGAACCAGCTACCTTGCTAGCTCGAGGCAAAGTCACTGTAGTTCTGCCACAGGTTCCAAAGCCAATGACGCTCCGGAAGCTTTGCTCGCTCGACACCGGTCATGCAGCAACCCTCTGTCCAGGGATCATGTCCTTTTGCGCAGCCAGTAACATCTGTCTGCCTACATCATACCCCCTTGGCTCGCATGAGGCCCACACATCGCACGCTGAGTTGAACAGCTCGTTGTGCGCTGATCGCCGATTCCTGCTTGGAACAGACTCCCGGGGCAACGTGTGCATGATACAATAGTGATCAGATTGACCTGACAGGCGGTGAAATTGCTGATGTATCGTGAGCCTGAATTGCTTGTGCGAAGTAATCGATGCGCATGGCGGGGTGATTGTGGAGAACTGTGACCAACGCGCACAGCAACAAGCACGGGGTTAGAGTTACTGTGGATCTGGATCTGGCCGCATACGAGGGGTAGTCCAGCCGGCTGTTCAAAGGTTGCGTTGCCAGGGCAGGCGAGTGCAGCTCTAGTACAACCTTCGGTCAAGTGCCGTGTCATTCAGGACTGATGCGATAGATATTAGACAAAGGTGTCTGGCTCGAATCTGTGATGCCTCTCGGTGTCGCAGGACGGTAGTTAGCGCTGACCGATGCAGGCAAGAAGGTTCTTTGTTGCCACAGCGGATCAAGAATACTTTCCAAGTCTTTTCGGGCTACTAGCAGAGATCTTCCGCTGCGAGTACTGCTGGTGATCAAATAACCTGACATACCTTCCTGCATCCGCCGTAGCCACAGAAGGTGCCGTAGTTAGTTTACAACGGACATCGTGCCAACACTGGCTCGCCAACTTTCAAAGACAGAAAAGGAATGTTCAAGTGCTTATCGACTGACCGCCACGATGCAAACTCATCTCAAATCACCAGCAAGTGCATGATCTGTACAGATCAAGCCTGCTGATGCTAGCCAGTTAGTCAAACGCACGAGGGATGTAGTTGCAGCAAGCTGTCAGATCTTTGTCACGAGAGTATACTATGGCTGTTAGTGCGTAGCTCTGCGAACCAGACGCGTTCATGTTCTCATCGATCACCTTTGTGCGGCAGTTGTGAACGTGGCTAGGGCGCCTAAGACTTATTGCGTCCGCTGCGTACGGCTCAGCGGAATCAGGAGCCTAGTAGCGATTTGTTCCAAGATGAGCCCACTGTCTGTGCAGGCGAGATCTCGGATCCAACAACGCAGGGAGGATGCCCACGAGGTCTTTGTGATAGCAGTCATCGCACACACCCCACATCAGCATGAGGGGCCCGCAACCGTGAATGTAGGCGCTGTAGAGGTTTCCGGTCTTGCACACGGCTGAATGTGCCGCTCAATTGCAGGTTGAGGTGCGTGTAATAAAGCGCGAGGGCAGTCCTCCTCTTTGCGCGTGCGGTCCGACTCAACATGTGGGTGATATTCCAGAGTGCAGCACTGGCTAGTATCGCAATGTTCGGCGACGGTGAACCTCATCGCAGCCCGTGACGGCACTCAATGATGTCTGGACAAGTCTGGAAAGACCGAGCCTCCGCCAGAGTAAGCGAAAAAGTAAATTAAGCGCATACAAGACCGATGTTGGGACAATATTTGCAACATATCCAGAGGGCCAATAGCGGGAAGCACTCGTATCCTGCAGGAACAGCGGCATGTCGGCGCACGGAGAGTAAGACAAGACATAGGCCACGAGGGAAACGCGCCGGGACAATGAGACGATCAGTCGTAGAGGCGCAACAAGCAAGCTCCTAGCAGTCAGATCATCGTGCCTTGACGACTGCGACGGTTACCTGGCGATGGTGACCCGGGAAAGGCGCGCTAAGGGCATGGTTGGCTATAGCGCTGCTGTCAGAGGTGGATTGCCGAGCTGAGGGTTTCGCAAGAGGCCCGCGGACTGCCCACTCGCTGGGTGTTTGTGGCTAAAGGGGTGTTGTACGGGGGTGTGGATGACGGTGTAACATCGTAGAATTTCTTTCATCAGGAGAACGGAGCATTCGGCGGTCTTCGCTTGAAATCGAACTACATCCCTGCAGAAATCCTCCCAGCCACCGCACGATTTGACGGCGATCATCCTCCCCACATGCATCTTCATAGCCTCCAAACGACATCACCCGCCTCAGCCCGACGATGTGTATGCACCATGCGTCATTCCTCCTTTCGTTATGCAACACCCAATGGGGACACTTGATGCGCGGTTCCACGTCCGTTCCAGGGCCGATTGACGACAGGAACCACACCGGGCACTACATTGCAGCGTGCGTGCCGTCCACTGCAGTGATACCGACTGCGGAGTGGGTGTCCTAGCTCGATGGTCCTGTCAGTTTAGCCCTCGAGTCCTGAAGCACGTTCCCGATCCGCCATGGTGCGCCGTCGGGAAGAGCGTGACAGCCGCCATGTGTGTGGACGTGTTCAGTACCACTGCACTCGCCTGCCAGTGGTCCCGACGGTTATGTTGGGGTCCGTTCAACTAACTCGAGAGCTCTGTGCCTCTGAGCTACGGATCAGAGGAACCGTAGCAACCAGGCCGGCGAACGGCGTGATGCTGAGATATTGGGCGTCGATGGGGCATTATATACGACTTCTCAAGTAGAGTAGTTGAAATGGCTAAATTCCGAGCATCTCTGTGAGTGCCTACAGGCATGGGGCTCTTCCGTCGCATGCAACCGGGTCCCCCGTTCGATGCTCTTGGATAGTGCCCTCCCAACCCTAAACCTGGGATTGCCGTTGATTCCAAGCCGTCTTGCTATCCTTGCTCTGCTGCCGCACAGTCTGTGCAGCTAGGTCTGCCATCCGGCTGCATGGGACACCCTCGCTCTGGCAGTGCCTTCTAGCTCGAAATCAATCCTTGGGCACTCTTCGGCTTCATTTGAGAGTGCTGTGAGCATATACAACAGTCGCCGCACTACGGCACAGTATCTGCGACCAGCTTGCCTTCTTGTACCTCGTCCCGCCGTGCCGCACTCGCACGCTTACACATGCACCATTCGGCTGCACAAGCTCCCACCTCCATCGCGAACCCGGTATTACGCTGAGTATTTACCGTCCTGTCGTTTTCGATTGTACACTCGACGTCATTAGCAAACGCATCAACCACATCGCAGACAGCTTCGGACTTGACCAGGCGCAAGAGCAAAATCAACCAGGACTGTGTCAACAAGCGAAAACCTTAGCTCCCAGAGGAACCGTGCCTACAGAAGAAGAAACAAGCCCAGACGACCTTCCATTGGCCGCACTAGAGCTTGTTCGCATGATTCACGCCGCCGCTCGTTCATCTCTTAGCACGCTAGTTCGGAGAGACCCTACAGCATTGATCGGCCGCGCTCGGCACCAGTTGCTCTTGAGACTAGACAGAGAGCGACGAATCATAGTCGAAGCCGCCACGGAGCCGTACGACGACTGTAGAGGAGCCCCGATTGAGACGAGTACTTCGAGGTACCCTTGCCAACTCTTCTATCTTGCGCATTACTCTTGTGCGTCTTCCTTCTTGAGCCACGGGACACCGCTCTCGAGGCCCTCTCCTTCTCTCTCTGGCATTCACTTCTCATCTCACGCTTTTGACAGACTTCTCTAATATTACCCTGCCGACACGTCATCGCTGCTTGACTGGTCGACCAGCACGACACTAATATCATCGAAGCCGTTAGAGACGGCCCTCTTTGTTGTCATATTCGAATATTCTCTACTACGGATCGGTACCAAACCTGAGTAACCTCGAGCTCAATCGAACAGCTCCCACTCGAAATACGGCAGGTGCTATGCCTTTGGGCAAAACCGCGAAAAGTACAGTCTTCTACAAACCCGACACTGCAAGTTCTGGGCGACGCAGGTGCAACACTCTTTGTTGTTGTTGATTATACGTGCGCCACTTCCCGTTTGAAAACTACGGTCCAGTGTGGAGCAGACCATCTCTCCGCAGGCGGGCCTTTAGCTCGGTCCCGTTAAGACGAGAGCCAGATCCACTCCCGCGCAAGCCATTCGCATATCGAAGCCGTCCAGAGGTGCCTTCATCTCCAAAAACGGCGGCATAGAAATACGCATTACTATCACCGGTGCTTAACTGGATCGTTGAGAGCAGGCAGTCGCGCTCCGCCACAGTTTCTCCGAAAAAGGGCCCAGCACCCATGGTTACGGTGGTCCACACGCACTTTCATCGCTCATTACCACCACTATTACTGGACACGCAGGAGTTTGGACGGTACAGTGTCTCCACAGAGATTCTATCCTTTGTCCGATAAGCTGCATTGCCCGCATCATCACCACTAATACGGCAAGCAGGGCCTTTGGACTTTGGACGGTACAGTGCCTCCGCAGCCACTCTACCCTTGGTTCGATAGGCCTGACCTTACGCATTAATCACACACTCCGCTAGCGGGATGGAATAAGTTCCCAAATGTTTTTACGAATTCTCGACCATCCTACTTCATTCCACTTCCATATTCTTGGGAGTATCTAAGATTCTCTGGGAACCACTACCACGATCGTCCAGCTCTACTATGGAGCGCCGGACTATGAACACGATGTCTTCCATGTTCCCGCACTCGATGCCGCCGTACAACTATCAGCCCTACTACCAGTCGAGCATGCCTGTTCCACTACCGGCCGCCGCTCCTGGCCCTGAACCTCTACGCCCTTTGAACTACCAGCAGACTATGCATGTTTCGCAACCAGCCGCTAATCCTGGCCCCGAACATCTACGTCCGTCAACCTGCTACTTGCAAGTCCGCCAACAGCCTATCGAGGCGCTCGTCACTGTCAAGGGCAAGGAGAAGTTTCGGAAGCCCGTGGATCCACCACCGATCGTAGAGCTGAAGCTTACTAACGGGGCCGATCCTTCGAATACCTTTTTACAGAACCCCTACATCTTCGTCAGTGTATCTTTATACAAACCAGATAGAGATGAACCCGTCGAATTCACCCCAAACGACTCGTTGGCAGGCACTCTGGTCTCCTCCCTACATAGACTCAAGGATATTGACAACAAGGACGGCGGATTCTTCGTCTTTGGCGATATCTCTGTCAAGATTCAGGGCAGCTACAGACTACACTTCACCATGTACGAGTTTCTGCCCTTACAAGGCGAGTTTCAATCTCTCTACTCGATTTCAAGCGACAAGTTCAAGGTCGTACTGCCCAAGGACTTCAAAGGTCTCGACGAGTCGACGTACCTCTCGCGGGCGTTCTCCGATCAGGGTGTCAGACTCAGGTTGCGCAAGGAAGCGAGAGGGATGATGAGCAACAAGAGAGGTTATCAGGCAGAGACAGAGTCGACCCAGCAAGCGCCTATCGCCCCCAGCTACGATTATCAGGCTCCGAAAAGGAGGAAGGAAGACTACGTCGACAGCCCTGTCATCCCAAGCTCTGCACCACGCATCAACAACAGCATGCTCATGACGCCTTTCAACTACCCAACGTACGCTCCGTACAATCCATACAATCCCCTCCCATATACACAACAACCAACGCAAGACTACTCGTTGGCGCCTCCATTCGAGCCGCACGAAGACGGTAACTAGGAGGACGTCAAGGCCCAGCATGATACGCACACGTATGAGATACCCATCAACAACTTCGATATCCCCACTATCACGCGTCGGTGTTCTCCGCTCGATTGTAGCCAGGTTTTCTGATATATTTGTTTCGTCCCCTTTCTTTTTACGACTATTATAATGAGTGGTTTCTTGTGGCCCTCAGCATGGTGTTATGGTGTGCGCATAAGGTATTTGGGTATAGAGCTTCTAATCACGACAACAAGTTATGTTCTTCTCTTTCTTTTCTATTATATCGCGCTACGATACTAGGTATCACACTGTCATGGAGGGAGTACTGGGTTTAGCTCACCTTGGGATCAAAAAAATAACCACCCACTGAACGTAAAAATATGAAAATTGCAAAACTACTCATCGGAGTCCTGTGAATGACGCGCTTGGTGATGCAATGTGCCTTTGCATCGCAACAACCGATACCGTACCTGCAGCTCAAATACGCACTACCACCGTGTGCAAGACCTGGACGATTTGGAAGACAAAGGCAGCCAGTCGGCTTGATACCACACAGCCGAGCACTAGAGTCACATGAGAATTTGTACTGTAGATCCGTTGCGTGCTTCGTCAAACTTGCGCTTGAGAGATCGACACTCGCGAAAACCTGCCTGGTGACATCGGGCGATGCCGTGCAGTAGAGTATCGGATTTTCCCGCAACAGCTGACGAAAATGATACGATTTTGGTGCGGCATTTACCTGGAACACAGGCCACACAATACGAAGCAAAGATCGTGTGCTGGATCTGGGATCTTCAAGTTGGGCTTCACTCTGATCGTGCAGTGAGCAACCTGCTGCTACAGAGACAGCGGACAGACAGCCAGGACGTTGGGGAGTATTCTTTGGCACACGAGAGACCCTCTACCCATCGTACAGCTCTGTGCAACCGCGGAATATAACTCTTCGAGACCCAGTCCGTCCCGCGACTCCACCAAATATACAGGTCATGCAGATGCGTTACACTACACCCGCCACGGCCATCGACCAGCACAACAAGAGGTCGGTTATGGTACGGCTCGCTCCAGCCCTCCCTACCCATATTCTGACTATCCCCTCCATCACTGCCGGCGCAAGCCACCCAGCCCCTCGTTTCCGCTACCCTCCTACCATCCCAAACCCCTCTTTGCGTTCTCCGAGCCACTGTGCCCAACTCAACGCCACACAGCGCCTTAAACCTTCTCACGATCGCCGTTTCAAACTCAGCACCTCAGGGATCATTCATCTCCACTTTTTCACCGGCTGTATGACTGTTTGAGGAATGGCGGCGAGATGACGTGCATGAGAATTTGGTCTCGTGATTAGTGCATGAGCTAGGGAACGGTTGGGCTGAGAGAGTTTGGTGGCTTGGCGGGACGGGAAGGGGTGATTGGTGGGGGGTTTGATGATAGCGAGGGGTTGAAAGGGGATTTCGGAGACAGCGAGATGTATGGAGGGTGAGAAAGGGAATCAATAGTGTAGTGGCTAGAGGTGGTCTGGTCATTGTGGGAGGGGAAACGGGTTTGACAGTCCATTTGAACTATGTAGTAGATTACTAACTACATGTGCAACTAACGAAGAAACTCAGAAACCTGTGTGATCAAAGAGTAAACCTAACGTCAATGTCGGTCTTTCTTTCAAATCGATAAGCTTTTCCCGATCACTACTAGAAGTGACTCCTGCACTCGTTTTCCTTTTCAACTCTGTCCCTCCAATGCCAGCTCAAGTCCTCAAAAGGATCACCATCTGCACTTGAATGAACGGCTGCTCGAGAAGCACGTAGTAACGCATACTCAATCATACTTCGCAGTCACGGTGCCGTAAGTCTTGCCATTGACCAGCAGAGAGTACTCAAGTGATGACTGTGCCGAGATAGCCACTTGGAAGGACAGTGTGTGATAGGGCTCGCCTGAAGGGCTTCGCTTGGCCATGAACTCCTTTTTCGGAACGACACTCAAATCTACGGTTAGTTCGGTGACTTTATACACAGCCTGGAACGATATCAGCAACTTCCGGAAATGCGTTGCATGTTTCAATTTCCGACTTACCTTATCAACCGAAAGTTGCGCAGCTTTCGGTCCATTTGAAGCGAGAAGGCTCATAGTATATTCTCGCTTCTGGCCTGGCCACAAAGATATGTAGAAAGATGCCTTTGCGTGAACCTTCTTGGATGTCGAGAGATCTTGACCCAAAGTGAGCAACCACGCCATCTGATTCCTCGCATACTTAAGGCCATCGTAGGCATCGACGTACGAATCGGCTTCCTTATGTTTACCTGCTTCGAATGGAGGACTGAAGTCGGTACCATAGTACCTGCGACATTTGCGGATCTTGATCGCGCTCTTCTTTGCACCCTCCAAGCCCTTCGCGGCTGCGCCCCGGACGACAGCAGACCATCTAACCAGACGTTCAGTAAGCTGATAATGAGGTAAGGAACAGCTTACATACGGGTAAGCTGGTTTGACAGCTTGTAAACCATTGCACCTCGCGACGAACATCCTGATCTTTTCGTACATGTACGGACTCTCGGAAAAGCCACCAACCATGAAGACATACTTCTAGAGTGTTAGCCAATGGACAAAAGCCATGAAAGCACTTGAGAGAGAGATTGTTTTTAATTACAACTGACCTTGGGTTTGACCTTCTTGTTCTTCCGCAGCTGGTCTAGCTGATCGCCCAGGAGTTCGTAGGTACGGCGGACAGGCATCTCAAACATCTCGATCATATCCTCTCTGAACCTTGTTAGTCATTCAATGGATGTATAACAGGTTCACTTACGGAGTGATGGTAATCTCACCATCGTAAATACCTCTCGCTTCATCCTCTTCGATAGAGTTTAGAGGAGATGGCAGGCGTAGATGGTTCGTCTCTGATCCGGAAAACCCACTCTTGACCTCAAGCGTAAAGTCCTGGAGCATCCTAGCTGCCTTTTTGCAGAGCGAAGTATGCGGAACATCTTCACTGCGACAGCCGACGATATTCACGAAGTCTTTAGTACCCAGGCGGCGCTCAAGCCACTTCAAGAAAGCTCGGCCGACAAAGCTGCCTCCGCATTGATCACCACCACCCACAGTCGCTTCCTCGATAACGGTCGGCCCTAATCCTGTAACCCTGTATGATATCCTAAAACATGATATCTGAAGTCAGTCCACGTTTCGGAAGTGGTTCGGCGATGAGACTACGTACAAGTCGACCGTACCGCCACCCATATCGCAAACAATGAAGCCGTCACCCACAGCAAAATCAGAATTCTGAGTGGTACCTCGTAGACTCTTGATGGTATAAATCGCAGCCGCCTCAGGCTCAGTAGTCATGAGAATGTTCTTCAATTGGGGAAACTCAGATGTGTTGAAGCCGGCCTTGTCGACAGCCTCGAGCGTACGAGCTTTAGCGACCTCAGTCCAAACCGCAGGAACAGTGACTACCAAGGTGACGTTCATGCTCCTCCATAGTACTTTTCCGTATTTTTGATCGAGATTCTTGATTAGATGAGCCTTAACCTGGGCTAGGAAATCCGCAATGATCTCGACAGGCTGCTTATTCGGATGCTCAGAAGATGTTGAGACCTCTCGGACGATCTTGACCAACTCGCCTTTCTGGGTCGGATCCAGCTGAAGCTTCGTCCAGAGATGCCGCTGAACGTTGGGTGGGATGAGTGAACCCCATAACAACCCTTGCTTCTGGTATGTCACTTCACTAGGGACCTTTTCTTTGGTGCCGATCTTGGTGTGCTGAGATGGCCAGTCATGAACTACTTCAATGTGCTCGTCGCCGGTACCGTTGCCTGCGGTTTCGCAGAACGAGACACCTGGCCAGTCAGCTACCGTTCGAAACGCAAGAAAGAGAGAGCTTACCAGTGTAAGTAGTACCGTAATCAAGGCCTACAATCAGTCGATTCGGTTTCATGTCGACTTAACTTCAGTTTGTAGACTGTTGTCGTGCCAGGGAGTTGTGTCAGCCGAGATGGAAAGACCTGTCGTGATGAGTGTGCAAGAAAAGCAGTGGATGAATGGTTGATAAACGATATATGAGCTGCTCCAAGTGAAGGTGAGAGACGCGTTCCCTAGCACGTGTCAAACCAACATGCAGGGATGCCAGACATAGTTGCAGACCCGGTGAGGGTGATTCAAGGTCCACAGGTGAAGGTGAGCTCGATCGCAATATATGCTGTGTGTTAGCACACAATCATATCTGGGCTTGACTAAAACAAAACACCATCCTCCAGTTCTGCGACATATCAGTCCATCAAATTTTGAGCAGAACTCTCATCAATACTATGTCGTATAGTCTCAACAACTTTGTAAGTGCTCAGATCCTGTGCGTGACACAGGAACAAGTACTAACAAGGGCGATATAGTGGGGAGGAGGACGCGGCAACAGGTCAAGCCCTCCGAATCAGAACAACCAGTACCGAATCACTCGAAGCCAATCGAACAACATGCATCGCCAGCTGGAAGAGGCTCAGAGGCGCATCCGGGAACTGAACCGAGGCAAACAGAACGCTGAAAACACCATAGCGAGGCTCAATGACGCAGCGCGCAAGAGCAGTGCAGAAATCGCGAACAAAGACGTGAAGATAGCGCGAATTGAGGCGGCTCATCGCGAATTGCGCAAGGAATCTACGGACGTCAGGAGAGATTACAACCATATCCTGGAACGTCTCGTAAAGCCGTACGCAGTCATGCGAAAAATCGATTTTCGCGGCCTGACTGGCGAACCAATCGAAAAGGTCATCGATCCCATGCTGCGTGAGGTAACCCTGTACAAGAGTTTGTGGGCAGAGATTCGCCGCTTGCGAAACCAAGTTCAGGAGCTCCAAAAAGACATGCTCGCCAAGGTGGACAAAGTGGACGCGATATCTGATGACCAGTTCGCGAAGGAGTTTCGCTCGCTCGCCTCGACTATCAAATCTTTCAGCCGCTCGATTCGCTTCACTGATCAACCCAACATCGTGGAAGTTCTCAATTCGCTTGTCTTGGTGAAAGACGTTGCGTCTCATCACTGGAGTAGTCGAGCGAGAAAGAAGCCCTTGGTCGAAGCATGGATCTGGTCCATTTTGATATCTCTTGTGTTCGAAAGCCCTTACGCCATCTTCGGAGACCGCTGCCAAGCCGTGCATGAGGCATGGCTTCAGATCTATGGAGCGGGACATCTTCACAGCTGGCCAATTCCTTCTTCGCAATCTGAGTCATGGCGTTTTAAGACAGTGGAGCAGCTGTATGAGCAAACAAGGCCAGAGACTATCGCAGATGACAAGTCAAAACTCTTGCCAGAGGGCTTGACAGCTAGCATGGTCGATGTCCATACCTATGTGACAAATATTATCTCCAGCCATTTTGAGTGGTTGTCTCCCGGATACAGAGTGTCGGACGTCCATTCTATCGTCGACAAAGCCTTTGCCCTGGCTGTGAATATGTTCCTACAGCGATCGCGACTCCAGGTCACCTATCCAGCAATCGAGGCCGAGTTCGACGAGAAGAGCATGACATCTGTGGAAGACGACGACGAGGAAGACATGGAGGTAGGAGTCGTGGCTTTCATCATCAACCCAGGTCTGACCAAATGGGGCGATGTTCATGGAGAACATTACGACCAAGCTTACGACATCGTGCCGTCACTTGTGCAACTGGAGCCGAGGGACTCAAGTCACAATCAGCGAGGTGTTCAGGCAGAGTCTGGTATCAAGCAAGAAGCCGGAGTGGAGCAATAGTACCAGCGGTTTTGTTAAGTCACCAACGGATAGCTATGGCGCTGAGTATGCGTTGATGGAAATTGACCGAGCTTTCTCCACGAGAGAGTCTAAAGGCTCACAAGAGGAAGATGCATAGGGGATTGGAGCTGAGACTGGTGAGTGGTTAAGGGTTGCAAAATTGAAGAGACTGAGTTCATTGTACTTCTTACAGTAGAGCAAAGCGGAAGGAATACTAACAGATATTTCCGAAATGCTGCACCGGCTCGCTCTGGTCGGCATTATCCTATCGAGAAGCAATAAGAACGGTATACATGTACAACCCACGCCCTTGAGTTAAGATTGTTCCATGACGCGTATGTTCCGTTCTGCTAATTAAGGATGTGCAGCACAGCTAAATGTAGGACTAGACGAGGTATAAAACCGAGACGATAGTTGTGTGCAAGCCAGAACGGCGCGTTGTCAGTAGCAGTAAAACGGCAACACAACCATCGTCATTTCCGGAGATGAGTCGCGATCGGAATCGAGATGAGAGTGAATGTTCACGTCAGAGGCGCGTCCGAGCGAAGCCATTTCCGCGGCTAGCGCAGAACGCGTCGAGCCTGTCCTCGATACTACACCACCACGAGCTGTGCAAGCACCCGCACTCACGCATGCCAATTGCCCTTCTGCCCTATTCTTTATTTTAATCACGTCTTGTATTATTCTCCCCACAAATGCTGAGCATACAATAAGCTTCACACCGCCCCACCAGCCCCCCTCAAATCCTCCCGACGCGTCTTTCCGCGCGTTTCCCCTACACCTGCACGCAGGGCAAACCACTTTACCGCCACCGCCATGTACCTCCCGCGAAACCTGATAGCCCACCTATACCAGAACCTCATAAAACGCACACATGCCGCCGCACCGCCAGTTTTGCTCCTTGTCGCCCTCGAACCAGACGCGCTTTGTGCCTGCCGAATACTCACCGCGTTACTGAAGCGCGATTACATACCCCACAAAATACAACCCATAGCCGGATATGGCGACCTCTCACGAGCGGCAGAAGACCTTGTACGGCCCATGCGGACAACAGACGGCGGAAGCGGAGGCGTAGTCATATGCTTAGGTGTGGGAGGCATGGTGGACATGGAAGAGATACTGGGTCTGGATGTGGATGAAAATGGCGAGGGTGGAACGGGCGACGTAGAAGTTTGGCTCTTGGATGCGAGGCGGCCTTGGAATCTTACCAACGTCTTTGCCGCGCCCATAAGTCAGGACCCCGCAACGGGGGAGTTTGTGCGGAGACAAGCGGGGGTGGACAAGGGCAAGATCCTACACTCGTACCAGTCGTCAAGAGGTGGAATCATAGTCTTTGACGATGGCGACATCGAAGAAGAGCTACAGGCGGAGCGTGAAGCATATGCCGGCCTTGAAGAGATGCCAGAGGTGGGAGAGGAAGACGACATTAGCGATGACTCGGACGACCAGGATGATGAGGAACCGTCGTCTGGACAAGCACCAAAGAAGAGGAAGTCATGGGGCGAGGAGGACGACTCCGAGGATGAGATGACAGATGATGAGCGACCAGCACAAAGGCGGAGGAGTAATTCAGTGGGTCTATTCATTCAATGTTCAGAAGGAGGAGCATGCTAACAATACCCAGGGAGGCTCAATACCATCATCACCCGAGCCGAGGCGGCGAAGAGGATTATTAGCAGCGAATCAAATAGGCGGCTCCTCCGATTTCTCTCGATCAGACTCCCGCAGCCGCTCTGCATCCCCATCGGTAGCCGCACCGAAGGAGAAGTCGTTGAAGAGTCTACGAAGGCAGCTGATCAAGAAGCGGAACAAGTACGCCTCCACCCTCGACAAATACTACGGGCTCGGCACCTCCTACTCAGACCCTGTCTCTTCCCTCGTATATAACCTGGCATCAGAACTCGGCCGCGAAGACAACGACCTGCTATGGAACGCGATCGTTGGTGTCAGCAGTCTCGAGCTATACGGACGGACAGGAAGCGGTGTTGGCCTTAATCCTCTCTCAGCACAAGGTGGTTCCGCAGGCTGGAATGGCAACCGAGGAGAAAACATACGCTCTGTCCTCCGAGACGAAGTGCGACGACTGAACCCTGTCACAGACGCCTCAAGTGTATCTCGCAATGCAACACTGGGCGAGGTATGGGGTGTGATCCCCACAAGTGCTCTCTCCGCAACAGACAAGTCTATCCGCCTCTCTCCCGAACCACGATTCCTCCTCCTTCGGCATTGGTCTCTTTACGAGAGCATGCTCCACTCGCCCTACCTCTCCGCGAAACTACACATCTGGAGCGATGCAGGACAAAAGCGACTTGCTAAACTTCTTGCCAAGATGGGCGTGTCGCTCACTGAGTGCAAGCAAAGATATACACACATGGACATGGAGCTCAAGCGTGGTCTCCGAGAACGCCTCTTGAAGTTCGCTCCACAATACGGTCTTGACGGTCTTGTGCCCCCAAAGTCAAGCACAGGTGACCCGAAGGACGGCTGGGGATTTGTACGCTGCTGGGGGTGGAAAGCATGTCTCTCCGCCATCGACGCTGGTGTCGTCCTGGGTGCCATCCTTGAAGTCGGCGACGCAAAGAACCTCAACCAATCGGCCTTGGACAGCTCAAACTTTGTCGGAGCCAACGACCACACTGAGATGACATCGACTCAAGAACAACAAGACCTCGCCCAAGAACACATCACAAGCCGCTTCTGGACGGCATACGATGCTTTGGGCGACATAGACAAGCTAGTCGAGCACATTAGCACAGCTCAACACCTCCACCGTGCCATCCTCCGTACAGGAACCGCCCTGATTGAGAAGAGGCAGATTCGCCATCTTCGCGCCTTCCGCATGGCCGTCGTGAAGGAAGGCCCTGATGTCCAACTCTTCACCCACCCTGGTGCCCTCACCAAGCTCGCTCTCTGGATTGCCGAAGCTATCGTCGAACTCAACGGCACAAAAGGCAAGAACAAAGGCAGTGAGCTCGTCATGGCTGGCCTGGATGACTCGCGAGGTCTGTACGTCGTCGTTGGTCTTGGAGGAGGTGGTGCCACCGAATCAGCAAAGTCCCGTCTCCAGAAACGCGAAGCAAAACTCAAAGCGAAAGAAGCGAGACAACTTGAAAAGGCCGAGGCAAGGGAAAAACGACGCAAAGCACGTGTTGCACGGAACCTCGCTGCTGGCCTTGAAGAAGATGAAGTGGCAGATGACAGTGAATCCGAGGAGGAGGAAGACGACTCCTCGGACAACGATTCTGACGATTCAGAAGATGAAGATGACAATAGAGGATCGGGAATGAACAGGTTCGGCAACGCGTTCCAAGAAGTCGTCAGAGAGACGGGCGCCAGAGTGCGCATGGACAGTTTCGAAGCCTGTGTGATTGAGATTAAGAAAGAAGATTTGAGTGGATTCTTGGAGAAGCTGAGCCAAAAGGCTGTTGTTGGATAGACGTGCACCGTCCTCCACGTAGAGAGATTTCTTTGTGTTACTGTTCTGGTGACGATATGGTTTTGGTACAGAGGCAAGATACCACTTTGAAGGAATCAAGGTTGGGGTTCGGGCACAGCGTTTGCATGCATGACATGGCATTTTTGGGTGGGAATATCCATGTAAGTTTATTTATTGATTCGGGGCATATTTGTAGGCAGGGTGACATGTACAAGCGATGACCTTTGGAAAGTACTTAGCATAGCAAGCAAATCGTATTCATGCATAACAAGTCCAATTTCAACCAACTGGAAGAAAGGAAAGTGGTATCTTTAGTACTAAAGCACAAGCAAAACCAACATACCGCTCCCGCCAACTACTGTCATCGCCTCTGAAAACTACTTGGTATACGACCTGTCTTTCCTGCCAATGGTCAACTCTTCACCATCCTCACCGTCGTCCCAGCTTCCCTCTCCGCTACTCCTCCTCTTCCTCGTCCTTTGCTTGACACCGTCCGTCAACCTCCTCTTCACCTCGTCCAGATTGCCATCAATGGTACTGAAAGGCTTGAGCTGGAAGCCGCTCAAGTTCGCACTACTGCTATTCCTGCTGCGGCTCTTCTTTGGTGTCTGCGGTCGACTAGAAAAGAAGTCTTGGTTGGCAAGATCGTGGAACGACTCGTTGCGCGGTATCTCGTTAATGGAACCAGGTGAAGCAGGGTAATCGTATGTCTCGATGTCTTGGCCTGCTTCTGTCTTCGCGTCCTCGTCTGACTTTTGCGGTGGTGTACGGTCGTGCTCCTGCTTGACAAAAGGATCCTCGACGATACGCTTGGAGTGGAAGTCCTCGTACATCTCCGGACCGAGTTCGTTGATAATGTCATTGACACGTTGGGCTAGATTCTCGCGTCGCTCCTGTAGCTTGACGAGTTCGCTGTTGGAGAAGGGATTCATCATCTTCCAGAGGGGGCCCAGTGACTTCAAAATGTCCATGGCGACCTCACCGAATCGAAGAGCGCCATATGTGAGGGTAATATAGACAACGAGTTGAGGAAGAATGAGCCAACGCTTCTGGATGCCGGCAGGAAGGTAACCGTTGCAGTTGTTGTAGGAGTACCAATAGAGTCCTAGGCAAACGTACCAAAGGTAGGCTGCTGGGGCGGCAGCCATGGCGACGAGAAGCTTCCATGTGGCCATGACATCTCTGGCTTGAACTTTGACGTTCGATGCGGCGAGTGCCTCTTTCGCCTTCTTGATCGAGACGACCTTGGTGACGATAAAGACCAAACTAAAGAGTAGCGTTCCAGGAAGGACAAGCATACTCAGGAAGAGAAGCTTTCCAAGACGATAGAAGAACAGGCCGAATGCCGTAATAGGATGCATCTTCGCATACTGCACTTGGTGATCCCGGAGGCCGAGCGCCTTAAGCTTGCCGTTGTACGTGGTGACCTCCTTCTTGAGCTCGACAATGCGAGGGTCGTCTTTGTAGCGTTCGTAACCTTGGACAAGGCGGCGGTTAAGCTCGACAATCCTAGGAAGAGGGAGCTTGGTGCCTTTGGAGTTGTAGAGGCGGCGTACAGCTTGGATGACCTAACAAGAGTCAGTATTGATAGAGAGTATGGGGGCGTATTGAACGTACCATAAGAGTATCGTAATCTGGTGTCGTAACGGTAACAGAGATGAGTCCTTGGCGAATGGTCTCCAACATCTCGCCGATGGCCTCACGTCTTCCAGGTCCATCAAACTTCTGAGCTAGCTCAGGTGGCACATGGATTGGCGTACCAAACTCGATGACAGCCCTTGATCGAAACTTGTGAGCGTGGAAGTAGTTCATACCAACGGGAATGATGTTCAAGTTGCAGTCTGGCTTCGTTGCAACTGTACCGAGCGCCATGATAGCAACACCAGCTTAGGGCTGTTAGTACGTGACCGACTACGATTGTTGGATTACTCACCTTTTAGAGGTAGGAGATCTGTGCGGTCGTGGCTACCACCCTCAGGGAAGATACCGATGCTTCCACCGTGATGGAGAACCGCATGAACCGCGTCGTAAACCTCCGTTTGATCGAGTTTGGGCGCAACCTGGAAGGGAGTTCCCTCGTAACCATCAGCAATACCCTTCTTTGCATCGGCTCCGCCAACAAATGTGCCGTCCTTGGTCATGTCATTTCGCCCAGTCATCTGCTGCATGGCAACACCTCCCTTGAAGCCACGCTTTAATCTGATCTCTTCGGGGCCTTTGATCTCGAGTATCTCAGCGGTCGCCGCCTTGTTATCTACTTTGGGCAATACGATCGAGCCGCCGACTTGGAACTTTGGGTCTTCGAAGTTGGTGCCTACACCGCGAACAAGGGTCGGATCGTTGATGGGATCGGGGAGGTACACTTTGCCCTCTGCAGGCTTCGTCATATCCATGGCTCTTCCTACCGGCACGACACCTGTCAAACCTGCCATTGCACCCACGAACTTGCGCTTCATCGACTTATCGGCGATTAGGAACTGGATTCGGCGGTCGGATTCTTTCTTGACAACTCGCATCAACATGAGGGGGTCAACAAACTGCCATCCGTTAGCATACTCCGTCGCGCAGCACGATAGCATTGTGCCTCACCTGGTTCGCATGCGGGGCGCACACGAAAATGACCGGTCCCTCCTTTGGCACCTTCCAACTACTCCTGGGATGCACTTCTCGGAAGAAGAGCTCCACCAGGATCGAGAACGTCCACAAGAAGGCGTCGTAAACATATTTGTTCATGACAGCGAGCTTCTTGCCCTTCGCATCTCTCTTCTGGGTCGCCATGGCGGCTGCCTAGACCACGAGTATGCTACCAGCGGTCGTGAGAGAGGTGGTATGCGCCACCGAAAGAGCGAGGTTGGTGTAGCCTCCTATGGCTGTGTGCGATCGTATGTGGGTTCGGGGGTGATAGCGATAGCGAACGAGGGGCGACGAGGTTTGGATGTGCGCACTGCGAATCACAGTCGCTGACAATGAAGCTGCGTTGGGAGCTGCAAGATTCACGTTGGTTAGCATGCAGGTGCAGACTGAGACATGTTGTCACGCACCTTCACGTTCTAGCACTTTCTCTACAGATGTCGCGTGTAGAAGAACATCAGGCCACAGTAACTTCCGATCCTGCGCGGACACGTGAATAGCCGATACCCGATCAGCACGCTTTGTTGCTGAGGATGACAAGCTTTCAACAGCGCGTATCCGGAACGCTATTTCGTTGTTGAGCTCGGATATGTGGAGGGTTGCAGATATGGGCTGGGGTAGTGGGATGGTTCCTATGTCATCGCACGTTAATTGTTGGCGGCCTTCCCTAGTGGGGTAGTCGCCAGCGCCCATCGCCGAAAAATGTCACCCCCGGAGACATGCCAGACCGATCAAGCGATTTGACAGTACGTACTTTGCAATTTTTCAAATTTGCCATCATATCACGCAAACGTCAAGCTAGTATTACAACAGTCACGTATGCATCCTGCCAGATAAAAGGACCAATATACATTTTGTAAGATGCCGTCAAGCGGCCCGGGAATATGGTGGTCTATAAAACAATAAGGGTATATGTACAAGATAGAAGAAGAAGATGTGAGGCAATGTGCGCACTGGTGCTTACAACATTGTGAAGACCATTGCGGCTACTACGGCAGCCAGAATCGAGCTGCTGCTGGTGAGCATAGAGCCAGCGCCGAGGAACTCCGCTGGGGATGTCGAGCTGGGCAAGCTGCTGTTAGCAGGTGGCGCCGAGATCAATGTCGTAGAGACAGGCGGTACGACAGGAGCAGGAGAAGAGTCCACCAAGAGACCTGAAGTCGTAGAAGCTGCCGGAACGTATACAGTCTCGGTCACGCTAGGTGTGCAGCTACTTGTTGAAGAAGCGCGCGAGATAGTCACAGTCCTGGTCACGTTGCGGACGCAGCTAGCAGACGCGGCAGCGTTAGACTGACCAGCAGGCTTGTCTGAGGAAGATGGCTGAGAGCTCGCAGCCGATGTGCTTGTAACAACGACTACCGAAGAAACGACCACGGTCGAACCAGGTGCTTGAACTGCTTCGGGAATCTTCGATGAGACCGATTCGGGAGCCTCGCTAGACGGCGCCTCGCTGGATGGGATCTTGCTGGACGAAGGGGCCTCGACAACTACGCTGGATGCAGGGGCAGCTTCGCTAGTAGCAGGTACCTGGCTGGAGACAGGAGTAGCGGATGAAGGGGCGGGTGTCGAGCTGGACTCGGGGGTAGGGCTAGTCAATGGCTTCGGCGCGCTGTTGTTCTTCGCAGGAAGGGTACCCTTCTGGATCATCAGAAGAGCCTGAGTGACTTCCAAGGCTGACAGCTGTTGACCGACACCAGAGGTTCCGTCCCAGCTTCCAGTGTACCACTTGCTGCCACATGTAGCGCCATCAGGGCCACCAGAGCAGGACTTGGCAGCACCGACCGCAGAAGCCTTCAGGAACGGAACGATCTTTTCCTTGGTAAAGGGAGCTACCATTGCAGTCTTGGCAATAAAACGCGAGAGGTATGCCTTGAAGGACTGTTGATCGAGATTGCAGGGGCGGTTGTTCTCGCCTGTCTCGCAAGCCCACTCGTACATGATGTCCGTGGCGTTCTCAAAAGGTCGGAAGAACAGCAACTCGGCGTGGTCCAGGAAGCCCGATGTACGCTCCTTCCAGGTGTCGTCGCCGTTAGTGTAATCGTACATGAAGGCTGATCCGTGAAGGAACATGGCGTTGTTGTAAGTCCACTGAGTCTCGTCTGCAACCTTGGCGCAGTTGGTCTTGTCGTCTGTCCCGTCAAACACCTCGTATTTGTCGGTAATGAGTCCAACCTTCTTCGTCCAGTCGTAGATCTTCACAACCCAGTCGGCGTACTTCTGCTCGCCAGTGTAGCGGGCAAGGCGTGCACCAAGAGCGAAAGCGCATCCGTTGGAGATGGAGTTCTTGTAGTTGTAACCGTATGCGTTCTCGGGGTAGATCTGCCACTTGAGGCCTCCGTCGCAGGAAGTCTCGTCCCAGCGGCCAACAATGTTCTCGAAGGCGTTTGTTGCGACCTCGAGGTAGCTCGCCGGCGCCTGAGCGGGATCAGGGAACTGATACTCGAGCGCACTCATAACGGCAAGCGCCCAGAAAGCCTGGTCGTCGTTGCCAGTTTGGCTCTTGCGGTAAGACAGGATGAAGTCGTTGTCGGGGCCATAGTTGGCAGTCAGGGCCTGCTGGAGGGTCTTTACGTGCGAATCGTCTCCCGAAAACTGGCTGTACTCTATCATGCCACCCCATGCCGCACCACCTTCCCACCAGTAGTGGGGCTGGGGCCAGATGCCTATATCTTCCTTGGATACACCTGTGGCGTTGCCCTGGTACATCGACATCAGACCGTACGCATACTGCCGAGTAGCGCTGAGAATGGACGCTATTCAAGTCAGCTCCGGAATTGTAATCAGTAAAAATATCCTCACCCTCATCCTCCGGGTCAAGCTTGACACCGCCAGCGGTTGCAGTCAAAGTAGCAAGGAGCGCAGCTCCAGTAGTAAAGTACTTCATGTTGGTTGAGAAACGAATGGGTAGAGGTCAAAAGAAGGTAAGCGACTACAAGTCGAAAGAGAGAAAGGAAGGAAAGTAACGATTGTATACACCGCAGCTGCAGGCAGAATGTGAAGTGAGAGAAAAGCAGCCATAGTGAAGGACGGGGCTAGGCATTATCTACAGATCTGACTCGCGTGGACCCATTTCTTCGGTGAATGAAGTCGGGGGAGGAGCGCGCGGGTGAGAGCAGGGATTGGGTAAGCGGGCGTTTCGAAACGCAGGAACAGAATTAGTCGTAGCCAATGGCTGGCTAGCATGCATGTTTCAGCGCGGCGGCTGGTTGCTTTTCTGGCCTTTGATCTTTTTGGCGCCTCTGTATATTGTCTGGGCGCCTTACCCTTCATATTTGGACTCGGTCGATCCCTTGTGCTCGCTGGCCGTGCAGCACAGGTGCTTTTGCTGTCGCTGTTTAGTCGCTAAGAAAAGACACGTCGCTTACCGTACTCTCACGACGAACGTCACAGCTAATCGCACCAGCATGCACTACCATAGAAGATCAGCTAGACGCGTACTGTACCTGCATAGCTAGGGGATGATGCGGGGCTATTGTGGTGCCAAGACCGTGGAGATCGTCACAGGCAAAAGCAGCAGAAGAGATTGTTGAAGATGCAGGTCAAATTACAGACCCATGGTGTCGTTCATGAGGCGCAGTCTAGCCAAACCTCGCTCAGGATATGCCTCGGCCCGTCTAGCAATCATGCGCTGAGGCGTCTCGTCCCAGGTCTACCCAGAACGCCCCGAATGTGAATAGCACGCGAAAAGAACACAGCCACACAATTTACACCCCCACAAGCCTCTTCTCCTTCTTGTCCTTCTCCGATTCCCGTACCGCGGCCATCTCCTCCTTGGTCATATTGTAGGACCCAGTGACTTGGTTGAATGGGTTGTCGGGGTGCTTCTCGAACTCCTTGCGGATCTGGTCAATCTTCTGCTGTCGTCGCAGACCCTTCTCGTCCTTCATCTCCTCCAGTCTTCGCTCCTCAAACGCAGCGTATGCAGCCTTGAAGCGCCTCTCAGGGTGGCGATCCACCTTGTCTTGACTGTTGCCTGTGATGTCCAGAGCGTCGAGGGCGTTATCGATACCGGTGGCATTGAGAGCGCCAGGCTTCGCGTCGAAAGAGCCAAGCGCCGAGTCAATGCCGCGGGGCTTCTTCTCGGCTTTGGGGTTCTTGCCCTTGGGCTTTGAGGGTAGAGAAGCTTCTTCTTCGCGAAGCAGCGCTTCCTTTTCAGCCTTCTTACGGGCTGCTTCAGCGGCCTTTTCTGCTGCTGCCTCGCTGCGATCTGTTAGCTACTGCACGGGTAGTGACAAAGGTGCAGCCTACGCCTTCGCATTCGACTTTGTGCCCTTGTTCCATTCCTCTGCCTCTGCCTTCTCTGCTTGTTGGTTCTTTGCAGCCTGCTTCGATGCGGCAGCGTCAGCCTTGCGTGCTTGTCCTTGTGCTTTCTTGGAGTTTTCGCCACCACCAGCGGCGCCCTTTTTCGCCATAATGTCCTACGATATGTGAAGTTGTATGTGCGTTCTACTTGACGGGAGTGCAGCGCGAATCTTCCGATGTGTGTTGCGTAGTTAGAAAATGAGTCAAAGTTTGGTAGAATGCGGCCTGTGGCAGCTGCCTCCGGGCAGCGGGGCAATGGCGTCAGACAACACCTGAGTACGCGTGAATGACTAAGCACCAAAAAGATCGCTGACAGTATAACCTTCCACTTTCCGATCGTCACTATTCTTCACCCTTACCATGGCTAATCCACAGCATACCGAGGGCCAAACAAATTCTCCTTCAGAGTGTTACAATAACGCTCCATACCAATGCTCAGATCACAATACACCTGTGCAGTCGCCAAGCGCGCTGAACTCACCAAACTTGCATCAAACCGTCCCAACTCAGCACAATTCACCAGTTGACCACGCTGCCAACCTTGATCAGACACTATCTAACCAATCACGTTCAAACCAGCCAACAACTGATCAGCTCAAATATGGAGAGCCATTAGAGAATTCGTTCATGCAGAATCAGCCCGTACACAATTCGCCACTACAAGATTTACCGTGTCAATCCGGTCCAAATGCGAAACAGCCAGTAATCCCGCTACAAGCAAATGTCCCGATAATGAAGCCGGAAAAGAATGAAATGACCTTCAACGAGGTAATGCGGGAGGCAGACGAAGCCATGCAGAAGGCAAAAGAGTTCATGGATTCGACAAACAACACAGATTGGAAGGTTACCGAAGAGGAGCTTGAAGCATATGAACAGTTCGAGAAATCGCTCCAACACGATGCGAATCACGTACCAGAAGTCATAGATCAGATACAGGCGATCCCCAACTCGAAATACTTGGTACACGAGAAGTACGACTGTGTTGAGGCGGAGAAAGCGGCAAAAGAGACACACGAAGAGGTTGCGCGAATGTTGTCCAATTTGAAGCAACCTAAGCTGCGGACGCAAGAGTCCGGTGTCGCTAAGACATCGAAGCCGGCACAACGAGTAGCACAAAGCGAGGGCGATGACATGCAACCAATCCCGACATCGAAATCTTCAAGTTCTATACATTCAGATAAGATTCAGAACAATTCGCAGACTAAGGAAAGCCGCCACCGAAGGAGGCGGTCCAGACTCCGACGACAACCTTTTGATCAAACTGTCCTTGACAATGATGAGGATCGCGAATGAAGACACGGCAGCAAATACGACCAAGCCAGCTGATCAGTCTACTATTGACGTTGAGCCGGAGATGCTATCGGCTAGCATCACGAACAAGCCCTTTGTTGCTCCGCAATTGCAACGACCAGCAGAACGACTCCGCAGACGAAGTTGACACGACGTCCAGACATCGACGAGTGACCAGAATTAATTCAAACGGCACATCGCAAACTAAGCCCGGAATCGCCCCAAAATATGCGGCAGACTGCCAACGAGATTATACAAATCCAGTATATTCAACTACCGAAAGACAACACGTAATGTCGGCTAATTGCGGGACTTTCAGTATCGATCAAAGACGCTATGAAGCTGGGACACAACAGCTCTGCCTTCACAAAGACTACCGAGAGCGTTATGGTCGTATCACTTGAAATCCGGACATTTACACTGAGGAGAAAAAACAAATCGCGTGTTCTCACAGTTGTTAGGGCACAGTCGCGAGTATTGCAAACGGGCCGGTGGTAACCTCGACTTCGCGTGCGATTCATGCGTCCATGCTGATGGCCTCTGTATACGCATTGTACCATGGACGTGTCGACCGATGGCTCCCTGGAAGAGTGTTTCATGTGCATCTATCCCCTCACCGCCCCTAATCAAGTGAGTACCGATTGGAAAGATGTCGCTTTCTGGCTCACTGCAGACACCTGATGGTTGAATCGTGATAATACTAGCTTTGCTGGTCCTCATACTAGCTCTGCTGGTCGTTATACTAGACTTGCTCTGGTCGTTATACTAGACTCGTTCTGGTCGTTATACTAGCCCTGCTGGTCGTTATACTGCTCAGCGGTCCAGATACTAGCTCTGCTGGTCCCCAATACTGATGACTGCAGTTGAACGATGGCGCTCACCGAAGGTGTGACAGAGTGTTATATGCGGTTATTGGGTAGGTAACTGGTTAGTATATTTCATATTCATTCATAGCCATCCAGTGTTCATAAACCCTCCTGTGATGCACTCCAGCTGTGGCGTTACGTTGTCGTTTCCACTCGGTTCTTTCAGATCTAGAGAAAGGTAAGGTCTAGACATAAGACGGTAGCAAACAAGTAATGAAGAACAAGGAAGACGAGAAGATTATGCGTCCCTTGGACCCTGAAGCAGTTGGATCCACCGCGAAACATAACACTCTGAAGGGACGCCTTGTACGAATAGATGGGCACTAAGCGCCGGCGTGGTGCTAAGATATACTACTCGTATGGCTCTAATGAGGATATATGGCCCTTTGGCGGTGTCCTCTGGTACACTCTATGTGGCGAGCCTCCGTTCAAAAATATCGAAGATTCCACCGGCGAAGCTATGTTCAACAATATCATGCACGGCCCCCTCGACACCAATTGCTGTTGGGTATCCGGGAGAGTCAATGGCTTCAAGCCCCTGAACATGATAGGATGGTATGCGACGACGATGGAAGATTCGAGGTCGACTGCCTCGTCTGTGACAGTTTCCGCAAGTTTGATGGTAAGGAGGGCGATGTTTTACTTGCGTGTCCTGTACAACTGCGAGAGGCAGATCGGAGTCGAACATTACCTAGGCAGGTAGCCAAACTTGGCGCTAACTGGGCATCGCGATCGCCGACGCACCCCAGAAAATCCACAAAAGCTCCCCACACTTCTACCATCGGGAATAACGCAGTATCAAAACAATGATCTTAACATCCACTGTATTATTATACTTGTAAATCCTCTCTCGAGTCATCACAAATGAACCTCATCACCATCTAATCCAGTGAAGGGATAAGTTTCCGCTTTGTTGCTTACGGAAATAACGCCCCGAGGCTTGACAGACGTCATTTCTGGCGCACAACAGTCACGTCCCAAGTTGACGGCGCGCGGCATCGTACCCAAAGCTGGAGATCTCACTAGTTTAATGAGGGGAAATACGAGATCGTCTTCCAATGGCGTTGCCATCGCGATGAGGGATTATGCTGTGACGTCTTCTAGCATAGGAGCCGCGGGTATGGAATGAGGTGCTTAAGCAGCCATGGTCCGCTGAGTAGGCTGTTTATGTGCATCTGCTAGCACTCTTCTCACGTTGGTACCGTTTTCGAGGCCAAGAGGCTTTTGTGTTAGTCTATCTTCATCTAGTGTTGCATTTGACGTCCCTCCATTATGACCACTCGAGGACCAATGGCCCCAGGGCTGTCAATCACACGCGACTGGGCAGACGATCATTCTGAAAACCGTCTAGATAGTATCACGTCTGGAACGAGCGCTACACCTCTGACTCAGGCACCGACACAGTATTCGTCGCATTCTACCAACTCAGAGCTCTCCCCTAATCGAACATCGTCGAGCGCTCAACGAAAGCGATCGGTACTTGGCTTGCATCCTCAGGCACCCATCGATGAGGAGCATGATCATGGGGCAGCATCTGAGTTGCTATGGTCGCGCATAAGGACAGTGATGAGGGAGCCGTTTGCTGAGTTCTGGGGCACTGCTATTATGGTGATGTTCGGCGATGGAGCGGTTGCGCAAGTCTTGTTATCAGCTGGTCAGACTACTGCTCCAGGAGGCAACGGCTTCGGGCAGTATCAATCAATAAACTGGGGGTGAGTTGAGTGCTGATTTGGGAAAGATGGCAAAGCATACTAACAACAAGCAGCTGGGGCCTAGGCGTCATGCTTGGACTGTACGTGGCAGGCGACTCTGGGGCGTATCTCAACCCAGCCATTACCCTCAGCAACTGCATATACCGCCAGTTACCATGGCGGCGGTTCCCAATGTACTTCGCTGCGCAGATGCTAGGTGGTTTCGTTGGATCCGGTATCGTATATGCAAACTACATTAGCTCCATCGACTGGTTTGAAGGTGGAAAAATGCGAACAGTGCCTCCTGCCGAGAAGGCTACAGCAGCAATATTCTGCACATATCCACAGCCGTTTCTTACAAAGACAAGCCAGTTTTTCTCGGAGTTCATCGCAAGTACATTGCTGATGTTTGTCATCTTCGCATTAAAGGACCCGAGCAATAACGGTGTCCCAAAGGTATGATTTGTAGCAGTAATGTGTGTGGTGATGCTGACCATCATGTAGTCCGATAAATGGTTCCCTCTTTGTTTGTTCTTCCTGATCTTCGGCCTCGGATCTTGCTTCGGCTGGCAGACTGGCTATGCGATTAATATCGCTCGTGACTTCAGCCCAAGACTGATGTCGTATGCTGTTGGCTATGGTCATGAAGTGTGGTCCGCTGGCGGCTACTACTTCTGGGTATGTCTTCCGACCATATCAATAACATCTGCTAATTCATGTAGATCCCAATGGTAGCGCCCTTCCTTGGCTGTGCGTTTGGTGGCTTCCTTTACGACATCTTCATATATACAGGGCCTAGTCCCATCAATTCGCCGTGGTTGGGCTTGAAGCAGCTCACGCCTTGGAATGCGATGCGAGCGAGAAGAGAGCACATAAGGAGAGAAAAAGAGGAAGGTATTGTATAAATCGCTGTTCTTTTCCGAGGTGCTCGTTTCTTGTAACATAGCTCATGCAAACGTGTAGACGCAAAGCCTAGCTAGGAGGCATTAATAGATTATGAAGTAACGGAGATTCGAATATGATGGAGCGACGAGTATGTCAATGCAAGTGAGCCTGTTCAAATGAACACGTAAGATGTATTGAACATCAGGTTGCACCACAACCAATCTGATCTGACTAGTCGAGGAACGTCCTACAAATGTGGTACCTCTAAACTTGCCAGTAACAAGTTCACGATACTAAACAGTCCTTCGCCAAGGATCAATCCACTTGCAAGCACGATTATAGGTGTCTCGCTTCGACCCTTCCATCGCCGCCACCATAGACTGAGCAGACCGCCTATTGTACGCGCCAACGTGAAAGATGGAGTGTTATACATGCCTGCACGATAAGTCAGTTGATGAAATTTTGGAAGGGAGGTGACAAGTCATACCAACAGCAACGGCGATTCCACCAGGCACGAAGTCGATCCACCATCCACTCAAACCCCTCTGCTTTCTGTTGTTACCCCAGACTCTGATCATAGTACCTACGGCGAATATGACAGCCGCCCCGCTAGCCCATTCCTTGACCATTGGCGGTAGGCCCTTGCCTGTCACCAATCGCGCAGTAAAGACCCACACGTATCCTGTCGGCACTTCGAACAGGCCACCGGGAATGGTGTATACGTTTGTGTACAGCTTGTATACAACAGCAGACAACACCGCACCGAATGCTGAACCGATCATCTGGCCCCAAAACTGCGCATTCGGCGCTGCGCCTAGCAGATGACCACACTTGAGATCCTGTAGTAGATCGCCTGCTTGTAGTGCAGCAGACTCGGAGATGGCGCCTGCAACAAGGTTGATAATGACCGCATTCTTGGCACCAGGCCCAGTGGTGGGCGTGACGAGCGCGAAGACGAGTTGAGTGAGCTTCGAGATACCAGAAACGGGGTTCAAATCTGTTTCGCCAAGTGCGCGGACACCCATAATGGATAGGACGAGCGCAAGTACGAGCGATAGTAGGGTAAGCCGGAAGGGAATGAGGCCTGGGAATGACACATGGACGGCAGCGACGCAAAGAATTAGCGAAGCAATTAGACCGATGATAGTGGTACGGTTCGAAACAAGATGCTCAGGCGGGGCATCCGGCTCGGCACCTTCAGCGAGATGTTGCTTGATCGCTGCCAACGGGTTCGCTGACGTGCCATCGCTGAGCTGAGTGTACTGTGGCTTGGATGTGATGTTCAGCGTGAATATCTCTTTCCAAGTATGCGATTGGAAATTTTCTTTTGCAGTAGGGTAATAAGCTCTTGCGACTGTGATGACGGGACGCAAAAGAAGCCACCCCAGGCTAACAAGGGAATCCGCGAGCATAATGGCAAGAGAGATCCAGACTATCCAGCCTTTTGATCCGTTTGTCCAGTCTGACACTGGCCCTGGAGCCCATTCTTTGTGCTTGGCGAGTGGTGAAAGGATGCCCCAGCCTATGATGGCACCGAGGAGCATATGAAGCGTCGTAGCAGGACCCATGATGATACCTTGACCCACGTACGCAGGCGAAGGGTTCAAAGTCCAGAGCCAGTTCTGCGCCAAGGGAAGACCGAAAACGGGTATGTCGTGGAGCTGCGGGATGAAGTACGATACGACAGTGTATAGTGCGGATCCGCCAAAAGAGATGAGCAGCAACCTGATCTTAGATCTCCAGTCCCCATCTTCTCCAAGCTCTTGATCTGGATCCTTCATGCTGTCATCCATGGACGGCCTAAGATCGTGCTCTTCCCGCTGCGCGCTTGAACCTTGTAGTAGGCCCTGTGCCTCCTCTCCGTCATCGGACTGGTCATCCCTATCTTGGATCCCTTCGCGTACCATCATCGTCTTGGACTTTTCATCTCCATGGAGCACCTTGATCAAAAGAGCAGTCGCAGTCCCACTCGGAAACTTTAGCTTCTCCCTGATGATCATCTCTTTCCGTAGTGGTACCGCAAACACAACACCAAAGAAGCAAATGCCCACAGACCACACGATCAGCTTCCATAGACTTATATCCAAAGGTCCGTTTTCCTCAGGTTTCAACAGATAGTTCAGAGCAGGGATTACTCCTACGAATCCACATCCGAGTGGCATGGTGCCGACCGATCCCGCAACTGATTGAACCAGAACATTCTCAACCGGCGTAAATGGCAACTTGAGTGTCTTTGCAACGACCTTGAAGTATGCGAATCCGATCAGAGCAGAAGGCATAGCCATGCCAGAAACCCAACCAGTCTGCAACCCAAAGTACATATTCGAGAAGCAAATCACCACACCAATCGCCAAGCCTACCAAAACACCTCGAAGCGTAAAGTTCTGTGGCTGCGACGCCTGTTCAGCCAGGTACTTGCGGGCTCCCGACCTGCTGCGGCCGAGCGCATGATCATCCGTCTCTTCACCATGCCCTCCTCTTTCATTTTCCAACGATGCGGATCCCCGGTCTGGTGCCATCCTCGAGATATTCTGGAGCTGAATCGACTCAGCCAGCGTGCGGACGAGGAAGCATTCAAGAAGAGAGGAAGAAGATCAGGACGTCCAGATAGGAAGATAACGGAGCCCTGACATGGAATGGCGTGCTTGAGCATGTGCACGCGATGATGCAAGGTGATCGGCTAGCGTGCAAAGCTCCACACGTGATAGCCGGATATCATTGGCAGAGTCATTGCTTATCTCCGATTTGTCAGATGGCCAACACTCTAACGTGCATCGCGGACTGCTAGACTAGGGGCGCGTCGCGGGTCCGCATACCACTCCAAGCACTGTGCAAACCTCCCAGGGACCTACTATCAATCCCGACTTCGCGATGAAGTTCTCCACCGCGCTTCTGCCTCTACTGGCAGCTCCTTTCGTCGCTAGCGAACATACATCCAACTGGGCCGTCCTCGTCTCGACATCACGCTTCTGGTTCAACTACCGACATCTCGCCAATGTACTCTCCTTGTATCGCACCGTCAAGCGTCTCGGGATCCCCGATTCGCAAATCATCCTCATGCTGCCTGACGACATGGCGTGCAATCCTCGTAACGCCTTCCCTGGAACCGTCTACAACAACGCAGACCGCGCGCTAGACCTCTACGGTGACAACATCGAGGTAGACTACCGGGGATACGAAGTCACGGTTGAAAATTTCATCAGATTGATGACGGACAGAGTGGGAGAGGACATGCCGCGGAGTAAGAGGCTGATGACGGACGAACGGAGTAACATCCTCGTATACATGACGGGCCATGGCGGAAACGAATTTCTCAAGTTTCAAGACGCAGAGGAGATCAGTGCATTCGATCTCGCAGATGCATTCGGACAGATGTGGGAGAAGAAACGGTATGTCCATTTCCTCTATCACACTCATAGACCACCCTGCTAATCAATGTCCCAGCTACCACGAAATCCTGTTCATGATAGACACATGCCAAGCCAACACCATGTACTCCAAATTCTACTCTCCCAACATCCTCGCAACCGGCTCCTCAGAGATTGACCAATCTTCCTACTCACACCACGCCGACAACGACGTCGGCGTCGCAGTTATCGACCGCTACACATACTACAACTTGGAGTTTTTGGAAACTCAAGTCCGCGATCCGACTTCCAAACTGACGATGGGCGATCTGTTCGACAGCTACGACGAGGAGAAGATCCACAGTCACCCAGGTATACGGTACGATCTCTTCGAAGGAGGAGAGCAGGCGGCACGGGAGAGACGAGTCATGGATTTCTTCGGCAATGTGCAGAATGTAGAAGTAGAGGGGAGGAACGAGACAGGATGGGTACAAGAGGCGGGAAGTGTGGCCAAGATGGCGAAATCGCATGACCAAAGTGTTGAGAACGTTAGTTCTGAACAGGTCTCACACAGTGCACGGAGAGAAGGTGCTTGGAAAGTGGATGAAGAGCAAGGATGGACAAAGCAAGCCTACGGAGCTGCGGCGCTGGTAGGCTGTGCAGGCGTCTGGCTTGCGGGAAGTTGGATAGAGTCCATGTAGTGGACCGTAGAGACTTTCACTTTTCAATATTCTAACGTTAATGATACCCAGTACGAAGTAGTCCGATTGATCTGAGCTGACTGGCGTCACACCATCACATGTTGTACAAAGCTATTGGCGAAGCACTTGATTGGTACTTTTCTACTGCACGTAGACCTCGCCAAGATGCAAAACTCAAAAGGTATCGTATGCCGTTCTCCGTGAGCCATGCTATGCACCGAAACTCCTCTAACAAAAATCAAAATGCCACTTCATTGCGATTTGAAACCCCACATGGCATCTTATCTCGCTCCATGATCTGTGAACTCCATGCTGCCAGCGAACAATGCTCGCAAAACTGTCATAATTCGGTGCTCTGACTCCGTCCTTGAGATACGCACGCTCCGACTCTTCTAGATTGGGTTGTAATCCCCAGAGCTAGATCCACCATAAGCCATCTCCTTAAAGCCAGCAGGGACAGTCCAACCATGCACGGCGCAAGCACGCATATACGCCTCGACCGCTTCGCCAACACCATAGTCCATTGGGGCACCTGCCTGTAGACGGGCGGGCTTGGGATCCAAGCTAGAAATAGCCATGCGGACCTGGAGAAGAACAGATTCGATTGAGGAAACCGCGCTCCAGCCATCGTTGGTAAGAAGCTGCATGCACATGGCACCACCTGCGGTGACGTGACCACCTCCACCTTGTTGGAAGCCGAGGAAGCGAGGTCTGATGACACGGACAAATGGCGGGCTCATGGGGTAGTCCTTACCGAAACGCAGCTCCAAAACGATGCTCTTTACGTCCTTGCTATTCATGTCTTTTGCAAGTGGCAGAGTGGAATCGAATGAGTGCAGTTCCACTATCCACTGGTAGATGTTGTCCATCTTGTCTTCGTCGATGTGCCAGCCGAGTTCGTGCGGCGGCTCCTTGTTCTGGATGTCGATGATGTCTTTGAAGTCCTTCATCAAACGCCTGGTAGCAGCGGTTGTTGCCCATGCAGGCATCTGAAGCATCGGCAGCTTTGTGTAATCCAGGGTGCCAGGGACGTAGTCGGTGAGAGGCTTGCTAGATGATGACTTGCCAAAGATCTTCGACGAGAACGACGCTATCGAGGCCATCTTCGACTTGCCCTTGTCGCCCATAATAGAGTTTGGTGTGGGAAGAGGGTCAACTTCTTGGACCGACTTGTGTTCGTCATCAGCCTCGAAAATGATGCGGTCCTCGTCGAGAGTTGCAATACTGGCTCCGTCGTCATCGTCTTCAATTTCAATGGGATCGTACTGCGTCTTTCCAGAAGCTTTCTGCCGCTTGTGTTTCTGTGCATCTGTCAGCCAAGGTCCATTTGTAGGTAGGGTACCATCTACCCGAGTAGCCTTCGCCTTAGGACGTCGAGAGGCAGCAATAGCATGTAGCGGTATGACGAGATTACCCGTTACACCACGAGGCGTGCGGCTTGGGTCCTGCTCCACGCATAGAAGCGGCTTGTTGCCTGGCTCTGTGGTTGCTGCAGTGTCTTCGCGTGATTTAATGAAGAGATATCGTGTCTGGATCCAATCGAGCTGAGCAACTACTAGATGCGGAGTTTGGCTCACAAACTCTGCCGGAGCATTGACAATTTCATTGAGAGCCAAAGTCTGTTGGACTTTCAGCTCGCTCATTGTCCAGGAAATGCCACCGAATGCGGAGTAGCCTAAGCTAGTATGAACATCAGGAGCGTGGTAAACACCATGTCCATAGGCTCGACCGTGGGCAGTTTCCTTGAAGTGAAGTCCCTCCCGAATGATGGTGTGCCAGTTGTAAATAGGACTGCCATGCCATGCGAATAGAGTGGGATATTTGAGGCTAAGCCGCTGGGTTGTCTCTTGCACCGCATGGATAAATCGGCGCTCCTTGTCAGGAGCACCCATTGCAAACCGGAACTGCGCCCAACCTGCCATACCATATAGACGCTCCTCGGAACTACGACCATTTGATGCGTCTTCTTCGCTGTCGACCTGTAGAATGCAAGCCCGATTTGACGCGATCACCCAGCGCAGTATCCCAAGAACAGCGGGGGGTAGACGATCAACCCAAGTATTCAAGGTAGACTGTGACTTCCGCAGAAGATACTTCCTCATTTCTTGAACAGGTGGTAAGAGATCAAGCAGCGCCGCGATAGCCTGCGGCTTCTCTAGGGTACTCAAGTCATCGAAATTCTGGTTGTAGATATAAAAGCTTGCAGATCTGAACTCCGTATCTGAACCCGGTGGTGGAGCCGATACCTTCTGCTGTTGCGATGAAGCTGGGCGTGGTATAGCGTATGGATCGTTCGGAACCCCTCCTCCAATTACTGGGATGATAGGACTTGACACTTTTACAGCCGGGTAAAGTGACGCATCAATCACGCGACAATGTAGCGTCTTACTCGGGTTATCGTCTGTTCGAATCACGATCCACTGGCCGTTCGATACAGGACAGGTTTGCCTCGCATCATCGAATAGCATCTCAAGAGAGGCAGCTTTGAATCGCATACTCAAGGCGGCTGGTGGTGGTGTACTGGCTTGCGGAGGTACTGGTTGTGCAGTGTCGGCAGGGGATGCCCAGGTTCGTGGTAGTTGAACCTGGACATAATCCGTATCGTTGGACACTGGAGGTGGAACGGCCAGGCTGAGACCGGTAGGGAATTCCCTAAGCCTGCTTGCACGCGCACTAGCGTAACAGAAGCTGACGAGCAGGTCAACAACTTTCGGCTGTGACAAGATCTCATGCTCAATACTTGGGCCGAAGCCTAGCGACATATACTGATATAGACATAGCGGATTGTCACAGACATAAGGCTTGATCGCTTGTAGGTCGTCGGGCATCCTACTGAAGCAGATCAGACAGAACTCGGTACATCGAACGAAATGTCGTAGTACAAATTGCATCCCTACAAGCGGTAGGCAGTGCTCCTGGCCAACCGAAGAGGTAATGTGGTCACCAGTAACAATCTTTGGCCACGCATCACTAATCCGCTCGTCTTCGTAGTACTTGTCGTGCGATGCATCCTGATCCGTAAGTGATGCGTTCAGGATCTGGTCGTTATAAAATGACTCAGAGCCTTGCCATGGCATGCCTCCGTAACGATACTTTAGGAGCATGTGGAAGCGCTGCTCTAACAGCTCGTTTAGAGGTCGTGAGATGAACGAGTTTCGAAAGCCTTTGGGAAGTCCTGACGAGACATTCTGGGAATCGCCTTGCGAATCTTCCCGTTGCTTCTCCTCATCCTTGCTCAAGATTGTGAAAGCTGATATCGCTTCTTGCATTGTTGGCTTATATGTCGTACAAACGCCGACACGGATGCCGAAACTTCGTCGAGCTTGCTGCGCATCGTAAGACCTCAAGTCGTCCATGCTCTTGTATCCTGACGAATATTGGAAGACTGCGACGAGGTACTCTGTCGGCTCAATTTGCCATGCTTGCATAGCCTCTTCCGAGATGCCGAGTTTGGAGATGCGGATGGAAAGAGAGACAAAACAACCAAGGCCGTCCATCAAGCCTCCAAGATGTCCAACCTTAAATCCTTCACTCTTAGCGATCAAGAGATCACTCCGGATTCGTTGTCGGAAGGCAGATGTAGCTTCTGTATGGCCACCACCCTGGAATGCGCTACTACCGTTTGCGAGCTGCGGCTTTGGCATCATGTCTTCGTCACCAGGAAAGTACTCGTCTTCTTCTTCTTCGTCGTCTTCCTCGTCGAAATCGTCAAACTCCTGTGAGTCGAGCATCTGCTGGTCGCCATCGCGGTCGGTTGATTCCAGTCTAGTAGAAACTAGCTCAAGAATCTGAGGAACGGTCTTCCCAAAGGCAGCATCGGCGATGTCGCTGAGGGCAGCAGCGACACTAGCAGAGGCATTGTCGGCACCGAAGATCATGCAAGTGTGGCTAGTGGGGTAATCGGATACTTCTGTGTAGTTTGTCAGCTATGTTCAACCAAGCAGCGTAGGCATGTTGGTTGACCGCTGAAGGCGCCTTGCTAGTCGTTCGAACGCCGACGAGAGAATGACATACCTGGAACCAAGGCTGAGATCTCCAATTGCTCGCCATCTGCAATGCACATGAATGTGAACTCGCCGTCGTCGCCACCAGCGCGTACATTTGAGATGCCCGCGATCGAGACGCCATCCGCGGCCTTTTGAAGGTCGGCCTGGAAGTGCCGCCTCGGCATGTTGACGCGCTTTCGATAGCTTGCCAGGTACTGGGAGGCAGGAAACTGGTGTTGTTACGGAATATTTGGCGTTGTTGCAGGTGCGTGTCGGATTGAGGCCGGTGGTTGAGCGAGCGGGCTGCGGCGCAGTGCAGATCGGTAGTAACGCAGAAAGCTCCAAAGTTGTAAGTCTTGAACAGCTGTGTACTAGGTAGTAAACAGGTGAGTCGCGTTGATAATCGTGTTGACGCACTTTCCCTGTTTGTGCGAGACAGTAATCACGGAAAGGCTCAATCCAGGCAATCACGCCCAAGCCAGCGATGAAGTTGTGGAAGAGAAGAAATAGAAAAGCCAAAGCGATTGGCGGCCCTACCTGAGCTCAGATTGCTTCTACAGGTTCTTGGCAGACTAGATGGCCTGTGAGACGCTGCCTGGCGTCCGCGGATATCAGTCAACGAGAGAGGTGAGGGTGCAGGATAGCGCCTGTGTTGCCTGGAAAGTGGAGCTTGACTGAGCCACTCAAACGCAGGCCGCAGCTCGCAGAGGAGCTCTTCCAAGGATGACTAGCTAGTCATTCAGCGACCCTTTCTGATATCATTGACACAATGATTTTCTCTAATTGAAAATTGCAGAGTCAGAAGAAAGACGCACTCCAAGATATGGAAGATGCCGTCATAGCCCCTCCCCCACAATTTAGCTATGCGGGAGGGAAACTAAAGGTTCCGAGCGTTCGGCTATTCCCTGCAACATTCAGGAACGCCCGCGACATCTCCTAGTAATCCCGCGATCGCCATGGCCGTGTCTGAAGAGAAGACGACGACGCCCAAATCAACACATGTATCTGATCCCGCGCTTGCTCCTTTCCTCGAGCCGCGCTTCGATGCCGCCGAATACCTCAACGCCACGCTGCCTTCGCTATCGCTAGCTTCAAGGCCAAAATCGAGTAATGCCGTCTCGTTAGCCGACCTCTCTTCGCAGACACAGGACCTCCTCTCACAGCTCAATGCGCACACGACGCGATTATCGGCCATCTTGACACAGTTGACCGATGACATCCTACGGAGCGGTGGGCGGTTGGCGTACGAGGTGGAAGTGCTGCGTGGAGAGGCTTTCGGGCTTACTGAGACGTTGACAGATGGGCTGAAGGGCGATGTCCAGAAGTTTATACCAGGCGGGATCTCGATAAAGACAGAGTCAATCGAAGATGAGCTCAAGAGCCCTACTACATCGCAGACAGATGCACCGGATGCGCAACCGCCACAGCCAACGCTTGAAGAGCCCGACGAGACAACTCCAGAATACATCTCGGACCTCCGCACCCTCGCCACAGTCCGCTCGCGTCTCGAGACGGTTATCAAGGTCTTTGGCGAGGCCATGCACTGGTCAATACCACCGTCTGAGGTCTCCCTAGGTGCTTCGCTCATCAGCGTCTCCGCCCCCGAGCCCGGCACAGACAGCGCTTCGCGCGAACAGAAAGGCAAGGAGTTTGCTGCCTCGCTACGAACCGAGATCGCCGACCTCATCACCGGCGACCCAGAAGGTGGCATGGAGAAGGCGGAGATAAGGATACAGGCTTTGAGAGACCTAGCGCAGGTCTGGAAGGGCACAGCAGAGGAGAAGGCGAGAGCCAAGTTCGTGGAAAGTCTGGTCAAGCTGGCAGAGGACAAGCAAAGGGAACTCGATAGAGAGAAGGAGAGGAACAAGGACCGGGGTCAGCAGAGGCCAGGCCGGAGTGGTAGTGTGCCAAAGCAGCAGCAACCTCAACAGCAAAGAGGCGGTGGGTTCTTAGAGAATCTTCAAAGGATACGAGGCCTTGTGGAATGAAGAATGCATGCCCTCGCTCATTGTAGATCACTTCTTGAAATGTGCCATCACGTGAATACGCGTCAAATCGTGTCGATGTGAGAAGCGACTGCGTTTACTAGTACGTAGATGGATGGCTGTTGCAGTTTGTTGCGCTAGAAACCCCTTCTGACTCGAACCGCATGGTTATGGAACCTATCCACATATGCAGGGCATTGTACACTCTATCAGCGCATCACATAGCTTGTACATCGAAGGTCCAGCTCAAGTCGTGCAAAACGTCTCTTTTCATTCAACGTAATCTCGTAGAGTACAGAACAACAAAGCCCAATGGCGCACAAACATCCTCCACAACAAACATGCCTCGCCTATCCCAGCCCTACTCCTAGGCTACGACTGATCCCCCACAGGAGTCAACCCTTGCGGGAACTACGACCGTGGGTTCACCTTAAGCCCAAGAAAGAGGGCAGAGGGCGGATGCGGCTACCAGAAAAGTACAACAAGAAACGCAAAAACAGAACATTGTCGAAATTCAACACGTCCAAACGCCTGTCCATATGCCGGGGTATCATAAGCGACCGAACTCCGAAGTACCACAAATCTCACTAAACGCGTGGGGGAATCAAATTGAGGGGATAGCCTCCAAGACAGCCATCGCACGTTGTCCCTCTGCTTCAAACGCCATGATTTGTCTTTCGCAGGCCATGCGCAGTTTCTCCTCGCCTCGCTTCGCGTTGTAGAGAACCCATTGTTCGATAGTCATAGACTTCTCATGATCTGTCAGACCTGCAATGACTGCGTCGTAGATCTGTTCAGGTGTGGAGCCAGCGGTCTCGATATTGTCCAGGCCGGCATCGATGAGAATGTCCTGCATCAAACCCTGGGCCTCTCCCTGAGAAGCAAACAGCATGTCTACGTCGGCAGGCTCCCAGCCATGAGTGTTGCCCATATCGTCAGCTTCGCTGTGGGGAGGTGGTGTCCTCTTAGGAGTGCCAACCATGAGATCAGCGGGAAGGCTTGACATATCGAAATCTGAGTTGATGTTGTCATGCGGCTGAGTCGGTGTCTTCTTAGGCGTTCCAACTGGCAGGTCGCTTGGGAAACTCTCGATGCTCGAAGATCGAACCCGCTTCGGCGCTGGTTGTACAACCTCGGAGAATTGTGTGTCCTCCATAGTATCGCTCATGCGCTTCTTGCCACGCGCAGGTTGCGGGGCCACCTCAGAGAGTTCTGTGTCTTCCATAGCATCACTTGTGCGCTTCTTGCCGCGTGTGGCCTTCTTGCTGGTAGTGGACGCGGTGGATGAGCGTGCTGACGGACGCTTAGCTTTCGAGGCGCGCTTGCCTTTCTTTGCGACAGGAACGGGTGGGTTGTAGATATCGGAGAGGGTATAGAAGAGACACTCGGGTGAGCGTTTACGGTGCTCTTGGTTCGGGTCATCGCCAATGTCCCAGGCGTCTAACGCCAGAGAGCAATATGGACATGTGACGCCGTCTGGAGTTTCGTCGGAAGGGTCATAAAACCATCCAGCGGCGACCATCTGGTCTACTGAGGGGTAGCCGGCGCTAGTGTCCAAAGGCCACATATTGCCAAACGTGTCGCGACGCGCCGCCACCATCGCGTCAGATGTTGGGTCCTCTTCAGTCCTGCCTGGATCACCGGCACGCAGGCGGATACAAGCGATGACTGCAAAGCCGCAGCTAGGTGAGTGTGTGGCGTGCTCATAAGCGGGAATGTCTGACTCCTCCCAGCCGTCGAGTTGGCACTCGCAGCTGAAGCATTGTACATTGTCTGGGCTGGCGGTAGTTGGCCTCCAGACAAAACCAGCAAATGCAAGATCTTGTGCCGAGGGTGATGAGAGTGGCCATGCGGCTGCTTTTGACTTTGCACCTGCCTTTTTTGACCTGCTGCTTGTCCGTCGCGTCTTGGTTGTCGTTGCTGCTCCTCCAAAGGTCGCGAGACGCGCCTGGAGTGATGCCAGCGCGGCGTCCATGGCGTTTGGCTGTCGTGAAGATCTTTTGTGATGTTCTTATGTGCTTTTTCCTTGTGTTCCAAGAGCAGCGGCTGAGTTACCACGCAAATAAAGTGTTGCTGATGTGGAGTGGTGTGGGATGGGTGGGTTGAGAGGAAGTCGCGTCTTTACGCGGTAAGAGGGACCGGCGCAAACATCTGATCGCCAAGGCTCGTAACGGAAGCAACCGCGCTTACGTCATCCACCCTCTCACTTTGCGCAACCTCAGGCATCGACATCTATACAAGATGTATTTACGCCAGCCAATATTCCGGATAGCGTGGTGCAGAAGGCCTCTGATTCAGGTCAATCGCCGTTTCATCTCATCCGAAAAGACCGTACCCGCCGACAAGCCACATGCATTCCAATCGCTGCCTCCGGAGTGGGAGGATGAACCCCCTTCGCTGGAGGACTTTACACAGCTACCACACAAGGACTTTGGGAAGAACCAGCTGATACAAACGAATGAAGAATTCAAGCGATCATTACGAGGCATTCTCCGGCAATTTCCACCCGTCACCTATGCGTTTGCCTATGGCTCCGGTGTCTTCCCTCAGTCAGCTGCGACAGCTTCGCGCACGTCGCAATCCCCTCATCCGAACGCGCCCGAGGCGATACTCAAGTGGCAGAAGGGCGGAGGAAAGATGATAGACTTTATCTTGACACCTCGGTTCTCGCAGCACTTCCACTCGCTCAATCTGCGCGAACACCGAGACCACTATTCTTTCCTGGGGTCACTCGGTTCAGGGGTCGTCAGCCATGTGCAGGACAAATATGGTGCTGGTGCCTACTTTAATCCGTATGTGATAGTGAACGGAACTATGATCAAGTACGCTGTCGTCAACTACGAAACGCTCCTTCGCGATCTCACCGATTGGGACACCCTCTACTTCGCCGGCCGCTTACACAAGCCCGTCAAGATTCTCCACGAAGAGCCCAACCTCCGTGTCGCAAACCAACGTAACCTCCTCTCTGCCGTACGATGCGCCCTTCTTCTTCTTCCCGAGAAGTTCACTGAGAAGGAACTATATTCCACAATCACTGGCTTGAGCTATCAGGGCGATCCGCGTATGCAATATGGCAGCGAGAACCCCAAGAAAATTGACAACATCGTCACGCACCAAATACGAAACTTCAGATACCTGTACCACGACCTCATAATGTCACTACCAAATATCTTGTACGCTGACGACTCCGCGGTACGCACGGCTGGATGGATAGAAGACCAGGGCCTCGATCAGAAGATGTCACAAGACATGGATCCTGAAAGGCGGGCCACTATGATTAGGCGATTGCCCAAGAAGTTCCGTGAAAAGGTCTACTTCCAGTACCGCGGCAAGTTTGGCATCTCAGGCCGCGATTATCAGGAAATGTTGGAAGCAAGCAAAGACGAGTCTTCTGGAGGTATAGTTAAGAAGCAGGTTGCTGGTGACTTCGACAAGCGGATTGCCAGAGAGAAGGACGTTCCACAAATGGTCACCAAGGCGATCAACCAAACGGTCAAGTGGCCTTCGACTGTGCAGACTCTGAAGGGACCTCTCACCGCGGGCTTCTCCAAGTCGTTGCGCTACCTGCAAGAGAAGAGGGAGAAGGCAAAGATGAAATGAAGCGGAGGCTGTTAGGATGTTGACGTTCGCTATTCAAGACATGATTTCCTTTGTACTATCATCAAAAGCGTAGAGCAAGCGAGTCAAAAACAGTATGTCTCGAACTGTAATCGCGTATAGCCGCCGTTGTGCATCTTACGGGTCAGGCTTTGTATAAGCGGAAAAGCGAACTTAGACTTTGTACACAATTTAAATCATCAACACACTTGGTCTTCCCACGAACCGAAAAGGTTGTTGTCACCCAGCCAGATTGCTGTATATTCCTGAGAACATACTGCTTAATTTGCCATGCTCTCAGCTTGTTGAGGCACTGCTGCATGTTGTCTCCCCACCATTCTCCACAATCTCCACTTACTACTAACCAACTTTACCAAGGCCCACATCCACACCGTAATTTTGGACCTGGACCTCTTTAGATCGGTTTCATTTGTTTTGCCGTCTTCCTTTGACCCTCAGTATATAATATATCTAATTTGACGATTAGTCATCAAATCACCAGTCTGATAACCGGCTCAATGGTGTAAGCATTCCCAACCATCAAGGCAAAGACCACGACTAACATCCAATCAGCTAGTCGCATGATTCCTGCTTTGGGTTCTCAAGCTTAAGTGCAGGAGGTCCCGGGTTGTAAGTTTAGAGTTCGAGTCAGGCCTCTATCAACCACTAACATGTGTTAGCAAATCCCGGTTGAGCCCTGATATATCTTCCTTTTTTTGCTGGATTTTTGGGCTCGATTTAGGTCTATAGTAGACAAAGAGCGTCAGGTCTATTTCCTTTTTGTAATCATGCACTGTATACAAGGGAAAAACCGAACAGGTATAGATATAACAAGCTTTACATGAAACTTTCAAATGAGTATATATACAGCTGCATATAGTGAAGCCAAGTGTTTGGAAACACACTTCTACTGCGATACAATACAGTGTAACTCAACAGCGTTGTGCCTGCGTCTTATCACCAGCACGTCAATCAAATCAATAACAAGCTTTACTTTGCAGCCTACATTATCCTATAATAAGAAAACTTATAAAGACTAACAGTATTATAATCTCCTAGGTTTCTAATCTATATCTATATAGCTCTTAATATACTCTTTTGTAGTAGGAAGGAGTACTCTTAAAAGATAGGTTTATTTTTTCTCTTTGATACAGAGCATGCGTCATATGAGTGAAGTCTTGGTAGGTAATTGATAACATTGAAATCGCATCGCCGAGGTATCTTGGTATCCTACAAAATCCAAAAAGCCTGACCCTAAACAAAAGAACTGGTATCATCGCATTATATCCAATGTCAACAACTCCAAACGCCTAACACAATCAGTGTATTGAGCCAACACTCATCGGCCGCGCCGCGGCCACTCAACCTCCAAACCCCCACTACGATCAATCTCCCTACCCTCTCTCTCATCTCTTCTTACACTCTCGCCCATAACGACAGTAGCAAGCCGCCTCAATACCTCCTGACCAGTGATTAGATCGCCAAGGTTGCCAGGCGCGCAATCACCCATCTGAAGCCTTTTGCCAGTGACCTCAAAATACTCCTCTTCATCATGCAGACTCAGAAGCTGCATGAACACGCTGCACATGACAACCAGCTCCTCGGTCATGACCATGCTGTAACCCCAGGCGTGGAACGTGGCGCCGACGTAAGGTAGGTTCCCGTTCCTAGAGATGAACTGTCGGAGGAGGTAGCCGTTGGTATTTGAAAGTGGCGTAGGGGGAACAATGGATGGACAGAAGAGCGCAGGGTGCTTGAGGTGCGTTGTGTAGAGTTTGTCGAGCGCCTTGTAGTGTGTCCTTGTCCAAGGCTCGATCTTTGGAAGTGGTGTTAGGCGCGAGATGATCGGATGTGGTGCGGGAGGAGGTGGTCGTGTAATGGTAGACTTTACGCGATCAAGAAGAGTCGGTTGTTCACGAGCGGCTACTTCAGGGCTGGCTTGCGACTGAACGCTGGAAGAAGTCTCTATTGAGTCGTCGACAACTTGCGGTCCGCTATAACGCGCCGATGATGGTGCGGGAGACTCGTTCGAACGCTGCGAAACCTTGGAGAGCGGCGAGGGCTTACGTGCTGACAACAAGCTCTGCTGGAACCGCTGCTGCATCTTCGGCGGACTTGATGCAAGCCTGCTCGGCTCCTCGGTGATCTCCGTGATTTCGTTCAGGGTCCGCTCTTGCGGCTCATAGGCGTCAAGGTACTCATTTGCTTCTTCGCGGACACGAACTATAGTAGAAGCTGTGTTACCCTCCATCTCCACGCGAAACTGTCGTTGATCGGATGCTGCAGAGATCTTGCTATCACCATCGACAATAGTGTGGAATGGTGAGCTTTGCGCAAGTGGTAGCGTCGACTCTTCAAACTGGATCGAACTTGTTGAGATATCGGCACTTTGAAGCTCTCTCCTCAAAGGACTGCTCTTTTTTGGTGAGCTCATTAAAGCTGGAAAACGAGGTGGTGTGTCAATGAACGGGTTCGTCTTTGTTGGCGGAGATGGCTTCTTTGTTGCCATCGGCGGCGAAGACTCTGGAACGTAGCTTTCACCTTGGTCAAGAAGCTCTTCCAAACTGACTTTCTCCTTCTCTTGTCGTCTCGGCCTCCGTTGCTCGAATCGCGATGGTTGCTTCTGATTGAAGACGTTCGGCATGTTTGACTGGAAGAATGTACCAGTGTCATCACTAGCCTCGCTCGCTGGACTCGACTCATCTCCATCCTGCATTGGCTTGTCTTCGGACAATGGCGTCACAACATCACTGCCTTGCTCTTCTTCTTCATCCTCTGGTTGGTCTAGAACTTCGGGCTCCGGCTGTGCAGGACTGGGCTCCTTCTGTGGTTCTACTTCACCGCCGCGGCGGAGTTCGTTCGCCCTCTTTCGACGCCACTCTCTTAGGAGCTGGCCACGAGCCGGCTTAGTAGGGATGTTCTCTGTGAAGATGTCATGCAAAGATTCCTCCTTCTCTGCAGGCACTTCCTCTGGCTCAGCCGAAATCAACGAGCGACTGGCCTCCTCTTGCCAGATGTCGGCGAAGTCGTCCCATTGCGCAGGTTTCTTGGTCTGTCTTGCGGGCTGATCCTGCTGGGCTTCTTCGGTCACATTGTTTCTTGGTGATAAGCCAGGACGTTTCGCGGGAGGTGTGTCGACTCGCCAGCTCATCTCGCCCTCGCTTCTTGCTGGGCTTAACGGTGCTTCTTCTTCCTGCTGCTCCTCCTCCTCCTCCTCCTCCTCCTCCTCGGATTCCTCTTCTTCAACATTCAGATTCGGATATTGCACCTCGCCCTCCATAGGTGTGGGTTCTGCTGGTGCTGGCTCTGTTGATACTGGCTCCTCTGGTATCGCGTCATGGTCCTGGTCTTCAGGTGTAATAAGGCGTGACTGACGATACTTTCGTTGCGTTCGGAACACACCTTGTCTAGGAGCCATCGTGGGAAGACTCCTGATGGGGCTCGAAGGACCAGGCGCACTCTCTTCGTGTGTTTGTCCGTCAGCAAGCTGCTCACCAAGACGCAGACCTGC